ATGACGAAGTATGCGACGCCAGGGCGGACATCCAGGGTGCCTCGGTAGGTGAGGTTGATGGCCAGAGTAACGAACAGGTAGCAGATTAACTGGCACACGTTCAGAGTAGAGAATAGGGCGCCTTAGCAAAGCATTCATAAAATTAGTTCTGTCTCCAAAACATGTACCTAATTATATTCAAATCTCTTATCTTTGGGGAAAAAGAAACATCATAGAAAATTAATAACTATCGTTTTAATATTACAAGAGAGTTCCAATGTGTAACCTATTCAGCACAAAAAAGTCCGAATCTTAATAAAAGCGACAAAGCCCTTCCGTAATCATAAGAAATGTCCATATTACGATTCAGACTATATCATTTGCTGATATGATAATCAGTGAGTGAGTGAGTTTGGTTTAACGCCGCTCTTAACAGTATTCCAGTTATATCACGGCGTGTCATCTTAATGTGGGAGGAAAGCCCGAAGTGATGCAAGTCTCAGACGTTTACCACTTCGGTGAAACCCACGAGCACGGGTATGGTGCTGACAAACCTAGAAACATAATAGGGGCGAACCGGGATTCGAACCAATCATAGGTATCTGGCGTGCCCAAGGGACGCAACTGCACAGCGAATCGCGCCGCCTCAGACAACTGGGCTACCCGTGCCCCCCTGATATGATAATGAATTACATAGGGATGATACCAGTTCAAAAGGGAATTGCATCGGATATATAATTGGTCACTGTTAGTCAAATTTGGAAAAGCCCCCGACATGTCGACGATAAAACCTTTGGAAAGCTTTTGCTGAGGCATTGAATACTTTAAGCCTGAACTAACAATGTCTGAGCAAGAGTCGCATGACGATCGCATGAAAGTTCGAAGTAAGTAGTATGTTCTATTGTGCCTCAAAAACTGCGAAATGTAGACACCAAAAGCTGGGACTGCCTGGAATGATTCAAAGCTTTCAAACTGTGCGTTCTAATTCTGGGTACATTTATACTTTAAACCAACCTTGTTCTTGGAGAGGCACACACTTCGACATGAAGGTTCTCACCATTGAGATGCCCTGGTCACCGTACAACCCAACACAGGCCGCTGGATGTAAACAGATATTTGTATATTAATTATGAACATTATCGTCTTCATCATTGTAGAAGTGATTGGATTATGTTGTTAGGGCATTAAATAGTTGAAGGGTGGATTAGGAATCCGTCATGCCGTTTCAGGAATGTTCCAGCAACATACGGGGAATGTAACAATGGGATTAATGAATTGTGCTTATTCTGGGAATCGAACCCCATTTCAACTTACCAATATACATCACTGAATCTGTGTCCGCAATGCCTATGAGAAGGACGTCCAGAGACAGCGAGAGACATCCGAATATGGCAAGTGTGAGGTCGGAGCAGTATCGAAGCAGACACTTAGTTGACACGAGTATGATGGCCCAGCTTATCACTGTCTTCACCCCGTAGTAGAGGGCGACATGTGTAGAAGTCCAATTGAATGGTGGAGCGAGGAGGAACAGACTGGATAGAGTCATTTCCACCTTCACGATGGACAGAATCAGGACGCCGGCCAACAGCGAGAGGAGCAGGGAAATGCGTCGCAGACTCGGGATACTCCGCCCATATACGTCAATGCCTCTTTGTATATTCTCGATAATGTCTGATAAACAGAGAGACCTCAATGACCCACCAGGCACTGTTTCAGGCAAGACACACCACACAAACAAAACGTTGGTGAAACTGGCCACAGCGTACAGTACAGCCGGGAACACAAATCCAAACGAATCAATGAGGACACCCGTTATGGAGATACCCAAACTGACGCCAACAGCGATGGCTGCACATGACGTTGTGATGCGGAATGATCGCTGTGGCCCAATGGGTGTAACGTCAGCTACCATTGCTATTCCGCATGTTAACATCAGAGCGTAGCTGCCACCAAGCCCATAAATCATGTTTCCAATAAACAGGTATCCAACATGCAGATCAAAGTGCATGACAATGATATCAATGTTAACTTTCACAAAGGAAGCAACATTAACCATAATAAGAAACGGTTTCCTCCCAAGCTGATCAGAAAGAGGCCCGACTAACAAGTTCACAAAAATGGCTGGACATAATAAAGTAATTAATATATATGTAAAGGTCATGGTCGTGTCTGCTTGGATGGCGTCGACTATGTCCTTCGTGACGTTGACTGAAGACCCATTTCCGGTATAGGAACGCATATACTTGTCGTGGAGGTAGAACTGGGTAAGCAGGACGTTGGTGTGGCAGACATAGTACAGAAACAAGGGCAATTCCACCAGAGCGAGTCGGCTTGGCGTCTCCAAGCCCCCACTTGAGGACAACATGACGTCTGCCAACAAAAAGGTTATTAAATGACCATAGGCATGGATAATACTTTGCTGAGAGGTTGTGTGTATGTGATGAGTACTTATTTGTGTTCTCACTGCACTGTTCAATCAGGTAGGAAGTTGTCCCCAGAAATCTATGCCTTTCCTAAGGGGCGACTTAATGTATCAGGTGACCAGGCTTGGTTAAATGTGCATCTTCGTACCTCAAGGGCTTCTGATAATAATAAATGGTTTATCTGGTCCAGACTAGGACGTACTGTACATGTGGTCGCAATGTAACTGGACTATTGTAATAGAAATTAATAAATATATTATATACAATTTGTGCAAATCCTATTTTTCATGCTAGCTCAGATACTAGTCGTTCATACAGACACTTAAAGCGACTTATACCATTTAAACTTAAAATGTAATGTGTTAACTTTGCTGAATGTAACAAAAATGTTTTATGACTATCATTAACAAAAACAGACAACCGTGAAGTGCGGGGGGGGGGGGGGGGGGGGGGGGGGGGCGGGGGGGGGGAGACAAGAGAACATCAGTCGGCTGAGGGAGCAGCAGACGGCTAGGTCACATGTCTTGGTCACGTCACGTGGCGAGGCCTTTACCGACACTTGTTTGTCCCATCCCTCCCTTAACATTAACATTGAAACAGAGAAGAACCTAGGAAACACGTTCGGAGGGACAATCAATTTCGCCTTTTAGATGTGACCAGCGTGAGCTGCTTAAAGTGTCTATGTAAACGCTAGACAATATCATCTTCCCGAGTCAAGGGAGTTAACTGACTGTAAAAGTCCAGTTTCCATCCTTGCCAATTAGGATGGAATTTCCGGGCTCGATCGTAGGGCCACCAGTGGCTATTACGAGTTATGTCCCTTCTATATCCCTCCGATTGACAAATTAGATTCCACAAAATGGCAGCGCCCAGTGAAGACGATTTGATCGATAATCAAAATCTATATTGTGATAAAACGGGTCTTACTTAACGATGTGCATCAAATCGCGTGAGCACCTTGATTAAACAGCCATGAAAAGATTTGGAAAATATCTGTTGACGCCGAGTTGGCGGTACACATGCCTTGCAAATCCTGCAGTCGACCGAAATCTGCACGGCAGTTCACGAACAGGATGTCGATTTCGTTACGAGCTTGGACTATGCATAGACTCGTCAGTCCAGCCAAAATATAACTCCATAATTCCAGCCTAGATCGGCATGGATGGAAACAGGACTTTTATAGTCAGTTCTGTTGCCTCAGGTAGATGGACAATATGGGCGAATTGTATTTTATCTAGAATGCAAACTAAGTGTTCCACTTCGTTACCTGCCAAACTATAGTCACTGTCAAAATGGCTCTCACTGCTATTTTATCTTCTTTCTCTCTCCAAATTCAAGATTGATAATCTAACTGAATCCGTCAATAATCTGGATATCCATGGATAAGTGGGGACACGGGTGGCCCTGTCACCGCAGTTAGGTGTGCAGAATTGCGTCCCTCAGACGCGCAAGAAGCCTATGATCGTTGGTTCAAAATCAAGGTTTAACGTGAACGTTTCTGGGTTTATCATCACCATGCCCGTGCTCGTGAGTTTCAGCAAAGCGTTTAAAACGTCTGAGACCTGCATCACAGGGTTTTCCTCCCACATTAAGCTGACACTCCGTGATATAACTGGAATACTGTTTAAAGCGCGTTAAACCAAGCTCACTCACTCAAAGGACGTGATGTGGAGATGTAAATAGTTAAAGCACAGCGAGTGAAAGGGTGAATAACATGAAATTTTTTAAGTAAACAGGTTTTGATTAAACACAACCAGTGATTGACAGCAGTCCGTCGCGACACACAAGCAGCAAGGTAATAAATTGTTATCCTCATTAAGTCGGCTTTCACGTTAGGCATGAGGTCCATAGGCTTGGCTATTTACAGGCGGCCGAGGCCTCGTTGGTTTCCATTTGTGAAACCAATGATGAATGTTTTATAAGAGTGTTAATTTATGGGCATACACACCGGACATAGGGAAGACTCAATACACGGCGTCTACACAAAGTGACAGCGACTATTGTTTAACGCCGCAGTCAGCTTGTCAAGTTTAGTTCGACGGCACGTAAATGATCGATTCTGGGAAATATGTTGAAATATGCCCAATTATGTCGAAGCGTAAGAACTACAGCACTGATTTAAAGTAAACTTTCGTGAATCCGGACTCAATGTTTCAATGATTCCAGTATTTCGGATAAACATTCTATTTTATTTACGAATAATGTTACATATTTTGTGGACGTTACTCACAGTGAGTGAGTGAGTGAGTATGCCTTTACGCCGCTGTATGCAATATTTCAGCAATTTCACGGCGGGGGACACCAGAAATGGGCTTCACACATTGTGCCCATGTCGGGAATCGAACCCGGGTCTTCGGTGTGACGAGCGAACGCTTAAACCACCAGGCTACCCAACCGCCCCGTCACTCATAGAAGTGGATGAGTATGTATTAACGAGCCGTGCGCACGCTCCCCAACACCCACAAAAACAAAACAAAAACAAACAAAAATTAATATCGAAATAGCTAATGGTATGTTATTTGTTATTTTATACTAAAACACATCAGGATAAGGTTTATAACTTCTTTTCACAGGTTTGAGGAAAACTTGGGCAGCGTCCTATATATCGACCTTTCAAGTGTGATTGTGACTGAACTGAGGGGCTATTCCAGCCGTCACATGAGGGCTAATAATTCACACAGCCGAAAACTCGTTGTCATGATACATATCATTTGTGTAAGAACTCGTCTGTTGCACCTGGTCTTCCTAAAGCGCAGTATATGGGACAGTCTTCAAGAACGTTCAGCGTCACGCGACAGCTGTCCACTTTGGGAAACCACTGAAGGTGTGGACATTTGAAATCATTACACTCCAGATGAGCGGACGCACGTCGAGGGGGTGAGCATATAAAGCGTTCAGTCTGTCACCAGGAAGTAGTGCGCGGGGACCGAGTATCATGTCAGTGGGGACACATCGCCTGTGAGCTCACCCCGTGTGTGTTAACTACAGCGACAGGAACCCCCCAGGTGAGTGATTGTATGCAGGGTACAGGGAGCTACATAGGCAGTGTGTTGACAGAATGGGTTCGCCGACTGTCGTGAATCTTATTTAATACTCAACTGATACTAATACTCAATACTAATATGAATTTCAATAAGGTAAAACAAGTACTATGTTAGTAACAGATAAGTTAAAAACTGACGATCGAGATTTGAAATGAGTTCAGTTCCACTTAACATACTCGTGATTGCCTGTGACTCAGCAACTTGTTGAATCGGGCGAAACTCATATCATGTAACGAAGATATAATTATACTTTCCATCGTAACTAAACACCGTTATGGACAATCCTCCTTGTGTCATATGCGAGACACCAGTTACCCAGCTATGTATAGAGTGCAAGACCAAGACGGTGCATCAACGTGCACACTATAACACTACGCACGAGATAAATGCGTAACCTTGACCTTGACTAACCGTCTTGTGATTTGATGTATTTTTAGACAGGGTCAGAAGATATGCTGTGTACGTGCGCTTTGCAATCAAATTTCTGACACACTGAACATAGGGAATGTCAACTGTTTCCGCCGCTATACACCCCACGGGTAAACACAAAGATAGGGTATGTAGGTCCCCTGTGTTGTGTACGCACACTGACTGTACGGACACAGGAATGTAGCTCAGGTAGAAGTGGTGGTCGTACACCATGCTTTAACCTGTGGTTGGTTGGTTTGTTGTTTTACACCGCACTCAGCAATGTTCCAGCTATATGACGGCGGTCTGTAAATAATTGAGTCTGGACCAGACAATCCAGTGATTGATATCATGAGCATCGGTCCACGCAATTGGGATCGATGACATGCTTTAACCAAATCAGCGAGCCTGACTACCCGATCCCGTTAGTCGCCTCTTACGACAAGCATAGTCACCTTTTACGGCAAGAATGGGTTGCTGTAACCTATGGTCATATATATGATTACCTATCGGGCGTCATGTATACATAATGAATCTGCCTTGTATAATAATGAATATATTCATTCCACTCCAAAACGTATTTCTTTCATAATCGTCAGACCTTTTACATCCTCTTAGAGTTGGCATTAGTAAGGCATTGTGATCAGCACTACGCTTGCCTCTATAAAAATGGAGGAATGTACCTTTCATAAATAATTAGGCATAACCTTCTAAAAAAATATAATTGAAATAAACACGAAGGCAATAAAAAGTTCTGACACTTTTTAGGTAAACGTAAATCTGTCACACATACATTTTTTTACAAGTATCTAGACAAACGTTTATAAGAATAATGTAAACTGTGTATTTTTGGCATTCGCCTGGGACAACATGATTTACAGGAGACACGTTGACACCAACAATAGACTTCAGAATAGAATAACAATGTCTAGGTTTGAATTACAATCAACAATTAATACACGGATAACAAGAACTTTTATTTTTGTCGGCCAAGTCATTTACAAGTAAGGTAAACAAACAGGAACTCAGCACACATCCCTGGCACACGATTCTATCGAACAGAACGCGATTCTATGAAACACTGCGTCTAGGGCGGCACACGATTCTATGTAAGACTGGGTCTAGGGCAGTACACGATTATATGTAAGACTGGGTCTCGGACGGTACACGATTCTATGTAACACTGGGTCTAGGGCAGCACACGATTCTATGTAACACTGGGTCTCGGGCAGCACACGATTCTATGTAACACTGGGTCTCGGGCAGCACACGATTCTATGTAAGACTGGGTCTAGGGCAGCACACGATTCTATGTAACACTGGGTCTAGGGCGGCACACGATTCTATGTAACACTGGGTCTAGGGCAGCACACGATTCTATGTAAGACTGGGTCTAGGGCGGCACACGATTCTATGGAATACTGGGTCTAGGGCGGCACACGACTCTATGTAACACTGGGTCTCGGGCGGCACACGATTCTATGTAACACTGGGTCTAGGGCGGCACACGATTCTATGTAACACTGGGTCTAGGGCGGCACACGATTCTATGTAACACTGGGTCTAGGGCGGCACACGATTCTATGTAAGACTGGGTCTAGGGCGGCACACGATTCTATGTAAGACTGGGTCTGGGGCGGCACATGATTCTATGTAAGACTGGGTCTCGGGCGGCACGATTCTATGGAATACTGGGTCTCGGGCGGCACACGATTCTATGTAACACTGGGTCTAGGGCGGCACACGATTCTATGGAATACTGGGTCTAGGGCGGCACACGATTCTATGGAATACTGGGTCTCGGGCGGCACACGATTCTATGTAACACTGGGTCTAGGGCGGCACACGATTCTATGTAACACTGGGTCTAGGGCGACACACGATTCTATGGAATACTGGGTCTAGGGCGGCACACGATTCTATGTAACACTGGGTCTAGGGCGGCACACGATTCTATGTAACACTGGGTCTAGGGTGGCACACGATTCTATGGAATACTGGGTCTCGGGCGGCACACGATTATATGTAACAATGGGTCTGGGGCAGCACGCGATTCTATGTAACACTGCGTCTAGGGCGGCACACGATTCTATGTAAGACTGGGTCTAGGGCAGCACACGATTATATGTAACACTGGGCCTCGGGCAGCACACGATTATATGTAACACTGGGTCTCGGGCAGCACACGATTCTATGTAAGACTGGGTCTCGGGCGGCACACGATTCTATGGAATACTGGGTCTCGGGCGGCACACGATTCTATGTAACACTGGGTCTCGGGCGGCACACGATTCTATGGAATACTGGGTCTAGGGCGGCACACGATTCTATGGAATACTGGGTCTCGGGCGGCACACGATTCTATGTAACACTGGGTCTAGGGCGGCACACGATTCTATGTAACACTGGGTCTAGGGCGGCACACGATTCTATGGAATACTGGGTCTAGGGCGGCACACGATTCTATGTAACACTGGGTCTCGGGCGGCACACGATTCTATGTAACACTGGGTCTCGGGCGGCACACGATTCTATGTAACACTGGGTCTAGGGCGGCACACGATTCTATGTAACACTGGGTCTAGGGCGGCACACGATTCTATGGAATACTGGGTCTAGGGCGGCACACGATTCTATGTAACACTGGGTCTCGGGCGGCACACGATTCTATGTAACACTGGGTCTCGGGCGGCACACGATTCTATGGAATACTGGGTCTCGGGCGGCACACGATTCTATGTAACACTGGGTCTAGGGCAGCACACGATTCTATGGAATACTGGGTCTGGGGCAGCACACGATTCTATGGAATACTGGGTCTGGGGCAGCACACGATTCTATGTAACAATGGGTCTGGGGCGGTACACGATTCTATGGAACACTTGGTCTTGGGCGGTACACGATTCTATGTCACACTGCGTCAAGGGCGGTACACGATTCTATGGTTGGTTGGTTGGTTGGTTGGTTAGTTGGTTGGTTTGTTGTTTAACGTCGCACTCAGCAATATTCCAGCTATATGACGGCGGTCTGTAAATAATCGGTTCATGACCAGACAATCCAGTGATTAATATCATGAGCATCGATCCACGCAATTGGGATCGATGACATGCTTCAACCAAGTCAGCGAGCCTGACCAACCGATCCCGTTAGTCGCGATTCTATGGAACATTGGGTCTTGGGCGGTACATGATTCTATGGAACATTGGGTCTCGAGCAGCACACAATTCTATGTAACACTGTGTCATGGGCGGTACACGATTCTATGGAACATTGGGTCTTGGGCGGTACACAATTCTATGTAACACTGGGTCTCGAGCAGCACACGATTCTATGTAACAATGGGTCTTGGGCAGCACACGATTCTATATAACACTGGGTCTAGGGCAGCACACGATTCTATGTCACACTGGGTCTAGGGCAGCACACGATTCTATGTCACACTGGGTCTAGGGCAGCACACTATTCTATGTCACACTGGGTCAAGGGCAGCACACGATCCTATGTAACACTGGGTCTAGGGCGATACACGATTCTATGTCACACTGGGTCTCGAGCAGCACACGATTCTATGTAACACTGGGTCTCGAGCAGCACACTATTCTATGTCACACTGGGTCAAGGGCAGCACACGATCCTATGTAACACTTGGTCAGGGGCAGCACACGATTCTATATAACACTGGGTCAAGGGAGGCCCACGATTCTATGTAACACTGGGTCAATGGCGGCACACGATTATATGTAACACTGGGTCAAGGGAAGCACACGATTCTATGTAACACTGGGTCTCGGGCGGCACACGATTATATGTAACACTTGGTCTGGGGCAGCACACGATTCTATGTCACACTTGGTCTAGTGCGGCCCACGATTCTATGTAACACTGGGTCAAGGGCAGTACACGATTCTATGTAACACTGGGTCAAGGGCGGCCCACGATTCTATGTAACACTGGGTCTAGGGCGGCACACGATTCTATGGAATACTGGGTCTAGGGCGGCACACGATTCTATGTAACACTGGGTCTAGGGCGGCACACGATTCTATGGAATACTGGGTCTGGGGCAGCACACGATTCTATGGAATACTGGGTCTGGGGCAGCACACGATTCTATGTAACAATGGGTCTGGGGCGGTACACGATTCTATGGAACACTTGGTCTGGGGCGGTACACGATTCTATGTCACACTGCGTCAAGGGCGGTACACGATTCTATGGTTGGTTGGTTTGTTGTTTAACGTCGCACTCAGCAATATTCAAGCTATATGACGGCGGTCTGTAAATAATCGGTTCATGACCAGACAATCCAGTGATTAATATCATGAGCATCGATCCACGCAATTGGGATCGATGACATGCTTCAACCAAGTCAGCGAGCCTGACCAACCGATCCCGTTAGTCGCGATTCTATGGAACATTGGGTCTTGGGCGGTACATGATTCTATGGAACATTGGGTCTCGAGCAGCACACAATTCTATGTAACACTGTGTCATGGGCGGTACACGATTCTATGGAACATTGGGTCTTGGGCGGTACACAATTCTATGTAACACTGGGTCTCGAGCAGCACACGATTCAATGTAACAATGGGTCTTGGGCAGCACACGATTCTATATAACACTGGGTCTAGGGCAGCACACGATTCTATATCACACTGGGTCTAGGGCAGCACACGATTCTATGTCACACTGGGTCTAGGGCAGCACACGATTCTATGTCACACTGGGTCAAGGGCAGCACACGATTCTATGTAACACTGGGTCTAGGGCGATACACGATTCTATGTAACACTGGGTCTCGAGCAGCACACGATTCTATGTAACACTGGGTCTCGAGCAGCACACTATTCTATGTAACACTGGGTCTCGGGCGGACTTGGTCTGGGGCAGCACACGATACTATATAACACTGGGTCAAGGGAGGCCCACGATTCTATGTAACACTGGGTCAAGGGCGGCACACGATTATATGTAATACTTGGTCTGTGGCAGCACACGATTCTATGTCACACTGGGTCTAGGGCGGCACACGATTATATGTAACACTTGGTCAAGTGCGGCCCACGATTCTATGTAACACTGGGTCAAGGGAGGCACACGATTCTATGTAACACTGGGTCAAGGGAGGCACACGATTCTATGTAACACTGGGTCTCGGGCGGCACACGATTATATGTAACACTTGGTCTGGGGCAGCCCACGATTCTATGTCACACTGGGTCTTGGGCGGCACACGATTATATGTAACACTGGGTCAAGGGCAGCACACGATTCTATGTAACACTGGGTCAAGGGAGGCACACGATTCTATGTCACACTGGGTCTCGGGCGGCACACGATTATATGTAACTCTTGGTCTGGGGCAGCACACGATTCTATGTCACACTGGGTCATGGGCAGTACACGATTCTATGTAACACTGGGTCAAGGGCGGCCCACGATTCTATGTAACACTGGGTCAAGGGAGGCCCACTATTCTATGTCACACTGGGTCTTGGGCGGCACACGATTATATGTAACACTGGGTCAAGGGCAGCACACGATTCTATGTAACACTGGGTCAAGGGAGGCCCACGATTCTATGTAACACTGGGTCTCGGGCGGCACACGATTCTATGTAACACTGGGTCAAGGGCAGCACACGATTCTATGTAACACTGGGTCAAGGGAGGCCCACGATTCTATGTAACACTTGGTCAAGGGCGGCACACGATTCTATGTAACACTTGGTCAAGGAAGGCCCACGATTCTATGTAACACTTGGTCAAGGGCAGTACACGATTCTATGTAACACTTGGTCAAGGGCAGCACACGATTCTATGTAACACTGGGTCAAGGGAGGCCCACGATTCTATGTAACACTTGGTCAAGGGCGGCACACGATTCTATGTAACACTTGGTCAAGGAAGGCCCACGATTCTATGTAACACTTGGTCAAGGGCAGTACACGATTCTATGTAACACTTCGTCAAGGGCGGCACACGATTCTATGTAACACTTGGTCAAGGGAGGCCCACGATTCCATGTAACACTGAGTCAAGGGAGGCCCACGATTCTATGTAACACTTGGTCAAGGGAGGCCCACGATTCTATGTAACACTTGGTCAAGGGCAGTACACGATTCTATGTAACACTGGGTCAATGGCAGTACACGATTCTATGTAACACTTGGTCAATGGCAGTACACGATTCCATATTACAATATAACTAAGGTGATACTGTATCGTGGAGAGGAGTCCGTTTATCGTAAACTATTGTAGTGGTGTCCCCTCTAACAGCTGTGGTTTTAGACTGTACCTATTTTTATCTATAGTTTAGAATTCTGTTGCTTTTCGTGTATTTTGAAGACCGAATATATTACAAGCATGTTCCCAGGAAAATCCACATTGAAACGTGCACGGCAACTTTTGATGCTTCTTCAGGCTTTGAATACACAATGTCACTTAGAAAGGGGTCAAATGTTACAAATGTTATATTTTGGATAACACTTTCTCAGTAGAGTACATATTCTGGTACTGAAACATTATGTAAGCATTTGGTGCAGTTTGTTATGTTATACTCAAACCACAGATAGGGTTTCTAGCATTGAGGTCCACTACAAGCTATACGTGTTCTGTCACTGCAGTCTAGACCTGGGAGCATGTAGAGGATTGGTCACATCCAAGGAAAAACACACAATGCCGGCCCATACGGAAGATGTTGTGGCGACTGACGAGTCTCCGGTGGAGGCGACAGAGGAAGAAGGTAAATCTATTGTTAATGTGTCTCTAAGATTTATAACTAGGCAAGCCAGTCATAACTTGTTCACACATAATGAGTGGCTTACGGATGGACCTGCGAATGGAATAGCCCTTGTTGTGACGTCACATTATAGTGCGAACCCATGGAGTTCCCTTCTCGCATGTCTGCAATATTCCAGCTATATGACGGCGGTACGTAAATAATCGAGTCTGGACCAGACAATCCAGTGATTGATATCATGAGCATCGATCCACGCAATTAGGATACGATGACATGCATCAACCAAGTCAGCAAGCCTGACCGACCGATCCCGTTAGTCGCCTATTACGACAAGCCTAGTCGCCTTTTACGGCAAGCATGGGTTGCCGAAGACCTATTCTACCCCGGATCTTCACGGGTCCTGCAACATGGGACTTGGTTGATGCGTGTCGACGTATACCAGTTGTATGGATCGATGCACATATGATTTCGATATAAAGGTTGTCTGGTCCAGACTCGATTATTTACAGACCGCCGTCAACTGGAATATTGCTGAGTGCGGCGTTAAACAACAAACAAACATTTGTGTTTATGTTATATAGCTGCGTGTGAGCTTGATGCAGGATGAAAGCTCGATGTGACAAACTTTTAAGACGATTTATGACTTTAGCGAAACCCTTTCAGCATCCTTTCTTCTCTTTGAAATGTTGTTACGGTTTTATATTGGTAGGTGGGTATGTTTCAGTCTTCCAAAACCTGTCGTTAAGTCACTTATTCCTTGCTACTTCCAGATGAACGCAAATCCCTGATCCAAAACGAAGGCACAACCAGCATGTCGTTACCTCCACTCAGACACTACGTCCCAGTGGAGGTGGTCGCATTCCTCTTCATCTGCGGTATCGTCATGACTCTACCCTTGACACAGTTCTACATAGTCGACAAAATAACAAGAGAATATGGCGGCGTCAACAAAAGCACGACCGACGCCTGCAGCCCCAAGGCAGGTAACTCGTCCGACGCAGGGCTGCAGAACAAGATACAGAGCAAAGCTGCTGACTATACAGTATTCCTCATCTTTGCTAGCACATTCCCTGGAATCATCCAAACAATCGTTCTTGGGTCCTTCTCTGACAGACACGGTAGGAAACTGTCGATGTTAATGCCGATTTGTGGTCTTCTATCAAAGGAGATCGTGTATCTCATCGTGTTCGAGCTGGACCTACCGCTCGCATACCTATTCATAGGCAATGCAATCGAGGGGTTTTCGGGTGGTTTTGGGACAATGTTGACGGCGTTATTTGGATGTGCGGCCGACATTACAACCGCGGGACCCAAGCGAGCATTGAGGATGGCTATAATTCAGGCAGTGATGAGCTTAGGCTCAGCGATGGGGGCCTTGGTTGCAGGAATATGGATAGAGGAGGTCAACTTTAAACAGCCGTTATACTTTTTAATCGCATTATCTAGTGCATGTCTCCTGTTTACGATATTCATATTTCCAGAAACGCGTAGACATCGACCCCAAGGTAGCCTCACATTCAAGGAACATTTGAAATCATTCAAAACAAGCATACAGTTTTACACAAAAGACACTCCTGAGAAAAGGCGGTGGAAATTGATTGTGTCCTTGATGACCTTCTTTACGTCCTTCTCCGTGGAGCTGATAAAAGCCACGGTACTGACTCTCTATCTCCTGGCCACGCCCTTCTGCTGGAATAAAGTACAGATCACCGGCTATACCGCCGCCAGGACCATTGTTGACTGGGTCTGCATACTCGCCCTCACGCGCTTCCTTGCGCGCCGCCTGTCGGAAGTCAACATCGCAATCATCGGATGTGTTTCCAACATGCTGTTCCTGGTGCTGTTAGGAATCGGCCAGAGTAGCGTCCTTGTCATCATAGGTATGGCTTACCATAACTTTTTTAACGTCTTATTTTTTTCTGAAATTGTTGTTTTCGTTCTTGAAAATGTGTTATCACGAATATTTGCCACGTTGTAATGTCTCTATTCATTCCCTTCAGCGGGCTTGGTTGGGATCTTCAGTGAAGCACCGTCTGCGATGATGCGTTCAGTGATGTCAAAACTTGTCTCCTCTGATGAACAAGGTCGGTGCTCTGTCAAACAATGTATTATGACATATTGGAAAGACTTTTTATGCATGGGGGATTATCCCGTGAAGAGGAGCTTTAGTTGGATTTGTTTAATTTGTATTATAATATGATTTTGTATTAATTGCCACGTGCCAAATTATTCCTCTTGAGGAAGTGAACCACCGGTAGCCTAACACCCATTGGAATGGCTCTCTACTAATATTTAACCTCGGAAATGAAAACATTTTCAGCTATTTTGTTAAATGTTCTTGGAACATACTCAGCCAAACTAGAAACTTTTATACACTCAGAATCAGACTACACTTTATTTATGGTTATTTTATAATATAAATACACCGTATTACAGCACGATGATTTGTTTGTTAGTTTGTTTAACGCCGCACTCAGCAATATTCTAACTATGTGTCTGTAAATAATCGAGTCTGGACCAAACAATCAAGTGATTGATAGCATGAGCATCGATCTACGCAATTGGGATAAGATGACATGCATCGACCCAGTCAGCGAGCCTGACCACCCGATCCCGTTCGTTGCCTCGTACAAGCATAGTCGCCTTTTACAGCTAGCATGGGTTGCTCTTCACGGGTAAGCATATTGGTACCTTGCTCGGGACCGATTCTTCGGTGTGAAATGCAAAGTACTTACAAGTGGTGTTGCTTATTAGATGTCAGATGCCATTCTATCCGAGTATTGTCTTCACAATAGAGTGAGTGAATGTCGGTTAACATTAACGTATTGATGAGAGCATTTTGAACCCACCTGCTCCGCCCACGACATTGTATTCCAAGAAGTGGACGTGACACTTTTAATTATGATGATGATTATTATTATTATTCAGTCTCTCTTCACAACGGCATAAGGATCTATACTGAAACGTCGCTATAAGAGTTTAACAAAGAAAATGTTATCCCTCACGTGTGACAGTTGAAGTAGTATAGGTCAGTCGTGTACATATTTCAGTTCCGGGCCGGGGTAGCACTATCGTACTCTCCCACAACTATTTCAGTATAGCATCTACAACTAACCTGGGGATGAACCTGTCCACTCCTATGTATTCCATTTGATCACCTCATCTCACATTCCAACCATCGCTAATACACATGAGCTCATCTGACACGTGTAAACTTGATGAAACAATGAGCAACAGACTCCATCCGGGCCAAATGCACGAGAAAAACGGCACGCGCAGTGATGTCACGTGCTTCTAATTTAGGCTCACAATGTCATAGTTATCATCCAAGATAGATAAGCTATAAAAACTTACCTACATAATTTTTTATAAGGAAACACACAACTGGGAGATGGACAAAAATACCTTTAACAGAAAGGAAATGCCAACTTTGCAAATTATCTGACATAGGTGACGAATTCCATTATTTGTTTATTTGTCCATATTTAGAAAACGAAAGAAAATATTTTTTACACAGATGCTACTACGTCAAACCCAATATGCATAAAATGAATTTTCTTTTCAATAATTCACGACAAGGAACATTGAGAAAACTGTCCAAATTCTGTAAAATCATCACGTCATTGTTTAAACCTATCAAGTAACTCCCTCTTTTTGAATTGGACGCATATTGCTACCATAGAAAACTGTATAAATATGCATGCATGCTCGGCAAAGATTTTTTTGTATATATTCTATATTTATATGTATATGTATTATGTTGTTGAAATAATTTTGTACCTTGATGCCGCTGATAGCGGCCTGAGGGTAAATAAAGTTCAGTCCAGTTCAGTTCAGGGACTCCGGGTCAGTTAGAGGTGGTCCCCAGCAACCTATACTTTTCATACGAGGCAATTTAATGGCTGGGGTGGTCAGGCTCGGCTGAGTGCGTACTACCGTTACTCATACATCACAGGTTTGTCTGTTACATAGTTGAATATTTATACGCCGCCGTCATGGAGCTGGGGGCATTAAACAACAAACAAACATCATCCGTTCAACCCATGTAAATCTGGTCATTTCAGACCATCTTTCACCACGACAGAGAGATTTTATTTGGTCACTAACTTCCTTACCGTCAAAGGGTAGATTCTTAATCACAACTAGGTTAGAGGTCACCGCAGCAGCGTACCTTGTCTCCAAGACAGAGTTTTTTTGTCTCGTTTTGTTTCGTCTGTTATATCTGTTTCTCAAGATCTGGGATAGAATAGGTCTTCAACAACCCATGCCTGTCGGAAGAGGCGACTAACGGGATCGGGTAATCAGGCTGGCTGACTTGGTTGGTTGTCATCGTATCCCAATTGCGTAGATCGATGCTCATGGTGTTAATCACTGGATTGTCTGGTCCAGACTCGATTATTTTCCGATTATTTCCGATTTTTCATATAGCTGGAATATTGAGTGCTGGGCTAAACAAAAAACAAACAAACAAATATAAATCCAAGGGCCGAATTACCGACAGACATTGATCGAGTCCCTCGTAGGAACATGGCGGACACCGGCTTGAAAAGTCAGTATGGCTTTGCCAAACAAACAGCTACCATCTAGTTTATAAAACCAGTGGGATAATGGCTTCATTAGGCACGGAAGCTATTCTGTTTGTAGAATACTGACCCTCAAATACACCATGGCCATTCATTTTCTACAGCTCCATTAAACAAGAGTTGATACTCTTAGGACCTTTATAACACTCTAATTCAACTAACCCACATGAGTAACCTATGTCGATCTCAACATTAATATTACCGTTGTATGTGATGTTGCAGGGGCGTTGTTCGCGTCTGTCAGTACGGTGGAGATGTTGGCGTCATCGGTTCTGGGTGTCGCGGCTACTCTCGTCTACAAGGCGTCGCTCTCCTTCTTCCCCGGCCTCATTTTCATCCTCCTCGCCGCTCTCATCTTCATCACGGCAGTGATGCTTGGGTAAGACCACATCTGTTCTTGTCTCACGAGCTAAATACACACAGTTATATTCCCACACTGATTGTATATATTATTAAATTGATCACAGGCGCGTTTTTCCGATTCCGGTGCAATATATTCCTTACAACAAATGTTTAGCTGACAGTGCAATATTTCTTTAAGAGATTGTGCATTCATGTAGAAGTGTCCATTTCAGGTTTGGGGAAGGTGACCTAGTGACCTATTTGTCTAAGTCGTCGGAAATCGCTGAGCGGAGATGCGTCCCTTAATTGTGCTAGGATCAGCTCATCTGAACTTAGACTATTATAGCCGCCCTTAGTATCCCTAGTGCTACTTGGTTCCATCAAAGTTGTAAACGTTAATTTCAGCTAAAATCTCTGATAGAACCGACACGCCATGATAAAACTGAGGTACTGTCCATAGTGGCGCAAAGCTCACTCACTCATTTCAGAGTCGGGTTGAATGAGTCTTGTGGTCGAAGTATTGGCTCGTCACTCCGAAGACTCGAGGTCGATACCCACATAAGTTTAATTGGTGAAGCCCATTCTGTGTATCACCCGCCTCTCACTACAGCTCGATGAATGTCCCACCAGTTCATACTTTCGAATTTATTTTCATATTGATGCCTGGTCTAAGTTTTTGCGTGTTTATTGTTGTGTGTTGTTACCCTATTATTATTATTATTATTATTATTATTTTTATTATTATTATTTAAGAAGTAACAAACCCTTAGTCAGATTGATTTGTAGTACAATCTCGAACATCACACGACGCCACAACACAAAACTCTTAAAAGAAACAGTATTCCAAAACATATTTTAAACAAAAAAGTACTTTTTGTGTGTATCTTTCCTCAATTCACAACATCTAATAAGAAAATCCAGCCGTATAACAACACATGCTAATGACGGTTATGTCTTTTATTGGAGGGCTACCGCTTACGTTTTTGTGCTCAAGATGTGAAGTGCTTGTACTGAAGGGATGAAAAATACTATGATGGCAACCCATATGGCAACATCTGAGAATACACATACCTTCACATGTTTTCCCTCTCCTCACAGCTGTTTGGAATTATTTGCAGTCCATGCTTACGATCACGTTATCATTTGCAATAATATGTAAATATGTACCTATTTCAGGGCTCTCAGCTACAGTATGAAGAAAGATCCATCCCAGGCATCACAGACCATAATGGTGACAGCGGAGTAACCAATCACAGATCGGTGCCTACCACTTGACCAATCATAGATAAAAGTACATTATAAACCAATCAGAAACAGAGACAAACGAGTTACCAATCAGAAACAGAGACGAACGAGTAACCAATCAGAAAAGAGCATGAGAAGGCGGGATGGTTCAGCAGCATGCTGATTATTGGTGTTCACTAATAAATGTTGGCAGGCACGTGGCGAACAGCAGCATCGGCGGGAAGGAATAACAACGTTCGGTGATGGATAAAAGTCTTGATCCCTTAAGTGTAACAGGTATGCAGTTTTTCCAACTGACAAGTTTGTTAGTTGTTTAACGCCGCACTCAGCAATATTCCAGCTGTTTGACGGCGGTCTGTAAATAATCTCTAGTCTTGACCAGACGATCCAGTAATTGACACCATTAGGATCGATCTACGTAACTGGGATACGACATGCATCAACTAAGTCAACGAGCCGGACCACCCGAACAAGTTAGTCGCCTCTTACGACAAGCATTGGTTGCTGAAGACCAATTCTACCCTGGATCTTCACGGGATTCCAACTGATAAAGTCTACTTTTCTTGGTGAGGGATAGGGGTGGAAACAGAGCAAATCGTCTTATTTTGTACGCTGTGTTGTGGTGCTCCAAGGTTTTAATTGTGTTTCTGCAATGGTACTATTTCTGTGTTTTTCTTTCTGGACATTTCGCAGAGCTTTCACAAATAAACGTAAAACACGCCAAATAAATCACCATTACCTTATCAATTTTGAGCTGCTTGCGTACAAATACGCATGGGTAATTTCAAAAGTCCAATAATATAACATGACTCATGTATCTTTTTTCTGCATCAACATACATAAACTCTCCTGCAGCAAAGATGCACAGGAAAGGTGCAAAAGGGATATTTTGAAAATATCAACTCATTGGTGTAATAATACCAAACTGACTAGACCAAAGGGAATAAATAGTCAAACAAAAATATCAATATCCAACTGAAGGTGAACATTTTGTAAATAAGCCAATAAGTAATAAGTAAATACTCACTGGCTCAAAAGGTATCTGGAGCCCTGATACTTTCTGTAAGCATGTTAGCATTATGACCATTTGATTTTTAAGGGCGGGTGCGGTTGGGGTGTTCTGGTTCTTCATTAACTCCTTTAAAGATGCGTATGTGATATTTTTAAAGTAATCTGTGATATATGTGCACATACGTAAACAACCAAGTTGGAGAGAGTTGATTTATACATAGGATACTTTAACTCAATGAGCTGGGCTTCCACAAGTTTGCCACGAGCCCTTCAGTTGTTGTCCAACTTTGTTCTTGTTTCGTGTATTGATGATAATTGAAGTACGTTGTTTCTTTTCCGTGACTTTACCTTGTGTTTAACATTTCGTGATTGTCGTTTTACTTTTTGTTATTAATAATAAAAGCTTTTCTGCATCCTTTTAGAAATAATATGTTTTGCAGTGGTCAGCCCCCTACACGCCGTGCAATGTATTCATGTTTGCACTAATTCAGTTTCCAATACCAATGGTTAAGGCTGTAACAACCCCTATCAACAGACACACGCATTGCTTTGTGAAGGAACACTGGTAGATTTATGTAGTGTAAAAGTAGCTATGGTCACTTGTTAGTTTATGGAATGTTGCGTGTTCGATTTCACATCAAAATCCACAGTTGCTATTGAGTTAAAGAAATTCGCAGTCAGAATCCGCTCTTTCCAGATTCGTCCTATATGGTATGGTAGCACAATGACCAAGCCCAGAATGCGAGTGAGTAGTGTTTTACCCCGCTTTTAGCAATATTCCAGCAATATCACGGCGGGGGACACCAGAAATGAGCTTCACAAATTGTACCCATGTGGGGAATCGAACCCGAATCTTCGGCGTGACGAGCGAACGCTTTAACCACTAGGCTACCCCACAGCTACCATGGAGCCTTAAATGCTTATTCTAAAAGAATAGTTGTTTTTGGTTTTCTTTGTTGCTTAACACCGCACTCAGCAATGTTCAGGCTATACGACGGCCGTCTGTAAATAATCGAGTCTGGGCCAGGCTAACCAGTGACTGACATCATGACTCTCGATCTACGCAAATGGGATACGATGACATTCATCAACCAAGTCATCGAGTCTGACCACCCGATCCCATTAGTCGCCTCCTGCCCAAAAGAAAAGAGTTAGATATAAATAATTTAGAAAGTGACGCAAAACATATGTGCATAAATTCTGAAATGCATACCTCAAATGTCATATGTAATCACCGCCAAATGAAACGCGAACAGAAACATAGAGAGAAGTATGTACGTTAAGAAGAGATGTTTCCAATGTGTACCACTTTATGACAAAACTCAAAATCAGTCAAGTGTTACCACAGAGAGTCTCTATTACTCTTGTCACGATATGCGACTCGTGATTTCCAAACTTTACACGCTAATCCTGCACGAGACAAATGGTGCATCTCGACCAATGGATCTTTGCCGTCACAACTGATGCGTTTACAAGCGTCGGTCCACACAACATACCAGTATGTTCACTTGTGCATCAAAACCATCTAATATCTCTTGAATATGAGTAATTCGTTATGTATAAACTAACAAATATGATATTCGCGTTTCTTTTGCCGGTGCGTATACACTGACAAGCGAATATATGAGGAAATGGTGCCACCAATCTCAATAAAATCAGATCTAAGTTCTCGCTGCCGCTGAACAAAGATCTGAGGACATCCCATTACGGGTCACGTCAGAACGCCCTTTCGCGAACTTTGACCGACCACTGAAATGACTAACAAGAAGTCAATTAGAAAACATCTTTCTCGAGCTTTACAACACTCGTTTCAACCAGGCACTTCCATTTCAGACTACGCTTAAAAAATATGTTGACACACGGAAGCGAGAGATAAACGATTATTTTGACGGGAATCAGTCGATAAGGGCCGTAACTGTTGTTCGGAATATCCCATGTTAACGTTTTCGAGGTTGCATGATTAGAAAACACATTCCGACTGTCACTTTCATGATCTGGTAAGCGTCGCTTTGATTGGTCGGATGAAAGGTCACTCTGGCGTGACCCGTAATGGGATGTCCTCAGATCTATGTTTAGCGATAGCGAGAACTAAGATCTGATTTTCATGAGATTGTGGTGCCACAGAAGTGTTGCATTTCCTAGACAGCCAGGCCATGGTTCGTGTTTGGTGGGACGTCAGGAAAACCATGCCGTGGGTTTGATGCTACACCAGAGCAGAAGCCGTGGTTCAAGTGTGATGCTAGTCCTACTGGAACTCACCCCGGTGTCTTATGCGAAACTCTGGTCCTTCGCGGTGTTCATACAGATACAGATACCTCATATCTACATATTATATTGATAAACATATAAATACTGGGTAATAGAGGATGTGGGCACAGCTACACCGCGGAATAATCCATATGGACAATGCAGCATATACATGTAGCATATACTGTCAGGCAGAATATACAGTAGCTTCTTTTCACATTTCAAGTGTCGAGTGAAATATGTTTCACTCGATACATGAATATCCTATTTATTGTATACGTTTTGTGTAGCGTATACATTATTTCATTACAAATGTAAAACCTTGAAACGTATATTCTCCCTTCCTAACACGCAGGGACATTTCACCACCCCTTGAAATTGCGACTTAAAAAGTAGTTCCGGGTTTACATAATCTTAAAAAATAGTAACAAAAGTAACACAAATATTTAGGGTCATGAAAATTCTTTATCATACATTTGAATATGAATAAATTCAAAATCAACTTAAACAAGAAATATTCTTGAAATCTACGAGAAAGTAGATACGCTGGTCAAGTAACAAAAATGGCGCTTTGCGAATCGAACAATCTCGATTGCCACCTTACTTAGATCTACAGACAAACAGTGCGCAGGATTTGCCCAAGAGGCGGACGCCCACATGTAACGTTAAAACAAGACAGGGTTATCTCCCGTTCTCACTTGCGTCGACGCCATCTACCAGCTTTAACTTATGCCAGACAGACAGCTTGAACCCGCCACAGACCCCAGTCACCACACACGATGCATCAACAGCACATCTCGGTGCCGACGTCCAGAATTTTGGTGTGTTTTCTTTTGGATTTGAGTGGAGAAAAGCCTAAAGTGGGCAGGATGCAGGCCTACCAGGAAACCAAAGAGCAAATGCATGGTGCTTAGAAACATAGCCCCATAACCCTGGCAAACATAAGCGTCAAGCCCATAGTCTGCACTGGGAATTGCAGCTTCTCAGATCACTAGGCCAGGGGAGTCTCTCAGTATGAAGGTCCAAGAGACCACACACATATTATTTTTAGAATGAGTCTTCCAAACCTGTTTGACATCCTGAGATTAAATTAAAGTAATAAATTAAAAAGCTTGAATAACTTATGTCAAAATTACAATATTATGGTTGAGTTTGGGATCAACTCCTCTTTGATGAATATTTTAGTCTCTGTGGCCTGTCAGTTTGTAATAGAAAGAAACTCACAAGTGAAAGGGCTTGAAGCTTATCATAAGATTTAAACATCTGAGGCCAAGTTTCACAGTATTGGTGTTACCATCGTCTTGAACTATTTGGGGAGGGAAGTCCAGGTGATCCAGGTAAAGGGAAGCAACTCTGTACACTGAATTGTTGCATCTCACATCTCCAGGCTATCTATGCCCCATCATCGAGAGATAAAACAACCCAGCAATATCATGGAGGGGACACCAGAAATGGGCTTCACACATTGTACCCATGTTGGGAATCGAACCTGGGTCTTCGGCTTGACGAGCGAACGCTTTAACCACTAGGCTACCCGACCGCCCCCACAGACCTCACAGACTACAAAAAGAGATGGGTGGTGTCAAATCGTTGTCTTGGTCCATTCTTACACGTGTTAAAGGGAGATACGCTCTGGTAAATTGGCAGTCCTAGTAAGTTTACATCCATCTGTTCAAACACCACTTTAGGCAAGTACACCCACTGTAATATGTACAGAGAAATGCTGTGAATGGTACAATTCCCAGTGAATCGTCTGGACAAACAGGATTTCCTTGTATGTCTGTCTAACTGCTAATGACTACTTTAACTACACATTATCATAATAATGCTGTTACCCAAACTGAAAACCGGTGCTAGACATTGGGACACTGTCCTTCTTTAACAGAGAAGAAGTGCCAGACAGTGGGACACTGTCCTTTAACAGGGAAGTGTCAGACAGTAGGACACGATCCCCCTTTGACAGTGAGTGAGTGAGTGAGTATGTTTTTTAGCAATAGTCCAGCAATATCACAAAGGGGGACACCAGAAACAGGCTTCACACATTGCTCCCATCGCTTCAACCACTAGGCTACCCCACTGCTCCACCCCTCTTTAACAGACAGGCTGTCCTTTTTTAACAGAGAGGTGTTAGAGGGACACTGTCACTTTTAACAGAGAAGCAGTGCTAGAGAGTCGGACACTGTCCTTCCTTAACAGAAAAACAGTGCTAGAGAGTCAGACACTGTCCTTCCTTAACAGAAAAGCAGTGCTAGATAGCAAGTCACTGTCCCTCTTTAACAGAGAAGCAGACAGAGATAAAAATCTCACAACTGATTTATTAAGGCCTTAAATATACACTCAACATTAAACTTGAAGACGCATTTATCTGTCACCTAAGCAGGGATTGTCTGATTACCCAGACTGCTTTTTTTGTGAACAAATACATTTTTCTTACCCAGAAAATCAAAGAACATATGGGTTACCCTATTTTATAGACAGCCACCCAATTTAATACAGAATAATACTTATATGTCTTGACCTCATCCAATATCCCTGACAGCATTTCCATTCACCTCTAATCCATATATGATCAAGCAAAGGAAGAATTGTTCACAGACTCTTGTGTGAAGAAGACAGCAAGTTCAGCAAATTATACAACAGGTGCCATATTTATTCCAGCCATTTGTCGATAAATAATAGAGCTATATTTAATGTCTACAACAAAATGTTTCCCATATACTTTTTCATAAACATCTTGTTTTCATCAGCCAAAGTTGTCTTGAAAATATATCCTGTGACACCAGATGATTTTCAGTTAGGTTTCAGTCCATTCCGAACTGACACAATAAATCTCACAAAGTCCAATCCTCTCCTTGCATTTCAACATTAGGGGTACAAGATATCGTAATGTCCTGGTCGATATAGCAGGTGTATGGAGGGCCTGCTGCCTTCTGGGAAATCATGGTGATTGCAAGTTGGTCCCTCATTCCGATCCATGTACTCGACCCTGACCCCAACTCCAAGGGCAGAGGTCAAGGCTATGATATGGATATGGTCACTTTCCTTTCCCATTGGTTCGACTTCCTGTGAAACAAAGAAACAAAACGTATTAGACATATGAATATAGCTAAATGAAGTTAATTCTTTTTGGTGGAAGGGAGGGGGGAGCAACTATTTCTTCTGAATACTGGCCTGAAAGTGATCAAGCCAATCCATTTAAGTGCCTTGTATGACAAGTATAGTTTAATGGGAACTAGTCATACCATTCCTCCCCAGGGTGGCACGCAAATGAAAATGTTTTGGCACTATAAACATCTATATCAATTATTATAACTTTCTTAACATAAATATATAAATCAAAACCAAATATCTGAATATTTTCTTATTAATTAAAAATATTTCTACTTATTCTAATATTAACTTAGGCTTAAATAAGATTTACAACTGTATATCAAGATATTTATTTTTGTGTGTATCATTTGTGTATAATTCTGTAGTTAAAAAGCACTAAATCTTACCATTATTTCCCGATCATTTTAGCAAAGAAAAGATAGCCTACCTGGCCACAGAATTCTTTCACAGTTCGGCCACCTTCAATGAAGTTGATGAAGAAGTCACTTTCCTTCTGTAGATGCCCTGACACCAGCAGCCTGAATGACAGCTTGACATGTGAATCAGTGTACGCACAGACAGTCACATAACAACAACCTGGATCACAGCATGACATTTGAATCAGTGTACACCAAGACAGTCACATAGCAACAACCTGCATCACAGCATGACATGTGAATCGGTGTACACACAGACAGTCACATAGCAACAACCTGCATCACAGCTTGACATGTGAATCGGTGTACACACAGACAGTCACATAGCAGCAACCTGCATCACAGCTTGACATGTGAATCGGTGTACACACAGACAGTCATATAGCAACAACCTGCATTACAGCTTGACATGTGAATCAGTGTACACACAGTCACATAGTAACAACCTGGATCACAGCTTGACATGTGAATCAGTGTACACCCAGACAGTCATATAGCAACAACCTGCATCACAGCTTGACATGTGAATCAGTGTACACCCAGACAGTCATATAGCAACAACCTGCATCACAGCTTGACATGTGAATCAGTGTACGCACAGACAGTCACATAACAACAACCTGGATCACAGCATGACATTTGAATCAGTGTACACACAGTCACATAGTAACAACCTGGATCACAGCTTGACATGTGAATCAGTGTACACACAGTCACATAGTAACAACCTGGATCACAGCTTGACATGTGAATCAGTGTACACCTAGACAGTCATATAGCAACAACCAGCATCACAGCTTGACATGTGAATCAGTGTACACACAGTCACATAGTAACAACCTGGATCATAGCATGACATGTGAATCAGTGTACACCCAGACAGTCATATAGCAACAACCTGCATCACAGCTTGACATGTGAATCAGTGTACACACAGTCACATAGTAACAACCTGGATCACATGCTTGACATGTGATACAGTGGACATGAAATGTTCTGAACAATTATCTGGTTTTGGTCTCAAAATAATTAGATTGGGTCCTTCGGGAAAATATTTATGCCTCTCCCCTTGAATATATAATTGTGTCCATAAGTTCCCCTTGATTCCTGTGATGAATGGATGAATGTGACCCAAGATGTGATGAACAGAGGATTGCAACCCAAGATGTGATGAACAGAGGATTGCAACCCAAGATGTGATGAACAGAGGATTGCAACCCAAGATGTGATGAACAGAGGATTGCAACCCAAGATGTGATGAACAGAGGATTGCAACCCAAGATGTGATGAACAGAGGATAGCAACCAAAGATGTGATGAACAGAGGATTGCAACCCACGATTTGATGAACAGAGGATTGCAACCCAAGATATGATGAACAGAGGATTGCAACCCAAGATGTGATGAACAGAGGATTGCAACCCAAGATGTGATGAACAGAGGATTGCAACCCAAGATGTGATGAACAGAGGATAGCAACCAAAGATGTGATGAACAGAGGATTGCAACCCACGATTTGATGAACAGAGGATTGCAACCCAAGATATGATGAACAGAGGATTGCAACCCAAGATGTGATGAACAGAGGATTGCAACCCAAGATATGATGAACAGAGGATTGCAACCCAAGATGTGATGAACAGAGGATTGCAACCCAAGATGTGATGAACAGAGGATTGCAACCCATGATGTGATGAACAGAGGATTGCAACCAAAGATGTGATGAACAGAGGATTGCAACCAAAGAAGTGATGAACAGAGGATTGCAACCCAAGATGTGATGAACAGAGGATTGCAACCCAAGATGTGATGAACAGAGGATTGCAACCAAAGATGTGATGAACCTGGATTCGAACCTACAATCTAAGGTTTGGGGCGAGCCCAAGGGATGTAACTCTCCACAGTAAATTGCGGCGCCCTTGACGACTCGGCAACCCATGGCCCCTAAGATTTGATAAACAGATGATTGCAACCCAAGATAAAGTGGATTACCTTAAATACACAACAACGTAGTCAGACAGACCCTGGTCATTGAAGGAGGTCTCAAGGTCAGACAGTGGACATTTGCTCTCTACCTGTGTTATGATGTCCATAAACTGAAACATAAGTGTATATTACCATAGTTACAATACACAACAATACTGTTCTATGTGTCTCCTAACAGTGAGTGAGTGAATATGGTTTTACTCCTCTTTTAGCAATATACCAGCAATATCACGGTGGGGGACACCAGAAATGGGCTTCACACATTGTACCCATGTCGGAAATCAAAACCCAGGTCTTCAGCATGACGAACGAACGCTTTAACCACTAGGCTATCCGACCGCCCGTCTCCTAACAGTGGCTAACACCTAACTAAAGTCTTGTAACCAGATATCATACTTTCGTTTGGTTTGTTTGTTAGTTGTTTAACAATGCACTCAGCAATATTCCAGCCATAAGACGGTGGTCTGTAAATAACCAAGTAAGCGATCCACCCGATTAGTTAATCGCCTCATATGACAAGCATAGTCGCTTCTCACAACAAGCATGGCTTTCTAAAGACCTATTCTCACCCGGGTCTTCATGGGTCTGTTATGTCTGGTATATGTTTGCTGTGCATGGTATGTCTGTTATATCTGGTATATCTGTTACACATGGTATGTCTGGATTATTATGGGTGAGGTGAGGTGAGGTAAAATGGGGTTTAACACATAACGTTCAAGATTATTGCGCTTATATAGAGATGTGCATGCGTGGGTGTGTGAGTGTGTGGTTTGTAGTGGTGTGGTGTGGTGTTTAGTGGTGTGGTGTGTAGTGGTGTGGTGTGGTGTGTAATGGTGTGGTGTGTAGTGGTGTGGTGTGGTGTGTAATGGTGTGGTGTGTAGTGGTGTGGTGTGTAATGGTGTGGTGTGGTGTGTAGTGGTGTGGTGTGTAATGGTGTGGTGTGTAGTGGTGTGGTGTGTAATGGTGTGGTGTGTGAGTGTGTGGTTTGTAGTGGTGTGGTGTGGTGTGGTGTGTAGTGGTGTGGTGTGTAATGGTGTGGTGTGTAGTGGTGTGGTGTGTAGTGGTGTGGTGTGTAATGGTGTGGTGTGTGAGTGTGTGGTTTGTAGTGGTGTGGTGTGGTGTGTAGTGGTGTGGTGTGTAGTGGTGTGGTGTGTAATGGTGTGGTGTGGTGTGTAATGGTGTGGTGTGTAGTGGTGTGGTGTGTAATGGTGTGGTGTGTAGTGGTGTGGTGTGTAATGGTGTGGTGTGGTGTGTAGTGGTGTGGTGTGTAATGGTGTGGTGTGTAGTGGTGTGTAGTGGTGTGGTGTGGTGTGGTGCGTCTCAAAAACAGTATACTGACTCCAAGCCGACCAGTTCTTGTTTTAGCCTCTTAATGCCAAGCGCCAGGCGGGGTAACATAAAGTACCATCTTTTAACTTCTTTTGGTGTGATGCGGTCAGGGATCGAACCCTGGACGTTCCGCTCTCCAGGCAGATGCTCTACCAGTAGACAACGGAGGCGGGCTGGTATTTATGGTATGGCTGATATGGCACCTCATACCATGCATACCGTGATATGAGACGTACATCATAAAGACAATCATGACAAATTAAATGGTATCTAGGCTACATCAATGCCACCAAATACGTCAGAACTATGAGTTATACTAAATATTGAAGGCATCAAGTTATAGTGTGAAACAAACTTACTGTTTCATGAAAATCTTCAATGGTAAACTGTGGAAAGCCTAGAGTGACTAACTCATCTTTACTCTTGCTGGCTATCTCTTTGAACCTGTAAATTGACAGCAGTATTCATGATTGCAAATATGCAAAGTTAAAAGGTTAATAGGCAGTTTAGTTTTTACACATTCGTAAAAACCAACTACTATTTTTGTGTTGTTTAACGCCGCACTCAGCAATATTCCAGCTATATGACAGCGGTCTGTGAATAATCAAGTCTGGACCAGACAATCCAGTGATTGACATCAAGAGCATCGGTCCATGTAATTGGGATGCATCAACCAAATCAGCGAGTCTGACCACCCGATCCTTTTAGTCTCCTCTTACAACAAACATAGTCGCTTTTTATGGCAAGCACGGGTTGGTGAAGACCTATTCTACCCCGGATCTTCACGGGTCTGTAAACAAACTAAGGTGTGACTTCTTCATCATGTCTGTGCAACATCTACATGTTAAGGGACCCACCTTGTCATGTCTGTATCATCTGTGAGCAGCTTCTCCAGGTAGGAAAAACCAAATGCCCGGAAAAAGCAATTTCCATCCCCTCGTGTCTTCCTCACCTGTTTGTACCTTGACCGCATGTCCTGCAACAACCACACACAATAGTCAGCTCAGTCTGCTCGACAACATTGTCTTACATCAAGTATAAATAACAACCTTCTCCATACAAATTCAATTTGACACAGTTAAATCTACATGTAACAACACTGCCTTGAAACTGTCTATTTTTATACCTAAATGTTCCTATGTTTTGTTCAACACTGAATGAATTTTTGTGTGTGTAAATAGTGAGTGAGTTGGGTTAATGCTGCATGTAACAGTATTACATCACAATGTGTCAGCTTAATGTGGAAGGCAAGCCCGAAATGATGCAGGTCGCTGAAGTTTACCACTTTGGTGAACAATGGTTAAACTACGAGCATGGGTATGGTGCTGATAAACCTGAAATTTGAACCGGGATTTGAACCCACAATCACAGGTTTCTGGCGTGTCCAAGGGACACAGCTGTGCACAATGAATTGTGGCGCCTTAGACAACTGGGCGACCTGTGCAATAGCATGCATGTAATTAAGTGTAATAAATGTGAAATATCAAAATGTACACCCAAGGACCACTCGTAGCACCAGGGGTGAGGAAATATATCAACATGTACACCCAAGGACCACTCGGAGCAACAGGGGTGAGGAAATATATCAATATCTACACCCAAGGACCACTCGGAGCACCAGGGGTGAGGAAATATATCAACATGTACACCCAAGGACCACTCGTAGCACCAGGGGTGAGGAAATATATCAACATGTACACCCAAGGACCACTCGGAGCAAGAGGGGTGAGGAAATATCAACATGTACACCCAAGGACCACTCGGAGCAAGAGGGGTGAGGAAATATCAACATATACACCCAAGGACCACTCAGAGCACCAGGGGTGAGGAAATATATCAACATGTACACCCAAGGACCATTCGGAGCAACAGGGGTGACACATAATTCAATTTATTCACACACACTTGGTCCAGGTAGACATACAGATTAGGTTGCATTTTTCAATAACAGGTTGCACTGGTGCATGTTTATACATATCTCACTCAGACCCTGTCAGGTTGCTATTTTCAGATATATTTTTTACCACAAAGCTGACAAAACTTTCATCACATTTGTGTTTATTTCCAATACTTCCTGCACTTGATTATCAACATAAAACTCCACTTACATCCAACTTCTTGCGGTAAACCTCATCTTCCTGGGCATACTCCTCGATGAGTTCCTCCACACTCAGCTGTTCACTGACCAGCAACTGACTGTCTGTGATCTGTACATACACAATACATACACTCAGCCGTTTACTGACCAGAGACTGACTGTGATCTGTACATACACAATACATATACTCAGCTGTTTACTGACCAGCAACTGACTGTCTGTGATCTGTACATACACAATACATATACTCAGCTGTTTACTGACCAGCAACTGACTGTCATCTGTACATACACAATACATACACTCAGCTGTTTACTGACCAGCAACTGACTGTCTATGATCTGTAAATACACAATACATACACTCATCTGTGTACTGACCAGTGACTGTCTGTGATCTGTACATACACAATATGTACATTCATCTGTGTACTGACCAGTGATTGTATGTGATCTGTACATACACAATACATACACTCAGCTGTGTACTGACCAGTGACTGTCTGTGATCTGTACATACACAATACATATACTCAGCTGTTCACTGACCAGCAACTGACTGTCTGTCATCTGTACATACACAATACATACACTCAGCTGTTCACTGACCAGCAACTGACTGTCTGTGATCTGTACATACACAATACATACACTCAGCTGTGTACTGACCAGTGACTGTCTGTGATCTGTACATAGACAATACATATACTCACCTGTTCACTGACCAGCAAATGACTGTCTGTGATCTGTACATACACAATACATACACTCAGCTGTGTACTGACCAGTGACTGTCTGTGATCTGTACATAGACAATACATATACTCACCTGTTCACTGACCAGCAACTGACTGTCTGTCATCTGTACATACACAATACATACACTCAGCTGTTCACTGACCAGTGACTGTCTGTGATCTGTACATACACAATACATACACTCAGCTGTTCACTGACCAGCAAATGACTGTCTGTCATCTTTACATACACAATACATACACTCAGCTGTTTACTGACCAGTGACTGTATGTGATCTGTACATACACAATATGTACACTCATCTGTGTACTGACCAGTGACTGTCTGTGATCTGTACATACACAATACATATACTCAGCTGTTCACTGACCAGCAAATGACTGTCTGTCATCTTTACATACACAATACATACACTCAGCTGTTCACTGACCAGCAAATGACTGTCTGTGATCTGTACATACACAATACATACACTCAGCTGTTCACTGACCAGCAACTGACTGTCTGTCATCTTTACATACCCAATACATACACTCAGCTGTTCACTGACCAGCAAATGACTGTCTGTGATCTGTACATACACAATACATACACTCAGCTGTTCACTGACCAGCAAATGACTGTCTGTCATCTTTACATACACAATACATACACTCAGCTGTTTACTGACCAGTGACTGTCTGTGATCTGTACATACACAATATGTACACTCATCTGTGTACTGACCAGTGACTGTCTGTGATCTGTACATACACAATACATACACTCATCTGTTTACTGACCAGTGACTGTCTGTGATCTGTACATACACAATACATACACTCATCTGTGTACTGACCAGCAAATGACTGTCTGTCATCTTTACATACACAATACATACACTCAGCTGCTTACTGACCAGCAAATGACTGTCTGTCATCTTTACATACACAATACATACACTCAGCTGTTTACTGACCAGTGACTGTCTGTCATCTGTACATACACGATACATACACTCAGCTGTGTACTGACCAGCAAATGACTGTCTGTGATCTGTACATACACAATACATACACTCAGCTGTTCACTGACCAGCAAATGACTGTCTGTGATCTGTACATACACAATACATACACTCGGCTGTTCACTGACCAGCAAATGACTGTCTGTCATCTTTACATACACAATACATACACTCAGCTGTTTACTGACCAGTGACTGTCTGTGATCTGTACATACACAATACATACACTCAGCTGTTTACTGACCAGTGACTGTCTGTGATCTGTACATACACAATACATACACTTAGCTGTTTACTGACCAGTGACTGTCTGTGATCTGTACATACACAATACATACATTCAGCTGTTCACTGACCAGTGACTGTCTGTGATCTGTACATACACAATACATACACTCAGCTGTTTACTGACCAGTGACTGTCTGTGATCTGTACATACACAATATATACACTCATCTGTGTACTGACCAGTGATTGTCTGTGATCTGTACATACACAATACATACATTCATCTGTGTACTGACCAGTGACTGTCTGTGATCTGTACATACACAATACATACACTCAGCTGTTTACTGACCAGTGACTGTATGTGATCTGTACATACACAATACATACACTCAGCTGTTTACTGACCAGTGACTGTCTGTGATCTGTACATACACAATACATACACTCAGCTGTTTACTGACCAGTGACTGTATGTGATCTGTACATACACAATATGTACACTCATCTGTTTACTGACCAGTGACTGTCTATGATCTGTACATACACAATATATACACTCATCTGTGTACTGACCAGTGACTGTCTGTCATCTGTACATACACAATACATACACTCAGCTGTTCACTGACCAGCAACTGACTGTCTGTGATCTGTACATACACAATACATACACTCAGCTGTTTACTGACCAGTGACTGTCTGTCATCTGTACATACACAATACATATACTCAGCTGTTCACTGACCAGCAACTGACTGTCTGTGATCTGTACATACACAATACATACACTCAGCTGTTCACTGACCAGCAACTGACTTTCTGTCATCTGTACATACACAATACATACACTCAGCTGTTCACTGACCAGCAACTGACTGTCTGTCATCTGTACATACACAATACATACACTCATCTGTGTACTGACCAGTGACTGTCTGTCATCTGTACATACACAATATGTACACTCAGCTGTTCACTGACCAGTGACTGTCTGTGATCTGTACATACACAATACATACACTCAGCTGTTCACTGACCAGTGACTGTCTGTGATCTGTATATACACAATACATACACTCAGCTGTTTACTGACCAGTGACTGTCTGTGATCTGTACATACACAATATATACACTCATCTGTGTACTGACCAGTGACTGTCTGTCATCTGTACATACACAATACATACACTCAGCTGTTCACTGACCAGCAACTGACTGTCTGTGATCTGTACATACACAATACATACACTCAGCTGTGTACTGACCAGTGACTGTCTGTCATCTGTACATACACAATACATACACTCAGCTATTTACTGACCAGTGACTGTCTGTCATCTGTACATACACAATACATATACTCAGCTGTTCACTGACCAGCAACTGACTGTCTGTCATCTGTACATACACAATACATACACTCAGCTGTTCACTGACCAGCAACTGACTGTCTGTCATCTGTACATACTCAATACATATACTAAGCTGTTTACTGACCAGCAACTGACTGTCTGTGATCTGTACATACACAATACATACACTCAGCTGTTAACTGACCAGTGACTGTCTGTCATCTGTACATACACAATACATATACTCAGCTGTTCACTGACCAGCAACTGACTGTCATCTGTACATACACAATACATACACTCAGCTGTTTACTGACCAGTGACTGTCTTTGATCTGTACATACACAATACGTATACTCAGCTGTTTACTGACCAGTGACTGACTGTCTGTGATCTGTACATACACAATACATACACTCAGCTGTTTACTGACCAGCAACTGACTGTCATCTGTACATACACAATTCATATACTAAGCTGTTTACTGACCAGCAACTGACTGTCTGTGATGTGTACATACACAATACATACACTCAGCTGTTTACTGACCAGTGACTGTCTGTGATCTGTACATACACAATACATACAATCATCTGTGTACTGACCAGTGACTGTCTGTGATCTGTACATACACAATACATACACTCATCTGTGTACTGACCAGTGACTGTCTGTGATCTGTACATACACAATATGTACACTCAGCTGTTTACTGACCAGCAACTGACTGTCTGTGATCTGTACATACACAATATGTACACTCATCTGTGTACTGACCAGTGACTGTCTGTGATCTGTACATACACAATATGTACACTCAGCTGTTTACTGACCAGCAACTGACTGTCTGTGATCTGTACATACACAATATGTACACTCATCTGTGTACTGACCAGTGACTAACTGTCTGTAATCTGTACATGCACAATACAAATAACAGACCAATATTAAAAGGCCATATCTAGAACCATAATCAGTTGCACTGAACTTGCACAAAAAACATATCTTTTTCAGAAATACACATTTTTATATACAATTGGAAAAAATTGCACTAAAAAAATTTATTCAAGTATTTGAAAAAATAATATTTATATGACATTGATTTTGACTGAATTTTAGCCAATGGATCATTTGTTCTGATAAAGACACAGCTTATAGCTCATTTTGTAGCTTGACAGGTTACAATGAAAAACATAATCAGTGAATAAATTATTTTTTTTAAATTTCATTTGTTTTATTGCACCACCACTGTTATACTGTCACTGAATATTGTACTACCATTCTAGTGTGTACTGTCATTGTAATTGCTGTGCAGTCATTTGTATTGATTTGTAAACCTAGTTAATTTGTAATACAATTGTTGATTGTTAGGGATGTGTATTGACCTGGATTTTGTATTTCAATGTATTGCCATACTTTAACCTGTATTGCGATACGTATTGCAATATATTGCCATACTTTAACCTGTAATGCAATACGTATTGCAATATATTGCCAATTTACATTTTCATGAGTTAATCAGAGTTATACCTTGTATTAATGTCAGATACCATCAGTCGGTGTCCCTTATTAATTAGTTATTTGAGACAATGTCGAAATCATCTGCCATTTTGTATACCAGCAACGATTAAGGGAGATGATATGGTCACATGGTAGCTTAAATATACTTATTTATATTTCCCCCAATATCTTGCTACATTTACAAACGTATCGCAATACGAGTTGCTGAAGATTTGCACCACAATATACCGGTGTACCGGTAATACCGCACACCCTTATCGATTGAATACCACTTGTTGGTTGTTTGTTGGTTGTTTGTTGGTTTCACACTAAACTCTTTTACATACAGATTTCTGGGTTAACATATTGTTTCAATTTGGGAATCAACATGTAACAAGAGTGACAACCGCAAGTATGTAACATAAAAAAGAGTCAACAAATCTGTACTGAAGTACCCAAGTTAGTCCTGTTATTACACAGCTTGGTTATAAAAAGTGTTCATAGTATATCCTGTTTGATTACATTCAGTATTATTTACATTAATTTCACAGAAGTCGTGTGAGAACTGATTGGCAGCTTGTACCAACTCACTGTTCCTTGATTACCATGGTTACCGCTACTGATGCCTTGAAACAAACTTTAGTTGTCAGATATATGTACCATAAATGCCACACTTTGACTCAGAAAAATCATGTTTGCTATTATTTATGTTCTGTTAAATGGTAAGACAGCAGGATGTCTTCATGTCAAGATCACTGTTAGGTTGATCTTAAATGGTCACAGTGTTCCATAAATAACCGGTAACATTCCAAAGTGCAACTCTAAAGATTATTTTTTAATGTATTTTGTAAAAGCAGGATTAATAACATAATCACAAAATATAAAGTTTCAGACATAATATTCTCTGTTTGATCATTGCATGAAACATTGTCTAAGTTGTTCTAGAGGATATTCCTTAACTGCATCACTGGTAGATCATGGGAGAAAATGTACAGCTGATTGCCAGTTCCTGAATATTTTACAAGACAATTACTTAATTTTTGATTATACAATAATAGGCCTAGCGTAACAGGATGTAATTGAAATTGTAAATCACTATGTCTAGTAATCATGGTAATGTTTTGTCAATTAGTTAAATACTGAAGTTAATTGTAATCAGTCGGACATACTAACCTGTGTATACAGATATCAGTCATCTAAAATAACCCTGAATGATGACTCATGGTGATCGGAGTCCTGTATACATGGTATAATTTTCATTATTTCTGAGAGAACACATATATTGTTCAGTTCACCTACCCGCCCTAAAAATACAACCCACATCTGAGTTTGTCCGACCGTAACGGAACATGACACCAAATTAGAGCTATAGATCGGATTATAATTAATTTGGTATATGTTCGGAAAAGAAACATGAGAAAAGAAGAAGGGTGAAACTGCTACAACTAAGCGATAAAATGTCTTACCTCCTTTTCAATATTTCTTTGCTGTGCCAGTGTTTCTTCATCATAATTTTTATCTGTAAATATTTACAACATAAAACCCGATGATTTATGTCAATGAAAGAGTGACAAGTATAGTCAATATGGTCAAGGACAATAATCTACTCACAGCAATCGATATCACAGTAATATGAGCAGTAGTGGGTCGATACACTGATGCATTGGTGGATCATGATTTTTTACATCTAAATACAAGTATTGATTACAATCGCACACTAATCAAAAAGTATCAACACTTATATTCTTTAATAAATGTTACACCAAACATTAATGATACTCGTGAAAATGAGTAGTGTAAGCATAAATATGTTCATCCATTGCGACATACTGGACTCTGCCAACTCAAAATCGTTACTGTGCCAGGTGTTTGGCCATCCTGTCTATGAAAAAGATTGTTTACGCACCACAGATAAGAGCACGTGCAACTTAAAGTGTTGGTACAGTTTGATTGGAACAGGAGATCCAATGCCTAAAGAGAGTGTTGGATGTAATCCCATAAACGAGATCAGTGAAGTGTGTTCAGCAGGCGGAGGGTAATTAGCATCTCTCGATAAACCATACCTCATGATTCATTCGATATAATTTGCTTATTGTGTTTTCTTGTCAAAAGACGCTGCTTAGCTACTGAGGTTATGATCGCCTCAAAAACGTAATCACGAACGATGAAACCAAACACTGAGGTTTCAAACAATACCAAGCAACGAATGTGACATCACATCACGGAAAACAAATATCACGTCTTTTAAGTCCCTATCCATTCACTTTCTTAACTCAGACTAGTCGAATTCAGACAATATCAAGAAAAACAAATCTACCTGGATCGTACTTGAAACTTCCCTCCGCCATGGCATCGATGTTAGACATGCGTGAAATACAGCTTCCGCTTCCGTAGGGGATTTCCCAGGCGCTTTGTGACGTCATACAGTAATAGGTTGACAACAGTGTCTGAAGGGTCAGCTGAACGTGAAAGATGAAAATGGCGGTAGCTATGAACTTTGATTATCTCACATTCTGATCCCCACACGGAGCTTTTAATCATGGAGTCGGAAAGCAGGGATCCGCAGAGACGAGGTCAGATATTTTGATTTGAAATATTTATTGAAATCATATACTTATAAACTTATTTTTGAAATCATTTGTACCATATTAGATTCGTAATTACCCTTGCTAGCTGTCTCGCGTGGACGCGTACGAGTTGGGTACCGATTTAATAAAAAGCTACGTTTGAAAGAAATATGATAATATTATACTCGGTCGATACAGATATATGTTTTCTTAACTTGAATAATACTTGATACAATCTGCCTTAAGAGTTCAATTAGACAGAGCAGCGGTCGAATAATGTATCTAAACTAAAGAAAGTATACACCTTGATCCAAAAACATACAAAACTTACTCGGCTGAAAACATTGTCAGATACTTGATCATCATCGCATAACCATTTCTGGCCACCATCAAACATGGCTGTATCCTTTGTTTTGCCCGACAGTCCATGTCAGATGTTTGTTTTCAATGTGTATTCATTTGTTACTTTGTTGGTGATTTACTCTTAACACAAATGCAATTGAGTTCCTACAGATGTGGCGATTCCTGATCATTCCTCAGCAAGCTGAGCTACCATCTTAATCACATTGTAGTATCATAAAGTCAAATATTTGAGAACGTACAAATTGTCAGCTCCTGATAAATGTATCCTCAAATGCTGTTACGGATTTATGTTCAATAATGTTGAAAATTTGCTTGGTTGGATAATCAATTGCCATAAAATCGTTAGCAATTTATTTATTACGTGTATTGCGCTGATCGTATCTTTGAACCAGTGCCGGGGCGGTCGGGTAGCCTAGTGGTTAAAGCGTTCGCTCGTCACGCCGAAGACCCGGGTTCGATTCCCGACATGGGTACAATGTGTGAAGCCCATTTCTGGTGTCCCCCGCCGTGATATTGCTGGAATATTGCTAAAAGCGGCGTAAAACCTTATTCACTCACTCACTTGAACCAGTGCCTTGTGTTAATAATGAAACAAGTTTGAAATTATTATTGCCTACTTATTGATAGTTATAAGAATTGACTTTTTTCGTTTGTGGAAAATATACACAGTTTACGTTTAAACTTCCATACACGCAAAAATCGTATTGAAGTCAAATCTAAATATCACAATAGAACGGATATATAGTACATCGGAAACTCGACCGCCATGTTCCATAGCTCGTTGAGAAAATTATGAATTATACATGCACGTGTATGGGTTTAACAACGTGAGTGCACTCATCGTAAAACATTACATTTATATAATATGTATATACAGCATGCCATATAGGGGCCGACCATTTGATAGTCTGGTTTTGCAGCTGAAAATATCTGGCCTCAATACATTTTTTGCGTGTCTTGTAGCAAGGGGTGGTCATACACGATATTTACGTGACGTGTCATTGAACTTGAGCGATTTTAGATGTGTGTGACTTTTGTCCATTACCATGAAAGCTTGTTTTTGCTACCACACCTCAATTCGGGCAACTGTCATGCCAATGTCGGATGTTGTATGACTGTCATTTTAAATGTTGATTTATTTTCAATACAATTTTACTTCATGCATCCATCTTGTGTGTCTTTTAAACGAGAGTGATTTAAAACTATAGTAAAGTTTCTTTTGGCCGTCAGTTTACATAAGTCCCAATCGTGACCAACTCGTGTTATTCCGGGACAAGTTACGGAAAGGGGCGAGTGGTGACGAATGACTCGTGTGGTACATGGATCCTCAACAACCAATATGCTTGTCCCAGAAGGCGACTGATATTGTTATACCCAAATATGGTTGACAACTGTATTTTTAGATATAACTTTGTATTCATTCCTCACTTGGGTACATGTCAAATTGTTCTCGTTGCTACGTGACTGAAATAATGCCGATGCGACTTTAAACTTTACCTCACTCACTCAATAGAATTATGTGGGTCGGCTGGCCCGGCTCGCTGACTTAGTTGAATATGTAATTGTATCACAATTAGATTCTCTAGGTGTCGATCCCTGGATTATCTGGTCCAGACTCAATTATTTACATGCCCGCGTCATATAGCTGGAATATTGTGCTGCGTTAAACAAACAAAAATACTTTAGACTGGATGTAATGTACTAGCGACAAAAAATAAGTGAATCGATTGTGTGAATGTAGCTATCGTTTGAACTTAAACAACGAACAAAAATTATATATCAGATGAAAACAGATTTAATATCTAACTAGGGTATCTTAAATTTAAACGCGTGTTCTGTATTAAAACACCCAAACGTTTTTTGAACTATGGAGAAGTCAGGTATTAAACTAGACGTATAGTTTTCTAAGAAAGTATATTTGTTTATTGTATGTCTATTTTTCCCCCAGCAAATTTCACGGATTTAGCCCTTACGCTCTTCCGAAAGAAACACGGGCGCGCGGAGCAGAACCAAAAAGTGCAGGCCCTAACGCCGCACGTGCCAGGCCTGGTCACTTTCGCTGACCATACCAGAGCCTTGCCATGGAGCACAGAGTACCACTCTGTCTTGATGTTTGCCGACATATCAGGTCAGTTCGAACTCGAACTTCGAACAGTTGTCTTGTCGTTGCTTGAGTTTGGTTTAATGCCGATTTGAACGGTATATATATATATATATAAGTTATATTACAGCGGCCGGTGTTAAATGTTAAATTAAAACTTAATGTATAATGAATAACCACATGCCATATGGCGTGGGTAGTCTCTCTTACAGACCCCCGAGCATGTGTTAAATATAACCACTACCCCCATTTCATGTAATTAGGAGACTGTTCCTAATAGGGGAGGTTTACACGCAAACATCACATTCTTTCTCATTTTAGACAAAACGCAATTTTAGAATTAGTAAGTATCAGTGTTTGAAAATATACCCTCATTTTTCTCACAGTGAAAGTTGGAAGCTCGCAATAAGTGTGAAAGTGTCATGCCGTTATGAGGCCTTCGTTTTCCAGCTAAACAGGCCAGAGTTATTCCCCTTAGATTATGACGTAATTGGTGCCAATTGAACTGGGTCCCTGTCTTGTCACAACGCAAAAGATATCAAGTACCAGTTTATGGTGAGACAACATGGCATCCGATACACTGCCTAATCCGAAGAAGTTCCCTTGACCCGTCAAGAAATCGCAAATCAGTTAGCACCAATGACGTCATATTGCAAGGGGCATAAGCCATGATGTGTTTATTATGGAAATAGAACTCTCGGTAAATGTGAGAAATATAAACCGATCTAATAAATAAAATAAATTTGATACTTATGATATTTGTATTGTTTTGCCTCTGAAACTACAAGGTAAATACTTTTCATGATGAAAAAGTACAAGAAAAATAGGTTTATATTCGTGTGAACGTGCCCTTTAACACGCAAGGGATCCTTTATACAATTATTTACATTGAATTGTCTGCATAGCTCTATTTCGGGGACTATATGTTAGTCGAGTATATGGATCAAAATTGGTGAAACAGTATGGTACAGTCCGACCAGACACAATGCCACTTCAGATTCAACCTTCACCCTATCGTGTTCATCAATGTCATAACAATGCATTATGTCTGTCCCCAGGATTTACATCCTTATGTGAGCAGTATAGCGCAATGGAGAAGAGCGGCATCGACGAACTTACCAGCACCCTCAACGCCTACATGGGCGCCATCGTCGACGGCATTCTCTCCTCGGACGGGGACGTGCTCAAATACGCCGGTACAAATTCAGTTTGTTGCGGTTAACATACGCTTATCGATAAGATACATCCATTTACAAGGCGTCATGTGTGAAAATCTTAGTTTCATTGAAGTCTTTCGAAATCCATTGTCCAGCTGCGATGAGCTGCTGTGTTCTGTTATGATCAATCGGGTAGTTAAGCATGACCTTACTCTGGAGACCATTTTTAAATTTGAGATTCACGGATCCGCCGACCATTGCAAAAAATCTGCCGCTTAGAAAAGATTAACATTAAGAAGTGTATATTTCAATAAATGTCTATGAAACAAATACAAAAAGTGGTATAGAATTATAAAACAATACAAACATTAAATTTTCAGATAAACTGAATACAAAACGGAATGGCATCCAAGGCCGACACTCACCTGAACTGATGACCTTGTTTTGAAAAATTACTTGGCGGCTTGATCGTATTCAGTTAGCATCTGAAATTGCGGGGTTTCCTATTTACTGGTTTCCTTGTGTGCTATAGGGGATGCTATCCTTGCTTTATGGCGGGTGAATGTCGAGTCGGAGCTCCCTGCCGCGTTAGACCGAGTCATCCAGTGTTGCCTGGACATACAAGGGTATTGTGGAGAGTGGGACACGGACATAGGGGTCAAACTCACCGTCAAAATGGGTAGGTAACTAACAGTGTTAAGTCAATTCATCTTAATGACCTTCGTTACAGTTTCTGGAATTCAGTTTCAGGCCTACAATGAACAACATCAAGAGACGCCGTTTAATGTAGCAATGGCCATAATGCGTGAAAACTAATCTACTGATGTGTATTTAACATATTTGGGGGCAATACATATGAAACAAGTCCTAACTTTGGTCAAGCTATGTACTTTGCAAATATACACAGAATTGAGTCAGTTAGATATTATTCTGCCTCTGAAGTTGCTTTAGGTACCGACCAGTTGATATTCGGGGAGACGGGGGGGGGGGGGGGGGGGGGGGGGTTGATCGAAAAAAAGATATTGCCACAGAGAATTCTTGAAAAAACATATGCTTTAGACTGTTGAAAAAGGGAAATTGTCTTCCACAAAATGTACAATGTTGCACGATGATTTTCTTTAAAAACATTCAGGCTCAAACAAACATTATCTGGTTTTGTCCTGAAGCTGAAAAAATATCTTTTCTCCATACAAAAACCCAGAATGGAATGTGCTGCGTTAAAGAAACAAAAATAGTTTTAACTTGATTTAATGAGAACTTTTGTAATGAGCACTGTTACAGGAGAGATGGTACCGGCCACCTTCACCTGAAGCCATTACATCTGGCGTGTTGTTTGTTCCGTAACAAGATAACATTTACATCCCAGGTATTGGACTCTCTCCATTAATTATTGGTGGACACAGATCACACACCCTCATAGAAGAATGTTTGATTTGGGTATACATAATCTTTTAAGTTGACGTAGTCATATTTTACCATGCACGTGTCTTAAGAACACTTTTGAGTAATTGTTTTACCTCGAATTACCAAACGTTAAAATAACCTTGAGATTTATGAATATTAAACTTCGCGACCAAACTAGGTATTGCCGCTGGCGATATGACCATGACCTTCCTTGGCAACGACGAGTTCCGCCATTACGTGGAGCTGGGGCAGGTTGTGTCTGACGTCAACAAGGCGGAGAGCTTCTGTAAGTCGGGCTATGTCGTCATGTCGCCTAGCGCCTGGGAGCTCTGCAATTGCGGCCGGTATGAGTACGAGGTCATGGAAGATGGTGCACACATCAGGGTACGTTCTTCGTCGCTAGATGTCAAGTTGGGACTTAAATGGGTGATTGTGTGAATTGGTGTTAACGCCGCTTTTTGAAAATATCTTACTGGAATACTGTTTGAAGCGGCGTTAAACCCAATTCACTCACTCACACCGTACAGCTTCATGCGGGAGGAAAGTCCGAAGTGATGCAGGTTTCTGACGTTTACCTCTTCGGTGAAACCCATGAGCACGGGTATGGTGCTGACAAACCTAGAAACATAATCGGAGCGAACCGTGATTCGAACCCAAAATCATAGGCTTCTGGTGTGCCCAAGGGACGCAATTTAGACGACTTGGCCATCCTTGCCCCTCACTAATGGATTTTAATGGAATAGGTTTTTTTGACGTATTGCCTGCAAATATATCTTCTCGGTTTTACTGTGATTGTAGGTAATACATGTTATGGTATACTTTTGTTGAGAAAAGATAGTAGACAAAACTGATTATAAGAAAATTCAATCAGTTGATTACATTTATAATTATCTATTTACATGACTGGCTTAGAGTACTGTGGCATTAACGGAACTGTGTCAGCTGAAGGGTTAAACATCGTTCTTTGTTCCAGGTATTGGAAATGAAACCTGAACCAGTAGTTGCTCGGACGTCAAGCTCTGAAGTTGTGAAAAACCGAGGTACTATGTACTTAACAGGGCTTCAGTTATCACCATCACTAGCTATGGTGTTACATCATACGTTTATGTTTTTCTGGTTGTTCAACGCCTTACTAAGCAATATTCCAGCTATGTGACGGCTGTCTGTAAAATAATCGAGTTTGGAGCAGGCAATCCAGTGATAGATGTCATGAGCATCAATCTACGCAATTTGGATACGATGACATGCATCAACCAAGTCAGCGAACCGGACCACGCGATCCCGTTAGTCGCATCTTACGACAAACATAGTCGCCCCTAATGATAAGCATGGGTACCTGAAGACCTATTCTAACCCGCATCTTCACGGGTATCATTTATGCTGATATACATTTGGCTCAGTATGCATTTGTGATGTAACGGTCAACAGAACTATCGATGCATTGCAAGTACACCTGTCCTGATGGCAATGTATCGACGACAAGGTAGTATACAAGTATCAATAGGTCGTATCGACAGATGAAACGAAATGAAGACAAGACTAGTAATCTACACATCTAGCTGTACATAGAATGTACGTTATCATACGATTGTAGCTACATGCAGTTGCACTACTGTCACAATAATGTTGCAAAGGTGGCACTGTTATAATACTGCAGCGATGTTGGCACTGCTGTCGCAGTATTGTGACAATGGAGTCACTGTTTTCACAGTGTTGTTGCAGTGGTGGCACTTTTATCGTAATACCATTGCATTGATGTGAGGGGCGGGAGTAACTGGACTGTCTGGAATAAAAACTGTGTTTGGTTGAAATCCTCGACTGAAAAAAATATCGGTCTCAAATAAAAATGCCTCCCACGTATTATATATATTATGGATATATGGCCTGTTGATCAAAACACTTCATTTTCATCCAGAGCGTCGTTTCTCCCTCACGGGTGGTGCTCCAAATTTCATGCAGTCCCAAGGGCGGCGTATGTCCCTCGCCACGAGCACTGTTCACGAGGACAACGTGTCCTCACCCCCCGGGCAGCCCCTGGTAGGGACCCGCGGTAGGGTGGATGTAGAGGACACCGTGGCGGAAGCGGCAGCCAGGAAGACCGGCTTCTCTTCCAAAACGATGACAGGGGTGCTGAAACGTACGTCATTCATCATTCAATGGGTCTTACCATGGTCCTATGATTGTTGTGCGTATTTTCCAACTTCAAAAAATGTCTTATTCAAGGGCGGATCCGTCATTTTAAAAGGAAGGAGTCATAAATAAGAAAATACTCTCTCAGATAATTTTAGTGTTTACAACATACTACATATTGTTTTCAAAAGAGGGTGGTGGGTGGGTGGGGGCGGTGTCCGGACCCCTTGAACACCCCCTCTCCCTGGACCCTGGAGGTTGTTCATTGTGTTTACGTACACCTGGTGTGCAATGCACGTGGGTGTGTGGCTTGTACTAGTCCGGGTTAACGCCGGTTTTATAGTGCTAGGCCACTGAGATACCTTTCCTTACTTTAACATGGCTACGTATACCCCACTAAGGCACAAGCCTTCTAGTCCTTGTTTTCACCCCACTCAGACACAAGCCTTGTAGTCCTTGTTTTCACCCCACTCAGGCACAAGCCTTCTAGTCCTTGTTTTCACCCCACTCAGGCACAAGCCTTCTAGTCCTTGTTTTCACCCCACTCAGGCACAAGACTTGTAGTCCTTGTTTTCACCCCACTCAGGCACAAGCCTTGTAGTCCTTGTTTTCACCCCACTCAGGCACAAGCCTTCTAGTCCTTGTTTTCACCCCACTCAGACACAAGCCTCGAGTCCTTGTTTTCACCCCACTCAGGCACAAGCCTTCTAATCCTTGTTTTCACCCCACTCAGGCACAAGCCTTCTAGTCCTTGTTTTCACCCCACTCAGGCACAAGCCTTGTAGTCCTTGTTTTCACTCCACTCAGACACAAGCCTTGTAGTCCTTGTTTTCACCCCACTCAGACACAAGCCTTGTAGTCCTTGTTTTCACCCCACTCAGGCACAAGCCTTGTAGTCCTTGTTTTCACCCCACTCAGGCACAAGCCTTGTAGTCCTTGTTTTCACCCCACTCAGGCACAAGCCTTGTAGCCCTTGTTTTCACCCCACTCAGGCACAAGCCTTGTAGTCCTTGTTTTCACTCCACTCAGACACAAGCCTTGTAGTCCTTGTTTTCACCCCACTCAGGCACAAGCCTTGTAGTCCTTGTTTTCACCCCACTCAGGCACAAGCCTTCTAGTCCTTGTTTTCACCCCACTCAGGCACAAGCCTTGTAGTCCTTGTTTTCACCCCACTCAGACACAAGCCTTGTAGTCCTTTTTTTCATCCCACTCAGACACAAGCCTTGTAGTCCTTGTTTTCATCCCACTCAGGCACAAGCCTTGTAGTCCTTGTTTTCACCCCACTCAGGCACAAGCCTTCTAGTCCTTGTTTTCACCCCACTCAGGCACAAGCCTTGTAGTCCTTGTTTTCACCCCACTCAGACACAAGCCTTGTAGTCCTTGTTTTCACCCCACTCAGGCACAAGCCTTGTAGTCCTTGTTTTCACCCCACTCAGACACAAGCCTTGTAGTCCTTGTTTTCACCCCACTCAGGCACAAGCCTTGTAGTCCTTGTTTTCACCCCACTCAGACACAAGCCTTGTAGTCCTTTTTTTCATCCCACTCAGACACAAGCCTTGTAGTCCTTGTTTTCACCCCACTCAGGCACAAGCCTTGAAGTCCTTGTTTTCACCCCACTCAGGCACAAGCCTTCTAGTCCTTGTTTTCACCCCACTCAGGCACAAGCCTTGTAGTCCTTGTTTTCACCCCACTGAGACACAAGCCTTGTAGTCCTTGTTTTCACCCCACTCAGGCACAAGCCTTGTAGTCCTTGTTTTCACCCCACTCAGGCACAAGCCTTGTAGTCCTTGTTTTCACCCCACTCAGGCACAAGCCTTGTAGTCCTTGTTTTCACCCCACTCAGGCACAAGCCTTGTAGTCCTTGTTTTCACCCCACTGAGACACAAGCCTTGTAGTCCTTGTTTTCACCCCACTCAGGCACAAGCCTTGTAGTCCTTGTTTTCACCCCACTCAGACACAAGCCTTGTAGTCCTTGTTTTCACCCCACTCAGGCACAAGCCTTGTAGTCCTTGTTTTCACCCCACTCAGACACAAGCCTTGTAGTCCTTTTTTTCATCCCACTCAGACACAAGCCTTGTAGTCCTTGTTTTCACCCCACTCAGACACAAGCCTTGTAGTCCTTGTTTTCACCCCACTCAGGCACAAGCCTTGTAGTCCTTGTTTTCACCCCACTCAGGCACAAGCCTTGTAGTCCTTGTTTTCACCCCACTCAGACACAAGCCTTGTAGTCCTTGTTTTCACCCCACTCAGACACAAGCCTTGTAGTCCTTGTTTTCACCCCACTCAGGCACAAGCCTTGTAGTCCTTGTTTTCACCCCACTCAGGCACAACCTTGTAGTCCCTGTTTTCACCCCACTCAGGCACAAGCCTTGTAGTCCTTGTTTTCACCCCACTCAGGCACATGCCTTGTAGTCCTTGTTTTCACCCCACTGAGACACAAGCCTTGTAGTCCTTGTTTTCACCCCACTCAGGCACATGCCTTGTAGTCCTTGTTTTCACCCCACTCAGGCACAAGCCTTCTAGTCCTTGTTTTCACCCCACTGAGACACATGCCTTGTAGTCCTTGTTTTCACCCCACTCAGGCACATGCCTTGTAGTCCTTGTTTTCACCCCACTGAGACACAAGCCTTGTAGTCCTTGTTTTCACCCCACTCAGGCACAAGCCTTGTAGTCCTTGTTTTCACCCCACTCAGACACAAGCCTTGTAGTCCTTGTTTTCACCCCACTCAGACACAAGCCTTGTAGTCCTTGTTTTCACCCCACTCAGACACAAGCCTTGTAGTCCTTGTATTATCCCTTTAATGCCGAGCGCCAGGCAGAGTAACAACAAGAACAACATTTTAACGTCTTTTGCTATGACGCGGCCACGTGTCCGAACCAGTGCACTTCCGCTCTCAAAGTAAATGCTTAATGATCTGAGGAAAAACCGAAGTTATCATGATGCGGCTCTTGGTCGATTTCCACGTTGGTGAAAATCACAAGCTGGGGAATCTGAGCACACCTGGGATTCGAACGCCCCAATGACGCGACTCTGCTCCGCTAACTGAGAATCATTAAATGACAAGGCTACCAAATCAGTTAATAATAATCAGTTATTTCTTTTTGATCAAACACATATTATATATATTCTAAACTTTCATGACACTGAGTAAGAGATTATTCTCAAAACTCGTTTTATGGTGGATTTTAAGCAATGCATTTGCCACAGATAGAAAGTTTATAGCGGTCTTATATTGTGACGTTGCAGTACGTAACGTCGTGCAGACGGTGAAGGCGATGCGGTTGGAGGAGACGTTGCGGCTGTACGTGCTCTCTCCCGTCCTGAAGAAGGTAGGCCACGGTTATTGTTGCTCCTTGAGATTGTTTGTTTTTATTTTCTGTTTAAGGCAATATTCTTGCTACATCATGCTAGCCTGTAAATAATCTAGCCTGGATCAGACAAACCTGTGATATTATGAGCAACGGGGTACCAATTCATTCACATCACCGAGCCTGACCACTCAACCCACATGCAGTCACCTCCAAGTGATGGCATCCACGCTCATATGTGATGTCAAACTAAAATTTTACATCACTGGTGACATGATGTTCGCTCAATATATGAGACTATGAATAAGGTATTGCATTTGTACCTTGCTAAATGTACGGCACTCGTGTCAGAATTCATCTTGTGTCGTACAGGCAGAACGACACATTCACATGTGTAATAATCTCAATGCATACTCACTGTCTTGAAACTCTGTGATCTCCCTTTGTCATCACCATACCCGTACTCGTGGGTTTCACCGAAGCGGTAAACGTCTGAGACCTGCATCACTTCGGGCTTTCCTGCCATATTAAGCTGACACGCCGTGATATAACTGGAATACTGTTAAAAGCGGCGTTAAACAAAACTCACTCACTCACTCATTGTGATCCCCCGCAGATCGATGACAACCAGCCACTGGAGTTCCTGTCTGAGATGAGGCAGGTGTCCATCGTCTTTATGAACCTGGTACTGGACGACAACGTCAACAGCACGGAACAACTCCAGAAGATCTTCGACGTCGTCTTCAGTCACATCAAAGTCGTCCATGGCTCCCTTAACAAGATCTTCCTGTTTGATAAGGTGGGAATCTGAATCAGGTCACAAACATGCCCTTGTTAGAATAGGGATGGGAGACACAATCTACCACCTACAGTTCCGGGTGTGTAACATTTTGAGTGAGTGTACAGGCACAATGTGTAGGGCCAATGTTTAGCGTCCCATGCAGTGAAATGGTTGTAATATTGATAAAAGGGAAGTTTAACAATGGTCAGTCGCTGCTTTTACCTCTACCATCAATCAATCAACTGACTTATAAACTGACTCTTGTTCGTTTAAAGGGGTCTATCGACCGATAAGAAAGGCTCTTGACCTAAATGTGTTACACTGGAATTCCCCTTCTGTAGACCGCAGCAGTATTATAAATGACCTGTTATGACGTTTGTAGAAACATACGGTGACGATATCTATATTTATATTTAGTTTGAGATGTTTGACTGTTGAAATTGACAGATCTGAGAACACGGACAGTCAAAGCTGTACCTTTTTGTTATGACAAGATAGATACACCCCAGATAGCTTTACATTAACTAACAAGTGATGCTTATTGGGTACAAGTTAACATATCGATGTCCATACTTATGGGAAAACGACATGTGTAGAGAGGCAAAGATAATTCGAAGTGTGGATCAACATGAGTGAGTGAGTATGGTTTTACGCCGCTTTAAGCAACATTCCACCAATATCACGTCAGGGAACACCAGAAATGGCCATGGGCTTCACATTTTGTACCCATGTGGAGAATCGAACCCGGGCCTTCGGCGTGACGAGCGAACGCTTTAACCACTAGGATACCCAAACGCGACTTAGATCAACATGAATGGTGCATTGAAATAGAACCAGGTACACATTTACAGTATGGGCATCTGTTTCCAGGGATGTACATTTCTGGTGATATTTGGTCTACCTGGCTTTAAACACGAGCGGGACTGTGCGCATGCGCTCGAGAACTCCGTCAAGATGAAGACGGTCATTGACAAGCTACCAGGGATACAGTAAGTCGACAGCAATGTTTGATTTTGTACACATTAATCCGGATACGGTGCATCACACAATAGGTGAAGTCCTGGTGCGTTCGAATGCGTCTTCCCGAGGAATGGGAGTTAACTGACTGTAAAAGTCCAATTTCCATTCTTGTCGAACTAGGCTGGAAAATTTGGGCTCGATCATTATGCCACCAGTGGCTATTTACGATTTATGTCCCTTCTATGCCCCTCCCATTGACCAATCAGATTCCACCTCTCATATCACTTGCATTTGCTTCAATCAAAATGGCGGCGCCCAGTCAAGACGGTCAGATTGATGATTAAGATCAATATTGTAATAAAACGGGTCTTAATTCGCGAACTGCATCAAATCACGTGAACACCTTGATGAAACATGAAAAGATTTTGAAAATATGTTGACGCCGAGGTGGCGGTTCAAATGTTTTCCAGATCCTGCAATCGAAATGTGCACGACAGCCGACGAACGTGGTGTCGATTTTGTCGCGTGCTTTTGATTGGACTATGCATAGATTCGTTAGTCTAGCCAATATAAAACTCCATAATATAAGTCTAGTTAGGCAAGGGTGGAAACTGGACGTATACAGTCAGTTAATTCCTTTGCTTAGGAAGATGGTTTGAATGTTGAGATTCTTGGGTTGTTAGTACCACACTCATGCTGGGTGTGACGGTGGTCGAGGTCAGAGACATTCCTCACTTCAGGCTTTCCTCCCACGCGAAGCTGACAGGCCTGAAATACTGTTCAATAATGATCAAAACGGCCTTCAGACAAACTTACTTCTCATCATATTACCATGGTGGTTGTTAAAGTTTCGTAACGGCCTAAGAAGGTTATCTGAAACCGGTATAAACTTAAAGGTTACCATGGCAATTCATAAATGTAATCTGATCAAGTGAATCAAAGCCTTGTTTGGGACCCACTGCACTGTGGTTGCCTTGAAATTCCGATTATTCATTTTGTAATAATCATTTCTGAAACCATTATCTAATGAATTACCCATTTACCTCGTATCGAGTAGGCTGGTTCCTTTCAGCGGATTCAGCAGGACGGAAAATCGATTTAATCATGGTTTTTCACACCACCAGGACATGCTTAAAATTATTACAAGTATGATTAATTATTATGTTAGTAACTGCTCGAAACATACAAAACAATGACATTCTTTCACAATCTTTATTCATGTCGGGTGAACAAAAAACTTCCTGTGTTGAGTTACAGATGAAAAGCGCTAACAAAACGATCGATTTCATTGATTACAAACATAGCATCGACCTGTACAGCTCCGGTGTGACGTGATATAGTTTCTAAACAACAACATATGTCACCTGCTCCCGGTTAGGGCTAATCACGTGGAATACCTGGCCCTTAACATGCACACGTGATATTGGTTGATCGACTGTGAACAGCTGTTTTCTCTTTCATTCGCGGAACTTATTCATAATTATATTCTTGGATTTTCTATATATTTATCATATATATATATAACTGCAGGTAAGAAATTTCTGTCCTTGTCGGTCTTGTATCTCCGGTACATAAGAAACATTACGTACGATGAAAGAATACGGCTTGTAAATACGAAAGACAATTTATGTGTAACCTAATAGTGTGACACATTCGTCAGCAGTTTCAAACCACAATGCATCTATTCCGTGATCTACACGACTGGTTCAGGCACTGTACATGTCAGTGCCAACCAATGCAAGTGTTCCCTATAATATACTCGATTTACTATTTTATCACAGCATTGAGTAATACTAGAGAGGTCAAACACGTATTCACATTACAGGGTATCCATGCGTCCATAATTTACTAACCTACTTCATACTTCCGTATATTGGTAATATAACTTAGGTCACCTATCGAGCCAAGGGTTCGATTCCCCACGTGTGGAGCCCATTTCAGGTGCGCCGTCTGACCAGCCGTCTTCCCGACAGTTGCTATGTCGATCTTCGGATAGTCGTAGTCGGATTATATCATATATCATACATGTTCTTGTTTGTTGTTTTTGTTTTGACGCTGTAAAATAATCGAGTCTGGAGCATACATTCCAGTGCCTGACATCATGATCATCAATCTGCGCAATTGAGATCGATGACATACATCAACCAGCAAGTCAGCAAGCCTGACCACCCGATTCCGTTAGTCGCCCCTTACGGCAAGCATTGGTTGCTGAAGACCTATTCTAACCCGGATATTAACGGGTCCATACATTGTCTTAACGAAGACTGACGTACGACTTAGATTGAGAGCCCGTACTTTCACACAGGAGGCCCAAATCCTGGTCTGAGCGCAATCTTGTAGGTTCTCCCCATCCAGGATTGCATCCTAAAGGCTGTCGAGACAACTGTTCCCAGTATGAACATGACACAGATTGGAATAAACAGTTGCTGGGATGGTCCCCCGCCAATAGTAACCCACAGGGTAAACGCAATAATGTTCACAAGCATATGCAGGGCATATATGACGTTGTAAAGACCGTATAATCTGCTACACTTCCAGAACGGCGGACGGCTCGATTGAGTCAGATTGAATTCCATGTCCAGTTCGAACCTTTGGATTGGTACGAATGAATACACCATGGTTATACAGAGCCACACTATGAGACGGGGCAGCTTGGCAGTGAACAACTTGGTGGGTTTCTCCTGGTAAAATCCACCATACCTGCAGCGAAGGTACACACAGTTCACCTGCTGGCTGCTGTTCTCGGTATGGTCTCTCCTCAATGCTATGTAGGTTGGGATGGTAAGAAAAAGACACTGGACACCAAACAATATAAATCCATAATACCCGAAGGCCGAGAAACACACGGCATAGGCTAGAAATCGCCCCCACACTTCACCCAAGCGGCACAACACTGATAGAATTTTGGCTTTCGTTGGCATGCAGTATCCTGCTCTACCCAGATCAAGATCTGTTAAAGCAGCGGCCATGCTAATGGAGGACAGAATTGGAGACAGAATTTTTAGGATATTTGTAAACGTTAACGTTTCCACGGGATGGTCTAGGAGGACGTACGTCTGTATCAAGGACTGTGGTCCTCCTTCGAGAAGACCCTCTATCATCTTGATGATGAGGAGACTGAGGACGATGTAACTGTCCACGATGGGGTAGCGGTCACAGATCTCACAGATGTTCCTCCAGACCTGCCCCAGTTGTAGCGATACCAGGACCATTCCCAGTCTTCTAAGATTCTTGTCCTTTTTTGTAGTCGTCTTCTCTTTACAAATCTGGAAAAAACACAACACGCTGCTCAGAAGAGATGGGGCGATGACAAAGAACAGCATTAGTGGCCACATCGAAATACCTTCTTTGTAGAACGTCACCACTTGGAAGACATCGGTGCCAATGTCGGCCAAAAACATAATAATGGCTCCCGTGGCAAACACCTTCTGCAGAGTTGTCGGCGTTCCTGCTAACTTTCTTTGAAGAATTTTGATTTCATCCACCGCTGGGTCCAGACCACTGTCCTCGAAGGAGATACCGATGTAGTCCTTCTTTTTATGCGTCTCTTTGATCGTCAGAAGCACGCTGTACGGTCGTTCTACTTTTTCCAAATCGGAATCTGATGAATCTACGTGGGTGAATGAAGCTTGGAGGAGGATTTCTAGGACGTGTTCCAGTTCTTGTATCCAGTTCAAGAAGGAGTCGTGGTGCGGGTAGGTTTCATGTTTGACGTCCTGTCCGTTATCGCAGGCCGACAGTTTGTAAATGTCTCTCACTAACAGAAAGAAGAAGAAAAATAGCTGACTCTGCTCCTTTTGAATAGTATTACACCATGGCTTGTCCCTCCGATAACACCTCTGCACGAATTCTATGTTGTTGTCTCCCTCTTTGTGGTTATCCAACCAGGAAAACAGTTCATCCTGACCGAGCTTGTTATAGTTGGGACAATTCAGGTCACTGCACTTCAGTGCACAAATAAGATACTTCCACTTTGAATCGATCACCTGTTTTGCTCTATGGTGAAGATTGCACATGAGACAACAACAATCACATACACCCTCATTACTACCAACCTCGGGGGCGGCAACCTTTCGTACGGCGTCCTCCACGACCTCGGTTTTCGTGAGGGGGGCTGTTTCAGACACGTGGTACGGATCGTCATTCGCGTCGTGTCTCTCATCTTCGTCGCTTTCTCCCAGGGGCGAGTAGTAAATCTCAGTCTTACCTGCCTCCCCGTTCTGGGACGGCCCTCCCCTCTCAACGTCGTCGTCTGCTGGTATATCCATCTCGTCTGCCCCGTCTAACAGATCCAAAGCGGACAGGTACACGCTCTTCGCGCTGCTGGCGAGGCTAGCAGACGACTGGTAGCGCGAGGTGGGCGGAGTCCTGAACCACTCGTCGTCATCTATCGGACTCGCTTCACCTGTGGCGCGGTTATCAATACTACTCATAATGAAACCTGGACTTGCACAGGGGCAGTGGTCGCTAGGCACAACAACTTCCCAGCTGAGAAAAGCAACACCGAGCCTTCTCACTGAAAGCTCATAAGAGGAACATGTAATCCAACCATGCACGTCTTTCTAAAAATCACTGGAGCGCAACGTATCCGTCAGGTATATATTTAAGTGTCCTTTGTCATGATGGCCCCAGTTACTGCACTCTTCTGCATAGCCATGCCTCCTGTCTCAACTCGTTGCCAGCGGGTCAGTGGGTCGCGATAAATCCCTTCGTCCCAGATGTTGAAGAATTACACAAGATTAAACCATTACCGGTTTAGCGTGTATTAAAACCTGACACTAATCAGCGGCATAGCTTGGACTAATCACAAACAACACAGGGCACCGCTGGGTTGTGTGTAGCGTGTCAAACTAAGATCTCCCGTCATGACTTCATCGTGCTGTGGTGACTTTATCGATCCTCAGTTAAGTAAAGAAGGGGTATGTGCGCCCAACTATATACCGTGTGACCGCTTTGAGGCGGACTATAAGCTCCTCTGAATGGACGTTTATGAAGGACATCTTAGATTGGTCGAACTGCCCTTTGTGAGTTTGTACAACACCAACAATTGCCGGTGGTGACACGTGTGTAAACACAGGTTTAGAAAAATGACCTTACTGATAACCCAATACTTCCCTACAACAGCAACGCTAAAACATGTCCTTATTTGTATTCTGTGTTTACTATGAATAACTTGCTGTAATTACAATTCTGCATTTATTGACGGGATGCGTTAAGTATGTAAAGTGTGTCTTTTCACCAAAGAATTAAGTGAAAAAAGCCGTATGGTTGAGAGATAGAACGGGTCACCATTAACCTTCACTAAAAATGAATACAAACTATTTACATGACAAATAGCTCAGCTGAGTGAGTGTCTCAACCGAATGCTGTCTTAATTTGGACTAAATATTGCCCTCTCGGCGTATTTTTTAACGCGGTATTTTAATGCATTCTCAGTAATCGATAACGGAGTTAAATTGAGGTTCACATGCACGGGACCAGAGGTGGTTAAGGTGCGGGTGCAGGCTAGAACCACGCCCCCCAACCCACATCTACACACACCTTATTATGCATACACATCGTCCGGGTCTCGCTGAAGTAAATGTATTGCGACTCTATCTGGTATTGTATATTACACAAAATTACATGACTGAACGCGAATTTCCAAATCATAAAATAAACCCTCCTTTAACACAACGATATTTGTGCTTCGTTCTTGAATTGTGTAATTAAACAAAATAGCAACATCCACTCAAACAGAGCCAGACACTTCGTGTCAAGGGGTCTCCAGTCCAACTCGATCACCGTGTCACCAGCCCTGACAATACATAGAATGATAAGTACATTTGTCACGGGACTGGATAACGTTGAGGTTTATTTACGTCGTATGTTAAATAATGTTCTACAAAAAACGTGACCACTTGTTTTGATATACAAGTATGTGTTGAATTATTTCCTACGTATCCAACACGTATTGTTTGATAGGCATTAATTAGAAGTTGACGGATGACTCAGAAGAGACAATTTATGGATAAAAGTTCTTTACTTATTGTAAAGGCGGTGTTTCGGTATAGATCATTATACCGTTGTCAAGGATTTATACCGAAACGTCGGCTTTACAGCAAATAAAGAAGTTGTTATCTATAAATTGTCATTACTTTCTTATCCATCACGAACTTGCAGTACGTTTTGCCCAAACATTAAATCAAACGGCTGTATGTTACATATGGATTTATGTGCTTACATCATATGTGTAATTGACATGTACATTCGACCAAGGACACGAAGAAATAGTCAATTTAATTTTACATTTCAACGATACTACGTTCCCAGTCTCTCAAAACTGCGATGTTTTTACAACACACTGTCAATATTTTACCGTTAAGTAAACATAGCTGAAGACAATAAAGCTGTGGTTGTGCGTTAATTTGACCGTGTGACACCTTGTAAAGAGCGGCGTTCTTTTGTCTCTTTCAGAAGAGTGTCAATTGGGGTAACAACGGGGACGACATTCTGCGGCGTGATCGGCCATGCACGACGCCATGAATACTCCGGTAAGTCCCCCCCCCCCCACACACACATCACCGCCCAAACAAACACATATGACAGACGGGTTTTTTTTATGTCTCACTCGTAGATACGGTAAAAAGCGAGATTATATACATGCATGACAACAACATATACGACCAATCGCACAGATTTATGAGGTGAGGTGAAATTGGGTTTAACGTCGTGTCCAAGATTATCGCACTTATATAGCGACGTGCATGCACGTGTGTGTGGCTGCTTGTACCAGTCCGGACTGATGCCGATATGTAGTGCTAGCTCACTGAGATACCATGAATCAACCTACCAATATAAAAAAAAAAAACACCGAAATTAAAAATATCACAAAGGAGAAAATCTTCCAAAAAGTGGCAAAATAACTATCAGAAATCTGATTGCAAACTAAAACAACTGCTACAAAAGCCACTCCAAAAAACAAAAATCCATCATAAATCCCCAAATTAAGTAAGCAACCCTAAAAACCCCACCTAGGTTGCCTCACCTTTCCGGACATACCCTTTTCAACCAAACACTAAATGGCCTGGCGGGCCCGTGCGCGAAATGTCGGAAAGCGCACGTTAAATTCCCAATTTAAGTAAGTAAGATACCATGCCGCAGACCAAGAAGGCGGTCCCAGATCTATGAGAGAGAATACAACAAAATTGGTAAATATACATAAAATGTCATTTTATAAGGAGACTAAAATTGCTGCTCATGCACAGTATATCTAACATACATACTCTAATGTATTTATATACATATACGTGCACATACATTATCCATATATAACATCTGTCGGAGCTTAATGATTAATTAAAATTTCATAGCAGGTTTTGGCAACACAATAGACAAGATCTGGGTTTGCTAATATACGTTATATTAGAATAGCGTTAAAGTAGGGAATAGTAAAGCTACAGGAAGTAGGAAGGGTTGCCCTCTAGTCGTTATATATTGGTCATAAAGGTAAAACATGTTCGATACAGTCTGCACAATTAAAACAGCATCTTTCTTCATATATGTGTAGTATGTATTGCACGCATCCAGAAACACTTGTCAAACAGGTCTTATATAATCATGGAAAAAAGTTAAGCACAGCTGACTACGTGTTTCCATGAAATAGCCATTTTTAAAAATCGTATCCTGTATTATCTAATAACATGGTCCATGGCAATAGTTTTTTTAGTCCCCTTTCAATTGTTTCATCTGCATCTGTGTATCATCTGATGTGCACTTGTACTCACGCCCATCTAGAATAATACAGTCCTATTTCAAATTTTGTTTAATTTTACCAATGAGATCAATGTCATGTGTCAGTGTTTCAGGATATATGAGAGTAAACATGGAGTGGCGTTAATTATTGTCTCCCCATACAATGAAACCTTATTTATCCGGACCAAATCGTTTCCAGTAATATCGTCCGGATGGCTTTTCCCGAGTAACAGGGTCTGGATTATCGAGCGTTCACTGAACATGTATATCAAGTCGGCTTGTGTCATGATTCACGTGAGATAAAATGTTTCTATGTTTTCCGTTAAATGTTGGAGGAAGATTTTGTATTAATATTACGTCCGCCTTTCAAGTGTAACTTGACACTGGTGTAAGGGAAATGAGTGTCATGTAGTTGTTAGTCCTGCTCAATGTGTTACCGTGTCACACTGACATATCACAACCGGTGTTGTCGCCGGAACCCGGAACTGTGGCACCTCGTTAGACGTGATTAGTCACACTAGTTTTGTGGTCAGTAAAGACCAAAGCGAACATGTAAACCATTTATCTTTGTTTGTAATTGTTAACTGCCAACGGGGTAATATAGTAGTTTCAAGGCATGACATGAATAGGTACATCTTTAGAGACAACTTCTAGGCATATTTTATAAGACGAATAGGCACATCTCTAGAGATAACTTCTAGGCATAGTTGACAACATGAATAGGTAAATACATTTAGAGACAACTTCTAGGTTGGGTTGATAACATGAATAGGTAAATGCATTTAGAGTCAACTTCTTAGTAGGGTTGATAACATGAATAGGTACACATGTAGAGACAACTTCTAGGTTGGGTTGATAACATGAATTGGTAAATACATTTAGAGACAACTTCTAGGTTGGGTTGATGACATGAATTGGTAAATACATTTAGAGACAACTTCTAGGCAGGCTTGATAACATGAATATGAACATCTGTAGAGACACATTCTAGTTTGGGATGATAACATGAATAGGTAAATACATTTAGAGACAACTTCTAGGCAGGGTTGATAACATGAATATGAACATCTGTAGAGACACATTCTAGGTTGGGATGATAACATGAATAGGTTAATACATTTAGAGACACCTTCTTAGTAGGGTTGAAAACATGAATAGGAACATCTGTAGAGACACATTCTAGGTTGGGATGATAACATGAATAGGTTAATACATTTAGAGACAACTTCTTAGTAGGGTTGATAACAGGAATAGGAACATCTGTAGAGACAACTTCTAGGTTGGGTTGATAACATGAATAGGAACATCTGTAGAGACAACTTCTAGGTTGGGTAGATAACATGAATAGGTAAATACATTTAGGGACAACTTCAAGGCAGGATTGATAACGTGAATAGGTACTTCTGTAGAGACAACCTCTAGGCAGGGTTGATAACACGAATAGGTACATCTTTAGAGACAACCTCTAGGCAGGGTTGATAACATGAATAGGTAAATACATTTAGAGACAACTCGGCAGGGTTGATAACATGAATAGGTACATCTTTAGAGACAACCTCTAGGCAGGGTTGATAAAATGAATAGGTACAACTGTAGAGGCAACCTCTAGGCAGGGTTGATAACATGAATAGGTAGATCTGTAGAGACAACCTCTAGGCAGTGTTGATAACATGAATAGGTAAATACATTTAGAGACAACTTCAAGGTTGGGTTGATAACATGAATAGGTAAATCTGTAGAGACAACCTCTGGGCAGGGTTGATAACACGAATAGGTAAATACATTTAGAGACAACCTCTAGGTTGGGTTGATAACACGAATAGGTACATCTGTAGAGACAACCTCTAAGCAGGGTTGATAACATGAATAGGTAAATACATTTAGAGACAACTTCTAGGCAGGGTTGATAACATGAATAGGTACATCTGTAGAGACGACTTCTAGGTTGGGTTGATAACATGAATTGGTAAATACATTTAGGGACAACCTCTAGGCAGTGTTGATAACGGGAATAGGTAAATACATTTAGAGACAACTTCTCGGCAGTGTTGATAACATGAATAGGTAAATACATTTAGGGACAACTTCTAGGCAGTGTTGATAACGGGAATAGGTAAATGCATTTAGGGACAACTTCTAGGCAGTGTTGATAACATGAATAGGTAAATGCATTTAGGGACGACTTCTAGGCAGTGTTGATAACATGAATTGGTAAATACATTTAGGGACAACTTCTAGGCAGGGTTGATAACATGAATAGGTAAATGCATTTAGGGACGACTTCTAGGCAGTGTTGATAACATGAATAGGTAAATACATTTAGGGACAACTTCTAGGCAATGTTGATAACATGAATAGGTAAATACATTTAGGGACAACTTCTAGGCAGTGTTGATAACGGGAATAGGTACATGTGTGGTTTACAACTTATTAGTTGGGTGATAACAACTCATTGTCTTCTCGCTTTGTCTGTACAGTGATAGGACGGAAAGTCAATATGGCGGCCAGGCTGATGATGCACTACCCTAACAAGGTCACGTGTGATGACGATACTTTCCAGTCGTGTCGTCTGCCACCCGAAAACTTCGTTGTCTTGGTTACCAAACGAATGAAAGGTCTCCAGAATATAGGACTCATCCGTGAATTCAACCTCCCCGATGTAAACAAAGAAAGCTCAGAAATTGAGAACAGCCTTCCGTACTTCGTGTACCCCTTGTTAGGTGAGAGATATTAAATATGGTGTAATACTCGTTTTAATATAAGGGACCGACTTTGATATTCGGTATGGAGGGTGTGTGATGGGATGGTCGGATGCTAGGATTTTGTATGGAGATAAGATATTTCCCTTAGCTTCAAATCCAGGTATCTTTTTATTTATAACTAAGAGCCTGATGTTTTAAAAGGAAAGACATCTTGCAACAATGAAGTGTTTGTGGCAGGCAATTTCTTTTGGTTTCAACAGCCTGAAACATAATTATTTTGTCAAGTTTCAAGCAACCGCCCCACTACCTCACCGCCAAGAATATCAAATGGACGGCCCCTAAGATTCACGTATCAGCACCATTTACCAATCTATATATGAGGAAAAGCTTCTGACTGTTAGTGTTAAGAAACAGAAACCAGTGCATCCTCTTGTACTTCTCATTGGTGTCGAACTGGTGTTCCGACAAATCAAACTAGCGAAAACCGTGGTGTATTTTTTTAAGTTCTTCCACTGCAGGACGGAACGAGGAGAAGAACATGTTCCTAGGTGAGATCCACAACATCCTGGACAACGGCAAACACCGCCATCTTGTATTCGTGGGGTCCGCTGGGATGGGCAAGACTAGACTGCTGGATACTCTGTGTTATATAGCTGCCCAGGAGAACCTGAAGTATGTCAATGTCATGTCCTGATGTCACAAGAGAACCTTACATACATACGTACGTACGTACGTACGTACAAGCGTGCGTGCGTGCGTGCGTACGTACGTACGTACGTGAGTGAGTGAGTGAGTGAGTGAGTGAGTGCCTCCATCTTCGTGTATTGATATGGGATTTCTTTGTTTGGCATACACCAATACAGCTTATTTCCACCACAGAGTGATCAGCTGCAGCTTGAACCTCCTGAATGTCAACACGGCGTACTTTCTGGCCAGACATCTTCTCCGGATGTTGCTGTCGAGTTGCGGCTACTCGCAGGAGGTGGAGAAGGAGCCTGCTGTAATGGAAACCATGAGGTTGTGTGGCATGGACCAGCACATTGCAGCAGTTATCGACCTACTGTCCACAAAGGTATGGTGGTGTCGTTCACTCCTCAGCGTCGTCACGATCACCCCGCCTCGTCACTGTTGTTCGATTCCCATTATGAGTACAATCTCTGGTGCCACCCCGCCGTGATATTGGTGGAATATTACTAAAAGCGGCTACTTACTCACTGACCTGTCCTTTGATTTTTTTGCCAGTGTAAGCAAATGTTTCTTAATTTAATTTATCAACACAATCAGGAAAGTAATTTGGTATTTATGGTAAGCGTTATTGACTTGATCTTTGGTGAGCTTGTAAATGATTTAAGACATGGCATATCGGTCACACTGCCCTGAAGGGGCGCTTTGGGTGCCTTGTTCGACCTGTGGAGATGCGGTTTGGAATTGTCTTCAGCAACCCATGCTTGTCGTAGGAGGCGATTAACGGGACTGGGTGGTCAGGCTCGCTGACTTGGTTGATGCATGTCATCGCATTCCAATTGTTTAGATCGATGTTCATAATGTCAATCACTGAATTGTCTGCTCCAGTCTTGATTATTTACAGACCGCCGTCATATAGCTGGAATATTGCTGAGTGCGCGTTAAACAACAAACAAACAAACTTGTTAATCTGACCCTGATCCCTTTCTTGCAGCCCATACCACCCTCACATATGAACCAAGCATCTATAACAGCTCGGACGCAGGTCTTTGAGTTCCTCACGCATATGGTGAGTGTCTTCACAACGAGTGCGTGTGTGTATTGGGCTCACGCGACTCTGTACTGTTGTAAGTTGTATGACGGCGTGTCAGCTTCATGTGGGAGGAAAGCCCGATGTGATGCAGTGAATCTTTGGTGAAACCGAACACGCATAATACTGACAAACAACGGATCATAATGAAGGAGAAGGTGGTGGGGAGGTGAAGTGGGGTTTAACATGAATACCCCACTCAGACACAGTATAATAGAGGGGCGGTCGGGTAGCCTAGTGGTTAAAGCGTTCGCTCGTCACGCCGAATACCCGGGTTCGATTCCCGACATGGGTACAATGTGTGAAGCCCATTTCTGGTGTCCCCCGCCGTGATATTGCTGGAATATTGCTAAAAGCGGCGTAAAACTTTACTCACTCACTCACAGTATAATAGCTCCAAGTTGACCAGTCCTTGTTTCAGCACCTTAATGCTAACTGTGACGCCCCCGGGGATCGACAGTTCTTGTCCACTGAGATACCATACCGCAGTTTGACATGACTACGCCACTTAGACACAGTATACTGACACTGAGCCGACCAGTCCTTGTTTTAGCCCCTTATTGCCGAGCGCCAGGCAGGGTAACACCAAGTGCCATCTTTTAACCGTTTTACGTCTTTTGGGATGACGTGGCCGGAGATCAAACCCCGGACCTTACGCTATCCGGGCAGACATTCTATCCACTACACCACGGAGGCGGTCTACAATGAGGGAGAATCTGGATGCCTACATGAGCCGCCCCTGTGCAACCATATATCTGATGAAAATGCGTCTTTGTCATTTACGATTATAAAGAGAAAGTCACACCTTACACTGCCTTTCCCTTTCAAGCTGATAGACATGAAAAAAATGAAGACAGTTCATCATATTAACTTTAAAAGAATTGACATATTTTAAAGATTTTGACATTTTTAATAATTTTATTAAAGAAGAACTCGATTTTCAAAGCCCATGGGGGTCAATCTTCTGCTCAATTAAACTCTAATGGTAGGTTCCCCGACCGCGTCATACCAAAAGACGTTAAACGACGGTACTTGGCATGCAATAAGGTGCTAAAACAAGGACTGGTCAACTCGGAGTCAGTATACTGTGTCTGAGTGGGGAATTCATGTTAAACTGCGGCATGGTATCTTAGTGGGCCAGCACTATAAAATCGGCATTAGTCCGGACCAGCACAAGCAGCCACACGCACGCACACACGTGCATGCACGTCGCTATCTAAGTGCAATAATCTAGAACGCGACGTTAAGCGCCACCTCAGCTCACCTATAATAATCAATACCTGATGAATAAGATCCTATTATTATCATGGTTATTGTTGCATGTTTATGCTTGCGTGCTCAGTGTATGAGTTACCACAGCAGATGGATCTACGTCATAATGATGCTTTGATCACAAGGACCTTCACGACCCTGATACTTACTTGGATGTTATTGGAAATAAGTAACGCCGCCTTACGTTGCGTGTGAAAATAGAAACGTAGGGCTTTAAGACGCTTTTGGCATCATAGCATACATATCACGGCATGGAAGACCTATGATGGGCTTCATGATTCGCCCACATGTCGGAGATCGATGCGATGCATTGTCCGTTACATGCAGTAACCATTACGTAACTTCATCATCCAGCTAATTAGAAGCCGTTCGATTTAGAATTGAGATTCATAAAGTATAAAATTGAATTTGACGGCAAGTATGCTTCTTGCAGCATATTTGTCCGAGAAACAAAATTTGCTATGATTGACCATAAGCAACCTCTGAATGATAAGGGGGCGGTGGGGTAGCCTGGTGGTTAAAGCGTTCGCTCGTCACACCAAAGACCCGGGTTCGATTCCCCACATGATAACAATGCGTGAAGCCCACTTCTGGTGTCCCCCGCCGTGATATTGCTGGAATATTGCTAAAAGCGGCGTAAAACAATACTCACTCTGAATGATATGTCGGGGGACGGGTGAGTCTGGTTATTGTACTCACGTGATACAGGACAACAGCTGTTGTTCTCGGTCCTCTGAACCGCCAAGCCCGCAATCGGTGCCCTCGTGAGGCGTCACTGCAATTCCCAGTAATTTGCACATAGGACATAACCTTAAACACGTAAACAAACAAAATAATATGGTTTTTTTATGTTAGAAAAAGTCTTTGTAACGTTGTGTCTCTGTTTCTAGTTTTTTAATTGAGTCCAAACTCCCCCGTGACGAGAAGAAACAAATCTGAACACTATTAATTATTAAAGAGGTTTTGATGCATTCGGAATACACTAATACCGATACACTAATAACATATACCTCGGATATTACTGGACACAGCTACTACTTAAAGCCTCTCTGCCAAGAAGCCATAAGACAAACTCACTCATAACCATGACGTTTTAATTTTCAGTGCCTTGACTCCATGGGTCCCACCGCCGTGATCGTAGACGACATGCACTTCAGTGACAAGGAGTCGTGGGCATGTGTCCAGGCACTGAGCGAACATCCTCATTGTCTCCTTGCCCTGGCCACCAGACCAAACGCCATAGAGAACCCTCCGTGCCCAGAAGCGTACAGTTTATTTAACGTGAAGACGTCCATTGTGACGGATGTGTACGGCCTTGACCTTTCTCTCGTGTCAGCCTTGGCGTGTCAGGTGTTAGAGGTCGTCAGTATCCCCAAGGATTTGGATAAGTGAGTCGCCAGACAAGATAATTTACTTGTAACCACAAGATAATGTGTAATGGCTTATTATATAGGTGAGCTACCGAACGCCTGTATGATGTTGAACATGTAGTACTTAACCTATAGGGAAGCTACCGATGACCTGTCTCGAGTGAAGTACTTTTGAAAGTTCCAAGATTCGACGAGGGTTTTTCGACTTAATTCCACGAGAGAGTTGCGACTAATTAGTGTATTCTTTATATAATCATCGGTGTTTTTTTCTGAGAAGATGTAGATAAATGTGGGTTCCTTGATCTCAAGTGGAGTCTGCAGCTCAGTTTATCTTTTGTTGGAATCGTCTGAAACGTGATGATCAATGGTTGACGATATAGACAATTATTTTTGACGTTGCGTCCATATGACGTCCCGTTGCTATGAGTCACTTCACAGACAATGGTCAGTTGGCATAAACTAGCTACATGTTACAGTTAGTGCGTAAAATCAGTCAATGTGTAAAATGACTGAAATGTACATTTAAGCAACCCCAAAATATTTCAATTTCCAAAAAGGACTTAAAAACATCACGCCGCTTTTAGCTTTTAACAGTATTCTAGTTATATCACGGCGTGTCAGCTGAATGTGGGAGGAAAGCCCGAAGTGATGCAGGTCTCAGACGTTTATCACTTCGGTGAAACCCACGAGCACGGGTATGGTGCTGACACACCTAGAAACGTGATTCAAACCCACAACCATAGGTTTCTGGTGTGCCAAATGGACGCAACTGCACAGCGAATCGCGTCGCCTTAGACAACTGACCCCCCACTCCCACCCCCACCCCTCTCAATGGTAATAAATGTTGCTGCACTAAGTCTTGAAGTAGTCATAAACGGACCTTCTCAGTTATTTATGACCTCTTTTTTAGTATGGTATGTTTTTTCTTCTCGGAAATGTAGGCCACCCGGCCCGTAGTTCACAAACAATATATTGATGAAAGGTTCGCCTTTATGCGTTCAATACATTTCTATAAATATAAATCACCTACAAATGATATTAATTCATATCATAGTGTTTTTCAATCCATTGTTTTCTCACATTGACACCATAAAATATGTTTGCACCTCGTTTCCATGCATGCTGGTTGTCACAAAGTTTCATGATATTGATGACGTTAAAGTGTCCTTTCACAACGCTAGAATACTGACTCCTCAAATTCTCATACAAGGGACAGATCAACAGAAAATGTTCTTCATCTTCGATAACTTTCTTTAAACAAACATTTTTCAAATATTGTCATCATCTTTTTTCGTCTTCTCATGCATTGAAAAAGTCGTTCTGTTCATATGTTGGGAGTTCAAGGAATTCAATGTTGATAAGTTAGTTGTGTCATATCCTGAAATAATTAGAATAGAGACCAACATGTCTTGTTAACGTATTTGAAACATAAGGAGAAACACAAACATCTTAATGGGAACTCAGATGAGGATCGAGCCAGATCAGGCCCATCAATATCAGGTTGCCGTTGTACAAAACAACCTTAGCGCTACGACTGTCGTAAGTCTCTGTTAAGGTATGGGAGTGACGATCACCATAGCGAGAAGATCGCTTTGTACAACGGCGCCTAGATATTTTACTTGTACGATACGTCTCTGCGTGAGGACGTGAGAGACCGTGGTTGGTGAACCCCGAGTGAACTCTCACCGCACAATCTAAATGAGTTGGTTGGTTCTTGTTTGTTTGTTTGTTTGTTTATTTTGACGCAGCACTCAGCAATATTCCAGCTATATGATGGCAGTCTGTAAATGATCGAGTCTGAACCAGACAATCCAGTGATCGATATTATGAGCAAAGATCGGGGTACGAGGACACGCTTTTAACCAAGTCACCGAGCCTCTGACCATCCGATCCTCTTACGACCAGCATTGGTTGTTGGAGACCTCTTTTAACCCAGAATGCACGTGGGGCCTGTGTTCTTGAGCCAATCAGATGTCAGCTTTCTGAAACGATTCTTCTTCAGTTCTAAAAAAAGAAAACCAACACAGAACACAAATATTCCTTCGATGGTACTCCCTTTTGAGTGTAGATACCACTGCGCTCAGTCCTGATAACCCATCTCTCCACTCGTTTTTTCTTTTTTAAGTATTTTATTCTTTTTGTATGTCGCGCTCAGAGCATGTGGGTGGATATGGCGTATTACAATTCGTCTCATTATCATTATTATTATTATTATTATTATTATTATTATTATTATTGTTATCTGTTTGGTTATTAGATTAAAATTTAAAAATGCAGCTAAGAGGGTTTTGGTGATCCTGGCACAGTCGGACTGGTTAGGCTCATCATCAGCTCAGGGCCCTTGCCTCCTCGACACGCAGCACAGACAGCGAATGGGACTTCTCCCTTGAAGCGCTGCCAAGTCAAACCCATCCAGAACTTTTCGGAGAATGTGAAGACTCCCCAACACTGCAGCCTCCTATATTACCCAGTTTGTCATAAGGGCTGTATTCCTGGTAGCAAACCCGGGTACTCTCCCAATGTCAGTCAACAGATTGGGAGGTACCAAACCTAAGGCACCGAGATCAATGGGGAGTCGGACAACTTGGTACTTGGCATGCAAGCGCGACATTTCGAAAGCGAGGTCCGCATATTGGCCATGTTTTTCCTAAATCTTGTCAATCACATTAGTGTCAAAGGGGACAGAAAATTCAATAATATAAATGATTTCATTGGATTTATCAAAAAGGACAAGATCAGTTTTGTTGGCCTGGATACGTATGGGGCTGTAAACGGGCCTATTCCAAAGAATTTGGTATTTATCATTTTCCGTGATGCCCTCTACATAATCCGGGTCGTACCATGGGTGGACCTCTGTGTCAAAACCACAAGCATGGGGAAGACGGTAATAAAATGATCGAGCTACACCATCATGTTGTTTAAGATACTGTGTTTGTGCCAAAGCTGGTCATCCATCTCATTAAATTCATTACATAATCTACATTTCATGTTTTCATTTTGATGCAAAACCACACATTGACGGTTTTGAGTGGAAAGGTCCTCAGCAGCCAACAGAAAGCCTTCACTTTTTAGGTCAGACGACTTCATCCAAGCGAAGGACTCTGCAGGATTGCTTATCTTCTCAACACACTGCACATAAACTCGATGCAGTGGTCTTTCAGAAAGCCTCTTCTGGAAAAACTGAGTCTGGGCCGACTTGATATGGCACTTCGCTTGGTTGACACTCATTTCTGTAACGTCCAGCAGTAGAGAACAATAAAAAACATGATGATGATGATTATTATTATTATTATTATCATCATCATCATCATCATTCATCTACAGGGTGTTACGGGACATGAGTCAGGGGGTTCCGTCATGGGTGGAACAGCTACTCCGGGACATGTACGACAAACGCCAGATCCTCATCCGCTACACTGACCTCGCCCCCAACACCTTCAGGGCATCTGTCGTGGCCCCTAAACAGACTTTCATTACCAAGTTGACCAATATCGGGAAGGCCACCGAGCGGAGGCGTCCCAGAACGGCCAGAAGATTTTCCGACATCGTAAGTGTGGCGTGCCAGTATTTAACGGAGACTAGGCTCCGGTCAACTGGCAGTCATTGTACAAATTATATAAGTAAACCCATTTTGTCTGTAAACTCTAATCTATTTTATTATGTAGAAGTTTATGATAACCACATGTCCATATACACGATGTCAAAGTTTGATACAAGTCACAGATTGCAATGTTTAGACCTAGCTCGAAAATGGGCATCTGATCGCGGGGAAATTGTCCCCCATTAACGGCGAACTTAGCAGAGGTCAGTTGGCAATCCTTCCAAGTTGGATTTAAGTCATTAGAGTCTGCAGGCAGTACTCCATGTTTGATTTAAGTCATTAGAGTCTGCAGGCAGTACTCCATGTTTGATTTAAGTCCTTAAATTCTGCTGTCAATAGTTCAAGTTTCATTCAAGTTAAAAAAAACTATGCTGGCAGTACTCCGTGTTTGATTCAAGTCATTAAACTCTGCTCTCTGTGTGTACTCACATAATGGATATCAATCATGTAGTTAACGTTTATCCTCACTGGAAACAAACCTTGAAACGTAACTTCTGAAACAACCATAGCCCTCAATACAAACATTATTATTTTTTGTTTAAAAACCTAAAATTCGCCTTTTTTGTATGTAGATTCTCCAATTAAAGTCCAGTGAAATTGGGACATTGTTCCTTTTTGATTTGGCTATCTCAAACTTCTGGAACGTATGTAGGTGATTCGATCGTTCCCCAGACACTAGGCGATATTAATGATGAATTAAACATGAAACGACGTTTTCACTCACTCATTGCAAAATCGTATCGGTCCTTGTTGAAAGTTGTGAGGTAGACCACTAGGCCAACATGGTGTTCTTAATATACTTGTGTCTTTTTAATATACCCAGGACTCCATATCACATGAGGCAAGTCCTGAAGCCATGCTTGCTGACCTTGGCTTTAAATTCACTACTCAGAGCAAGATGAAGGAAACGTTTGAATTGAGAACATGCGTCATGGCGCCTGGTAAAACTGCCGAGGACATTCAAGTTCCTGCGGCCATGAAAGGTATGCCGGTTGTCTGTTTCATGTACGTAATGACTTTAACAGTGTTCAGGGTTCGTGTGAAATGAAAGTACACATGGAAAGGGGGAACCGTTGAGGTTTAGGCCGCTAACCAGCACACGCAGTTTGTTAGATGTGTTGGTGTATTGACAAAACATACAGGGGAAATCGTGCTGACAAAACATACAGGGGCAATCGTGCTGACAAACCAAGGGCCATTATTAGGACCCGTGGATACACACGCCCAGTGGCGTGTAACTCGGCACAGAGAAATGACTTCGATGACCAGGACATCCGTCTCCCTATCCAATGAGAACATGGACTTCAGTTAAATGTTGTCTTGTGTGAAAGTCCAGATAAATATGAACCGCGTCATCTGAAGACGCCTTCACGAGAGCATGTTCTCTGTCTGATCGCAGTACTGAGTGGATGAAATCTCGGTTATACCCCAATTGAATGATTCATTTCATTTCATAATTCATCAAACTACCTACCATAAAAAAAGAAGATGTTATTGATGCGATGAACCAATCCAGTACATTTGGTATCACTGACCGATATCACGATCTTACTAACGTTCTTAGCACGCGACCGTGAAGATCCGGGTAGAATAGGTCTTCAACAACCAATACTTGCGCTAAAGGCGACTATGCTTTTCGTAAGAGGCGACGGATGGGATCGGGTGGTCAGGCTCGCGGACTTGGCTTATGCTTGCCATCGTATCCCAACTGCTTGGATCGATGCTCATGATGTCAATTACAGGATTGTCTGGTCCAGATTCGATTATTTATAGAGCGCCGTCATATAGAATATTGCTTAGTGCGGCGTTAAACTACAAACAAACAAACTGGTTCTTTTGCAGATTTGGTTATAGCAAGAATAGATTCTATGCGTGCCACAGAACAGCTGATCGTGAAGTGTGCGGCTGTTCTTGACCCTCCCTTCACGAGGCAGAGCGTGGAGGAGGTCCTTCCCCAGGCCAACACCTTCAAGGTCAGCACTTCCCTCAAGAGGCTGTATGAGAACGGGACGTTCACGTGCAGCAGCGTCTCCTCTCGTCTGTCGTCGTCACGTCGTAGAGAGGACGTCGGGAGAGCCAGAGGGGAGTGCTGCTGCCCCAGGGGGGACCACGAGAAGGGAGAGGTCATGTGCAACTCGCTTATGTTCCGACATAAGCTGCTTAAAGACACTGCTCAGGAAATGCTGATGGGCAAGCAGAAGCAGCATCTGCATCTGAAGGCTGCTGAGTTTATTGCACGGGGGGTCAAGGACATCAGGGGCAATGTACCGTATCAGTTGTTCGTCCAAAACCGGAAGGAATCTGAAGCTGAAAAAATACGTACGTGTGTTTTGTTGGGATTTATTCATGTTCTTATTTAATTTAAATGGTTTTCTCAAGGTACCTGAAATATGAAATGGTTTAAAGGTTGCTCTTCCTGCTTCTTGACAGTGCTGGTGTGACAATGATCTTGGTGTTGTTTCAGACACACACGAAGAGAATGCGTTGACTGATGAAGAGACGTCAAAAAGGTTTCGGACAATTTTAAAATCGGGGTTAGTGTATTTCTATTATAGATAAACGTTAGCGATTATCTTTTTCCTGAAGATAAAACATGAAATATCTATGAAATAGTATTAATGTGTCACAATGTCACGTTTGTGCATCCACAAAAAGACACTTTGAATTATTGGTACATGGTACATGTAAGCTGGGTTTCACGCCGTTTTAAGCATTATTTTATCATGATCGTTGCTAAATGATAGCGGAAATACTGAAGTGGCGTAGGTGGTTGGGGTTTACATTGACGGTGAACCCATGAACAATGATAGTGAACCCTTAAACATTGATGATGAACCCTTGGACCCTTGAACATTGATGATGAACCCTTGGACCAATGAACATTGATGGTGAACCCTTGGACCCATGAACATTGATGGTGAACCCTTGGACCCATGAACATTGATGGTGAACCCTTGGACCCATGAACATTGGTGATGAGCCCTTGGACCCATAAACATTGATGGTGAACCCTTGGACCCTTGAACATTGATGATGAACCCTTGGACCCATGAACATTGATGGTGAACCCAAGAACATTGATGGTGAACCCTTGAACGTTGATGATGAACCCTTGAACACTGATGGTAAACCCTTGACATTGATGGTGAACCCTTGAACATTGATGGTGAACCCTTGAACAATGATGATGAACCCTTGAACATTGATGATGAACCCTTGAACATTGATGGCGAACCCATGAACATTGATGGCGAACCCATGAACATTGATGATGAACCCTTGAACATTGATGATGACACCCATGAACATTGATGGTGAACCCATGAACATGGATAGTGAACCCTTGAACGTTGATGGTGAACACCTGAACACTGATAGTGAAGCCTTGAACATTGATCGTGAACCCTTGAACACTGATGGTGAACCCTTGAACATTGATGATGAACCCATGAACATTGATCGTGAACCCTTGAACACTGATGGTGAACCCTTGAACATTGATGATGAACCCTTGAACATTGATGATGAACCCTTGAACATTGATGGTGAATCCATGAACATTGATGGTGAACCCATGAAAATTGATAGTGAACCCTTGAACGTTGATGGTGAACCTCTGAACACTGATAGTGAAGCCTTGAACATTGATGGTGAACCCATGAACATTGATAGTGAACCCTTGAACATTGATGGTGAACCCTTGAACACTGATAGTGAAGCCTTGAACATTGATGGTGAACCCTTGAACATTGATGGTGAACCCCTGAACATTGATGGTGAACCCTTGAACACTGATAGTGAAGCCTTGAACATTAATGTGAACCCATAAGGCATGGATATGGTCCTTAAAAAAAAGAATCAAGGACACTTGTTGGAGTATCTGTTTCATTGTCTCTTCCATTGTTGTCTCCTTAGTGAGATGTTACCACACCTGCATCTGATCCTAGAGGGCGCTGTGATTGACAAACGCCGGAACTCTCTTCTTGAACAGTTACTTCCTGTGTATAAAAGAATGGCCTTCCATTACAACGCCGCGGACGACATGTACAGCCTGCTTGACACACAGACGGAAGCAGGACTTGTGTGTATTGTGCTGAAAAGGAGTGGACAGGTAAACACATTATGGATTCACTGGTGCTGTTAGGCTCAGCATCTGGATAACGTACTGTGTTTTGAAACATATTCACTTAAGAAAGCTACTCAAATCAACTCTTTAATGATCGTTAATGACTCAAAGAGTTTAGTTCTTTGTCCAGGTGAGATCCGGAGTGAGTATTGCATGACACCAGTCTATGCAATGTTACGACATTGTACACCAGGAATGTGCTGCAGACATTGTAAGAGTTGCGGTATCGAAACCAAGTTTTCGGGATGACGAACGAACACTTTAACCACTGGGCTACCCTGTCACCCCTGCGGATGATGAAAGCGATTGTGATGACATCTTATCTAATCCGTTTCTGTAATACAAATAATTATCACAGCAGTATCTATTGACGTATATATACTGTTAAGTCTGTTTGCCATCTCTGTAGGCAATGTCTTGGCTAGCGGAAACAACAATACCGTTCAGGAAACTGGCAGTGTCGAACCAGCCCTCAGAGGTCGTAAAAAAATACAAGAATATACAGGCAGGCCTGAAGCGACTGATTGGGAAGGTGAGACCCTCATAAGATTCGACAACCTGACATACAGTCCTATCTTATTCACAGTACTATTTAGAGATGTTTAATGTGTTACTTTGTAACAGGTCACACTCTTTTTTGCACTGTCACTCAGAAGACGCTGGTTACGCAAATGAGCACACACGCATAATTTCTGGATAAATGATCTTTTCTAGTTTCTTCGTATGACTTCAAACAAAGTATACAGTCAAACAGCGTTGTGTCGAACTTACGGTTATCTCGAAGTAAAAACTTCCCTGCATGTTCTTTCTTTAGTCGTCCTTTTCGGTTGTGTCGAACCTCGGATATTTTCGCAGGTCTCTTCAACTTCGACACAAGGGTGTTTGACTGAATATATTGTGCGTTGTACTCATATTTAGGGCTAACTGACAAAGAAATATTTGTTATTTGATAACAATAGGAAGCTAACGCACTGTTACAGACAAAGCCTTCAAATGCTTCCATATTAGGCTGGAATATTGCCGATGTCATGCTGATGACTAACTCCCTCATTGCTTCTTCCCTTGGGTATGAGCATCGTCCTGAGGCAAGAGCTACCAATAGCCTTATTATCAAAGTTGTGTTTCCACCCTTGACACATCAAGCCCATTTTTCATTGGACTATCGCAAATGTCGATAATCCAATCAGAGAACATCTCACAAAATCAACATCCACGACTGGTACACCTTCGTATGAAAGTGATTTATCGCTGGCAGACACGCTTGTCTCGGGAACATTGAGCATGAGTGACTCAGGGTTCGAATCAAAGATTCGCTCTGAAGTTGTCAGCACTATGAACGTTGGTGGGTTTCATCGAAATTGTAAACGTTTAGAACCTTCATCATTTTGGGCTCTTCTCTCATACTAAACTTACCCGACCTGTTGTAACTGAAATGTTGTTCAGAACTGCCCTAAATAATGACTATTTCTTTGCAGTCTTTCCTTCAGCTCGGCCAGCTGCCCGAAGCAAGGCAATACCTGACGGAGGCCGCGGGTCTCCTGGACCTGACCGAACCCTCCAGCAAGACAGACACTCGGTTCCAGATGTTCAAACTCCGACTCTCACCCTTCCCACGGTTCATCTACTTCACCAAAGGTGGATCAGTCAGACACCTCAAGTACGTGTCTTCTATGACACTAGCTACGGTAGTGTTTCAGGGTGTTCTTACATTCACACCATTCTCAGGAACAGTTTAATCTTGAGGAAGGACCTCTTTCAACATGACAAGCCTAGCTCTGGCTGTCGCCCACCTTAATAGTCTGTTGCAATCCAGGCTCTGCACCGAGCATCTTTGATAAACGTGTTCCTCGTCCACAGGATGGATTGACAAGTACTCTACGTCACTGATGGTGTTATCTAACTTATACATGAAGACTCGGGTATTATCTATGTAACCAATTCTGGAAAGCGTTAAACATTATTCCAGAAAAAGATTTAAATGCGATGCATGAACCACATCTGACTGCCAAATGTTGTCCTGATGCGGCAGTTATGTTCCATGCACACGTCGTTTTGAGCATCAGCTCCACGGCATGAACTGTAAGAATGAAACTCGCGGCTTTTCTGTTACTCAGGCCGGCCAGCCGGAGGACGATAGAACGGGGACACCTTCTGGGGGATCTGTGTCGGCTTCACAAGGACCAGGGAAACAAGGACCTCCTCATCCTGGACGCCTGGAGATACTCGGCTAACATCGTGGGCAGAGAGGTCCATATCCATCAGGTTCGTTCCATCCCCGGTCACCACTGACATTGAAACCATGGGTTTAACCCATGAATACACTCAACAGGTTCGGTCCTGCTGTCAACATTGACACCCAACGAATTATGTGGTGTGTTGATATATTTCATTTGAGTTTCCATGGACAAAATACATTTTGTCTGAAGCATGGTAATTGTCGCGGCGTTAGAAAGCATTCCCAGCGGGACGGTCAATAGACCTCGCTCCACAGTACGACCTTAGCACAGTGAGCCTTGTAACACATCTTAGCATAGACTCGCAACAGCGTATTGAAGATGTACTTGACTTAGTTAGATAATTGAAGCATCAGAGAAAGCGTCTTTATGTTTGATCCCTTGGACATATTACTGATATGATATAAGCATATTTATTTCCATAAAGTGGAGGGATTGGCAAACAAGCAAATTTTGCTTATCTGAATGCCTCTGATATCATTGTATTTCGTGTACATTATGTTTATGTCGATGTATACCATGTTTAATATGTTTAATATGGTGACTACAGGTGCTGGAGAGTTACATACACATCATCCAGGCGTGTAGGACGCGTGGCTGGTCCAGCAGAGCCCACAGACTCGAGAGTGAACTGTACGCCACGTAAGTACATGACAAACTCATCTGCTGAACATACGGGGTGATAAAATGAAAACGTGTATTGCTTTAACGCGAGTGACGAACAAATGGCAGCGCGCAGTGTTTAAGTTGAAGTGTTGAAGATACAGGTGTGCATGTTTCGCAAGATACAAAAGTAAGGATGTGATGCATTTTAAGACAAACATATGCTTTGCATTGTAACTTGCTTCATGACAAGGGAAGGCATATTTAATGATGCGCATGTTGCTTATCTTCACACACTCTGGAAAGAGTGCATGTTTTCACGCATACAGTGAAGTGAAGTGAAGTGAAGTGAAGTGAAGTGAAGTGAAATGGGGTTTTAACGTTGCGTCCAAGATTAGTGCACTTATATCGCAACGTGCATGTACGCGCGTGTGTGTGTGTGTGTGAGAGAGAGAGAGAGAGAGAGAGAGAGAGAGAGAGAGAGAGAGAGAGAGAGAGAGAGAGAGAGACTAATGCCGATTTTAAAAGTGCTAGCCCACTGAGATACCATACCGCAGTTTAACATGAATACCCCACTCAGACACAGAAGCACCTTAAACTTGAGCGCCAGGAAGAGTAACAACAAGTACCATCTTTGAACGTCTTTGGGTATGACCCGCCCGTGAATCGAACCCCCAACCTTCCGCTCTCCGGTATAAACCCGCCCGTGGATCGAACCCCCAACCTTCCGCTCTCCGGGCGGATGCTCTACCACTAGACCACGGAGGCGGACTTTTCACCAATACAACAGACATGCATGTTTCCATAATACCACAACAAACATTGGCATGTTTCCAGGTAAACAACAACAGATACTTTCAAGCTTCCATATATAACTACATGTTATACAGTAACAGAGGGTTCGTTACGAGATGTGCAATAGTTGTTCTGGTGTGTTGTTGTTCAGATGCTGTGCACGAAGTCACGAACTCTTGTATGATGACGTCAAGGCGCTGGCTACGACACTAGGGGAGGGTGCCTTGCTCTGTCTCTCGGCAGGAAACGTCGCCCAGGCCACAGACAGGGGTAAGAAGAATCTAAATGTCTTGCTGACACCAATGTCATTTGAACTGTTCGTGAGGCTTCTTGAGCTCGTTTCGTTGATTTTTTATGACAAACGTTCATGCAATATTCCCTGTCCGAAGGCAATAGAAAATGTACATTTTTGTACACATGTACACAACACTACACTTCAAACACTTCTCTTGAATGATCATAATAATTAAGCAACTCTTAGTGTATGCTATCAGATGTTTGAGTGCACGTTGCAGTGAGTCTAGTACTAGTGATTGAACGCAGGGTTCACTTCATAAAAGGACAATGAATTTCGTTCTGTGTAATACGTGTCCATTGACAACCAATGAGTAACAGAAACACTTGAATTTTTATTTTAGGTGCAATGTGAATACATTGAAACCGTACATTAAGCAGGATGTTAAGGTTCCCAATGAAATATATACAAATGAATAATTGTTGCGCTTTAATATCCTTTGCTGTACGTTCCTGACAATACCCGCCCGGGCAGCTGGGTGGTCGGGAAGTGCGACCGGTTTGACGGGGAACGGCTTGCTTAACAGCTTCTTCCCGAAACAAGGGAGTTAACTGTCTATAAAAGTCCAGTTTCTACCCTTGCCGAACTAGGCTGGAATTATGGCGTTGTACTAACGAGGCTATGCATAGTCCAATCAAAATCGCGTAACGTAACATCCGGTTCGTAAACTGCCGTGCAGATTTCGTTCGATTGCAGGATTTGCAAACTATTCCGTCAACTGTTTTCCAAATCTTGTCATGTTTTTAATCAGGGTGCTCACGTAATTTGATGCACTTAGCGAAGTAAGACCAGTTTTATTTCAATATTGATCTTGATTATCGATCAGATCGTCTTCACTGGCCGCCGCCATTGTGTTTGAAGCAAATGCAAGTGATATGAAATGTGGAATGGGACTGGTCAATAGGAGGGACATAGAGGGGACATCTCTCGTAATAGCCACTGGTGGCGCTACGATCGAGTCAAGAAATTCCATCCTAGTGCGTCAAGGTACAAACTGGACTTTGGCCTGACAGGGTTTTCACTGTACATTACATCCATGTTGTGTTTAAAGATTTGATAATTGTTAAACTCTTTACAGGAGAGGTAGCAGCAAAGATCGTAGGGCACATGAGTCACACTCGCTTGACAGTGAGAATCTACCCAATACTGGCCTTGGCCTATCTCGCCGCAAACAGGTGAGGCACCAACCATGCAATTTTCTCCAAGGAATGTTTTGAAAAAAAGAATTTGTTTCTGAAAATACTGAAACATATTTGCCTCTGATTTTACACAATAGATGTGCTGTGGGAAATTGTGTTGTTGGTTCCCTAAAAGTGTTGTTCTCTGACGAAAGTTTGTTCAAAACGGGTTGATATTTTATTATGTTTGTTTGTTGGTTGTTTAACGCCGCACTCAGCAATATTCCAGATATATGACGGCGGTCTGTAAATAATCGGGTTTTGACCAGACAATCCGGTGATTGATATCATGATCATCGATCCACGCAATTGGGAAACGATGACATGCATCAACCAAGTCAGCGAGTCTGACCACCCGATCCCGTTAGTCGCCTTTTACGACAAGCAAAGTCACCTTCATTGGTTGCTGAAGACCTATTATACCCCGGATCTTCACGGGTCTGATATTTTATGAGGATGTAATAAAGGTGTATGAGTGTTGCATCAAAACCTTTCAAAATTGGTAATACTTACTCGTATACAGTTTTATATTGTATATTTTTTTAAGTTCAATTTATGTAAACCCAATGTTGCTAGGGTTGACCGTACGTAAGCACGATTTCCCAATTATTCAGCAATTTATAGAATGTAAGTATTAAAACATAGATATTAAGATAATTTTCTCAAACGCTCACTAGATCGAATGTTGGCTTACCTGGTGCTTTTAAACAATGCCATGGTGATTAACAGTCTTGTTCAGATAAGTTTTTATCAATTTGTTAATTTATAATTTAATAATTGTATTTGTGTACATGTATAATTGGTATGACTGACACACTGGCCACATTCTACATGTTGTGTCTCGACAGACCGCAGGACTGTCAGGACCTCCTGGATAAGCTGAATGAGATCTACGCGGACCTCGAGGGGTGGGGGGTTGACACCTGGGGGACCATCCTCGCCCTGGAGCTCATGATCTCACCAGGTGATGACGTCAACCACTAAATAGTGTACACAGGAACATTTGAATTCAGTGCAAATTAGGGCCCGACCATTGGATATTCGGAGGGGGGATTTACAGATAGAGACTTAATATTTCCTTCAGCTACAGCTGCAAAACCAGATTATTTTAATGAAGACTATGAGCCTTAATACTTTTTTAAATCATTTAAAACAATGTTTTTGTTTTTTATGGCAGTCAATTTTGTTTGTTAAAACATTTGAACAGTCTGAAGCATAATTACTTTTCAATACTTTTATGGGACAATTTATTTTTTGCGATAAAATCCCAGCACACACATCCCATCCCCTCCCCCTGAAATGTAATCAAGAGAAATATATTATCATGATCTTTCAGTTCCCATACACTATGTTGTGTTGTAGTCATTATTCTCCCGCAAGTTACACTGTATTCCGTTCATATTAACATGCTAGAAGTAGTCAGGAATATTCTCATGGAAAGGAAACGTCAGTAGAGCTCATCTTTCCCTGTTACCCTCCAACTTTCAGGCATCCCCACACAAACATTCTTCATGTGTCTGAAGAAGGCAAGCGTCTACCTGAAGAACTACGACGCCCTCATTGACGGCAGCGTGGCACGCTACTACATTGCGATGTGTATAGCGGTTTGGTGAGTAATGTCTGGTAGTTTGCGAAGGTTCTTCAAGAGAAAGCACGGCTTAGATTAAAGATCCGTGAAGTTAGCGCCTTATTCTCCATTCCTGGTAGAGCTTACTTCATGTTTGAATAAGAGCAAAGAGATTATCGAGCTTTATCATACCTCCATGTCAGAATGATGAGATCTGATTGGTCGACGTGATTTTGAAAAATACGATGTATCCCGCCTTTGAGAGAAACACATTTCTCAGCGGGAGAATAAAACCCTTATACCCCACGAGCAAGTTAGGCTGCACGTGGATTCCTGAGAGGCAGAACGCTTTTTCCGAATCAATGAAAGCCACGGGGCATAACACAAGTTAACCTCAGCTAAGTCGAACGGCTGTTTTCTATCAATTTTGATTTTAAAAAAAATCTTTTACAATGTCGGTAAGATCAATTCGTTGTAGCAGGATCACAATATATAATCTAACAAGGGATGCATAAAACCCCATGCATAACTTATAATAGTGGCGATAGAAAAAGCCAAACTCTTAAATTTGAGAAAGCAAAGAACCGTACGCTAAATGTAGCATTTTAGCCATATATCTGTCAGGTCACCAACAATAGGAATGGGATAACGGAGACCTATTCTTTGGAGCTCCAAATGAGTTCTGGAACAGGGACAAGGGCACAATGACACGCAATCAGTTACCCCAGTCAAGATACTTTCAGTCTAGTGGTCGTAGGTTGGAATCCAAGATCCACGATTATGACATTGGTCTGTCAGAACTATAAACAAGCTGGAAGAGCTTTTACCAATGCGACAAAGAGCCCAAATCTAAAATGAAATGAATTAAATTCTGCTTCCACTCAGAATCTATGATGAATTTCTGTGAAAGTTGGACTTTTTGTAGCAACAACTGTGAAAATTTGATCCCGATCTGTGTTGGTTTTTGATTGATCCCCCATACTGGTCATCTACAGGTACAGTCGCCGAGGCCAGTGGCAGACCGCCCAGGGCTGGTTCGACTACTGGGAACATTACGACCTGGGCGAACACAACTACATCACTCTGAGTGCCCGATGCAAGAAGGTGGAGTGTATGCTTCTGGCAATGTGTAGGGCCATTCAGAAGGGGACGGACAGGGCATACGATAGGATCAAGACAGATGTTGTCAAGGTGAGGGGTCTTCCTTATTTAAGTCGAATGACTGTACATTTATCAGCACTTCATTAACCATCATTCACAGCTTCGTAATATGCCCAACGAAGTGATTTGCCTAGCGTGTAACTTATGTTTATATAATCCCTTAAAGATTGCGACTTTTCAATTAGTTATTGAAAATGTGTGATGTTGACATATACCCTTTTGATAACCTTGGCTTGTTAGCTAATGAAAACACCTGAAAGCCTGCTGTAACCCTTGAGATGTTATAAATTGTTGTTTGTCGTTAAAACGCCGCTCTAAGCAATATTCCAGCTATATGACGGCAGTCAGTAATACTCGAGTCTGGTCCAGACAATCCAGTGATTGACATCATGGGCATCGATCTACGCAATTGGGATACAATGACATGCATCAACCAAGTCAGTGAGCCTTAACACCTGTTAGTCTCCTCTTACGACAAAATGGGTTACTGAAGACCTATTGTAACCCGGATCTTCAAGGGAATCATGTTACAAGTATATCTACAGGAAAACATGCACAAGTCAAACATAATTGTCACTGAGAAATATACTTCTCAAAGGAAGTTAAGGAACATGTGATTGTTTCATACGACTATAGTTTGTGTCATGGTCATGCGGATTAACAAAAATCAGGTGTTCTTCAACTTGTTTTGAGTAGTATATTATGCAAACGTGTTGATGCAAACGGCATATAAATATATGTTGTGTGTTTATGGTACTTAGTGAAAGCAACTTTTGAAGAGAAGTATATATGTGAATGGTCTCCTCCATGTTTATTGTGTATATGTATACTGATTTAGTCCTTTGCAAGTGTTAAAAATTTCGTGAATGTACATCTCCAGGAATTCTACTCCCTAAAGAAACTACTGAAGAAGAGCCCTGGTTTGAAACCTCGTGTGTATCACCTCAGAGCTTACTTCTCCCTCCTCCTGGGCAAGGTGACATCCGCAAGGTCATATCTCATAGGGTGTGTCCAGCAGTGCAAGAAGCAGGGCAATCTGCTGGAGTTCTGGTTGGTCAGACATGACTGGAGACAGTGGAGCAAACAGATGTCCACCAACAGTCTGGACACCACGTGGGTGGACTCTGTGGACGAACACTTCTTGGACTGGCGTCTGAGGTTGACAAGAGGGGAGGAGGTTCTGTATACCTTACCACTGCCTCAAGAAAGGGTGGTGCGGCGGAATAGGTGGTGGAGATCAAACAAGATTAAGCCTCTGCCTCTGGAGTGACATTGTTTCAAAGACCCAGACAAGGAGACCAAACAAGGTCAAACTTCTACCTCTGGAGTGAAAGGGCAAAGCGCAGTATTTTCAATGATAGATTTTTTGTTGAATTGTTATTTTCTGGTTAAATTTGAATTTTTCACTATGAAACAAAAATGAACCCACTCCTAATATTGTTCTGTAGTGAACAGAGTCACGAGGGAAAAATGGTGTGGATTTTACTCACAGTAAAACATTGTTGTTGTTAGTCATGATATGGATGAAATATTGCTGATGTATTAACTCCCTCACTCACTCATTGTTGTTGTTAACTCATGAAAGTTATGTCTGAACATTGGAGAGCTAATATATATTTATGCAACAGGGCCCGTGAAGAAACAAACGATAACTCGATTATGGACAGAAATATTTGAGTAAAATCATTTATTTTTGCTGAATGCCTTCTGCATACAAATTAATTAAATGCAAAATGTGTAGAAAGCATGTTTTATTGTGGGGTTATTTTCCATCAGTATCCTTACATGATTTGAAAACAATACTTTCTGCACATGTTTTGTTTGTTTGTTTAACGCCACACTCAGCAATATTCCAGCTGTATGACGGCGGTCAGTAAATAATCAAGTCTGGACCGGACAATCCAGTGATTGACATTATGAGCATCGATCCGCGCAATTGGGATCGATGACATGTATCAACCAAGTCAGCGAGCTTGACACCCGATCCCGTTAGTCGCCTTTTACAACAAGCATAGTCGCCTTTTACGGCAAGCATGGGTTGCTGAATACCTATTCTACCCTGGAAACTCTGCACATGATTGTAGTAGCTTAGAAAATATTTGAAATGAAGTCATTCTTTAAGGGAAGAAAATGTTTCTGAAGCTGATATGTAACTCAAGTGCTTTAGTGCAACATTATTTCTCAAGTTTTCATAAATAAAAGTCATGGAGCATGAAATCTGAAGCAATATTTCTGATGAATTACTGATTATTGTCAATAAAATATCTTCAAATAATAACCTTTCACAGTCTCAAATTGATTGCTTTTGTTTCTAAAAGCCCAGCAATGCCAACTTGTGAATACTCAGCTGGTGGTCCTGGTGTCTCACTGAAATGATTACGAGAGGTAAAGGTCTGTGGGAAACGTATTCAATAAGCAGGTCAATCAGGTTCCTTCTGCAGTCAGCAGTATACTACACTGCTGTTACCATAACAACACTGATATATGACAGTGGCAATCTGTTCATGACTGGGCAATTAGCAGTGATATATTATCCATGTAGTCAAGGGAAGGAAAACATCGGACAGTGTTTAATTTCTTTTATTTACAAATATATCCTCATAAAAAAAGACATACACATTGTGTACACATCACTCTTAAACTGGACACATCCATAATACATATATCCCACATTATACATGTTATATAAACATGTATCATTTGTGCCATCAGTAAATTCACATGCTCAAGCGGAAAAATACCTCATGTAATTTTGAAATCCAGAAGTATCCTTAAAAAATCTTTACAAAGTCATGATTTTGGGAGCAACAACCAGAATTGGCCAAATGATGACTGATTGAGTAAGTTTCACTGGGTTTTGAGTGAGTTGCGTTAGCACTGCTTTTAACATTATTTCAGTTATTTCATGTCAAAGACAGATCGATCTTTGCAAGTTCCGCTGACATTGTTCATGTCTCCCAGGTACAAACCAATCACAGATATTCTACTGAATTTTTTTTAACAAATATTGACCATTGTGTTGACTGATGTGAGAATCAAGTTAATTAAAGTCATATTTTTTACTCTAGATACAATACCTCTGTGTGGCGCCCATCGGAGGTCGCATCAGTTAAACCTTGACTGAACTTTGACAGCTCAATCAAAATACAGGGTCTGCAGGATCTTGAGACAAAACAGAACAGATACTCCCTTGATATTACATGCTACTGGATATAGATGCCATGGTGCTTAAAATCTGCACAACATTTTGAACATGGCTTTTATTTTTTTCCATGCAGAACTGACCGTTTATGTTCGCAATGTGATTACAAAGCTCCCCTGATGTGACCTATTATGAAATATATGTACCATGAATGCTTCCCTGTCAAACAACTTGAGCATTTCTTTTCATTCAAAGAAGCCATCACCTGTTTTTCCAATACATAAAGTAACCAACCACTGAACCATTCCATGCTGTCTACCAACATTGTTATGACTTTTACCATGTCCTACGTACAGCTATGAAAATCAACATTGTACATCATCACAATCTAACACCAAGACAATACCTGGTATTATGATCTGTAGAAAGATGGCAAATATACACATGTAAGTTATCTGTCGGAATTACAATAATGAGAAAATCTAATGTTTTGTTTGTTTGTTGTTTACCGCCACAATCAGCACTATTCCAGCTATATGATGGCGGTCTGTAAATAATCAAGTGTGGAGCAGACAATCTAATGACTGACATCATGAGCATCAATCTATACAATTGGGATGCGATGACATGCATCAACCAAGTCAACGAGCCTGACCACCCAATCCTGTTAGTCGCCTCATACGGCAAGCATGGGTTGCTGAAGACCTATTCTAACCCCCATCTTCACGGGGAGACAAGCATGGGTTACTGAAGACCTATTCTAACCCGGGTCTTCACGGGTCAAATTTCGAAAAATGAGGACAAATGTCATTACGTGTAAGGAGATGAAAGGAGAAATCTCTTTACACCACATTGTAGAAAACACTGCTTTTCTGATCTTATTTTTGTAACTGGCAGAACAATACAAGGTATGCAACAAATAAAAACATTGTCATAACAGCTGTCAGGGTACACATTAAAGAAGAAACAAAAACCTAATATTTACCCAAAAGTACTTGGATACTTTCATATAAACACATACAAACCATTGCCCACAAAATTCCCCCAACTGCAATTGAATGAGGCAGAGCTAAACCTGGATAAACAAAGCTTTACCAGTGAACAAGATATACATGCTTTAAGTGAACATGATGTACATAGGCTCCAGTGAATAGCATATACATTGTACCCAGTCTTAAATTTGCCTTGACATATATGTGTGAGTGAGTATGTTTTTACCCCGCTTTTTAGCAGTATTCCAGCAATGTCGCGCGGGGACACCAGAAATTGCTTCACACATTGTACCAATGTGGGAAATTGATCCCAGGTCTTTGGTGTTACGAACCAAAGCCTAACCACTAGGCTACCCCACCACCCTGGATATATATAAAGTTTCAAATGAACGTGAATCCAAACATGATTCAAATGGCTTCAATCACTTTGACAACGGTGAAAGAATCTAGACAATTGTAATCAAGTTGATGAAACTAGACTGTTATTAGTTACGTGTCCAACTTGTTAGATGCTACTCAAAGATCCTGTTTCAATTGAAGCTAGACATCAAAATTCTTTTTAAAAAATGTTTCAAATGAATATGACATACAAACTCCAAATGAATATGGCATGCAGTTTATATGAACATGGGTATATAATTCTTAATGAATATGATATACACAGGTCAAACGGATACTTATATACACTGCTTCAAATGAAATGGTTATACACGGTTTGAATGAAGATGATGTACACTGCTTCAAATGAACCTGTATTTTCATCTCCAAATGAACATGACACACAGTCCAAGTGAACCTGACTATTATCACTCTAATTTGTATGTTTGCTGGTTTGTTTATTTGTTTGTTGTTTGATGCTATTAAAGCTATACGACGGTGGTCTGTAAATAATCGAGGCAGGACCAGACAATCCAGTGATTGATATCATGAGCATCAATCTACGCAATTGGGATACAATGAAATGCATCAACCAAGTCAGAGCCTGACCATCCGATCCTGTTAGTCCCCTTTTACGACAAGCATAGCATAGGTTGCCGAAGACCTCTTCTACCCCTGCAAGGGTATAATTTGCATGTACAAAGAACAGCAAGACCATACAATGGGGCACATATGCAAGGAATGCAGTATTGTTACTGTCAATAGAAGGCATTCACCTGCACACAAATAAATGTAATGGACTATCACACAAGCACTGACTAGTTCAACTGATATTTACTACTAATAAATAGTGATAACAGCAGCAATTGATCAGAGTATTCTCGATAAATAGTCTATTAATATTTGAATAAAATATTTCTTTCAATCTATTTCATGGCACACACTGGAAACCAATGAACATATATTAAACTATGACAACTCATTTAACCTATAGTTTTTTTTCACTCTCCACATACTGGAAGACTGGACATTGCTAGTCCTCTATAATCCTCATTGTCCAGAAAGGTTCTAATCTGACCCCTAAGTTGGTTCAAGAGGAGGTTTGTTTGACAAATGACAAACTTCAAACAAAAGTTACACTGTTATGTAATAAATAATGTTGTACAAATGTTACATAACATAACATTATATAAAACCAAAAGCTTCTCTTTAAACTATAAACTGTTCAATAAATATCTGATCTGTCTTAACTGGCTGGATTTAATATAATAATAACCGAAAATAACATGTTATTCAGGGTATAAACAGCACTAAATTATACATACAGTCTGAACAAAAGAAGTTAGGGATCATGAATATTTTGGGGGATGTTTTTTCGTAGTGAAGACTGAGCACACAATTTCATAAAATTATATTCATGATCCCTAACTGTTTTAGTTCAGTATATTTGATTGGTCATCATAGCTGGCACAGTCTGAAAAAAAACTAGAGACAAAACACAAACTTCAATAAGGCATAGTTCCTAAATGTACAAACAAGCCACATTCTATGCCTACTGAAAGCACTTATTTGATAGAAATAGAACACTGTGTAGAAAACGGTATGAGCAAATTTGAGGTGTCATAAGGACAGTAGCATGACATCATAATCATAATCATCATCATCATCATCATCATCGTGGCTACAGGTAACATCTTGTGTGAACAATAAAGTTATAACAGCACAAAAATAAACTTCAAATGCTTCATTTGACTTTTATGAACTCAAGTATCTTTACCCTTAGGGTTAGAATCTTAAATAAAATTAAGCCCTTGTGACATTTGTAAATATTAATATGAAATTTCCCATAATCATAATACATGATTTGATTGATTATTTGATTAACGCCTTGAATTATGGCACTCAAGTAGAAGAGTAATATTTCACATGCAAAAATGTTGGAAAATTTGTTAATTTAAGCCCTTGTGACGTTTGTAAATATTAAAATTAAATTTCACATAATCATAATACATGATTTGATTGATGATTTGATTGATTATTTGATTAACATCTTGAATTATGGCACTCAAGTGGAAGAGAAATATGATTTGAATAACATAATGGACACAGAGACTACATTCATACAAATCCCTCCATACAAGTGGATGGCAGATATATCAATATATCTTCAAAGAGCTCAAACAGCAGTATTGTAACATATCAAGTATTCAGTACCATATTCACATATTCTAAACAGGAAAACAAGGTACTGCATCTCTCAAATTCACAACTGACACAAGAACCTGCAGTTTGTTTTGATTTATTCTTAAACAAACTATGTTCGATAAAGAAGATGCTAATAAGTTCATGAAGGGTACGCTGTAAGCTGTAGGAAGCTGAATATGTTTACTGAGAACTAAAGATTTCATGTATCAGTCAGGAGCAGGAAAAATACTGAACACAGCTTCTTTAGAGAAAACATGGGACATAGCTGTCGAGAGGAAGGTTGATTTGCGACAACAGCTAAAAAATCTCAAATGATTTCAGAGTAAGTTATTAGGGAAGTTCAGAAGCTGTCTGAACAAAAGACCCTATGAAAATACAGTGAGCATGGTGGCTATAGAAATATATACATATACAAGGTCAATGTTACCCATCCAAACACAAATCACTAACTAATAAGCTGCCTCTATCTCATCAGGTGATTTCCACATTCCCTCGTCCTTCACTGCCCTTGCTTCAGCAACCTCCTCTACCATAAGACAACAACTGACATTCTGACAACCCTGGAATTGACATTCTAACATCTATTTTAGCAGGATCAAATTTATGTTAGACCATGGTTTTACTGATGAACGCATGGCAGCGAAATATCATACTTATTCCAAGGCAGTCATTCATAATCCAGACAGGGAGGCAATTTCATTGACTGATTTACCCGATAAACATTTGTGAGGCCTAAAATAGTTAAGGTGCGTGAGGTAAATCATATCAGGAGGAAATAGAAAGAATGACAGTGTTCATAATTCTTTCAAATTTGATACCTCAGGCTGATGTGGTTGGATTCAGGCAAATATGGTTAACATCAATGTTAGAAACCTCTATATCACAAGCACAGTAGTTTTGGCCTCCAAATTCAATGATATAGTAAATGTCTTATGCTCATAGTCTACCAATGAGCAGTGTAATTCATGGTCAGGATGTCAAAGATCGAATTCTGTACCATGTTGGCCAAAATTTCTTAAACAGTTTCTGGAAGATTACAGGTACGTCCATGTCCCTTTCACATGGTCTAACTGACTTCACCTGCTGAATTAGTTCACTTCTATGAAAAAATGCCATGTGTATTTCCTGGGCCACCATGAAGAAGACGAAACACAGAACGACCTGGTGTAGATGTACACAAAAAAACACATGCTTTCTACACTCATGCACTACGTAACAGGGCTCGATTTAAGGCTCTTGTTTAACTTGCACCAGGTGCATGGTGATACGAAAACCTAGTTGCACCAGACAAAACCAGGTTGCACCCTCACCAGACAAAACCAGGTTGCACTCTGACCAGACAAAACCAGGTTGCACCCTCACCAGACAAAACCAGGTTGCACCCTCACCAGACAAAACCAAGTTGCACCCTGGTCCCATAAATATTACAAAGCTGAAACATAGGTCGGTCTGCTGCCTGTGTCACATTAATTATGACCTGAGGCTGTAAAACGTAATAGGAATATGTGCGTACATAATCTTGAATTACCAAAATTTTGATGACGTCAAGCCCACTAAAGCATAACCAATAAACCAAGACAGAGATGAAGTAAATGTAGTATGGTTAATATACGCTAGAGGTATTGAGTATAATGGCAAGTAAGGGTTAGGTAGATGCAAACTTGAATTTTTTAACATGCATCTCGTGCATGTTGACATACATATTAGGTTCCATTTTTCAATAACTGGTTGCACTGGTGCATGTTTTATAAAGCTAAATCGAGCCCTGATAATCAATAACTAAACACCCATTGACATATCATGCAAAATGCATTAAAATAAAATGACAAAAGAAAAACCGACCGGACATGGCAAGCAATAATAATTCACATTTTCTGATTACTTTCAATCTTCAAATGTCAGCAACAAACGCCTTCATGTAAAGTTTCACATGGTCAACTGTACATTGAAGTACAGGAAAGGGAGCCATCGCTATTACGACATAATCACTATCTCAATCAAGAAAACAAATCCTACCTACAATTGGTACATCAGTGATAATAAGTTTACAATCACTTAAAAATAATGAGAGACCATTAGACAAAGACACCGAAGAAACCCAAGCGCAGCCAGGAAATGAGAGTGTACAACAACAGGAGCTATGGTCATCGCTGTGTATCCCAGTGCCAAGGTGCAAATGAGCAACTAAGCTTGACTCTGCTTTTAGCAATATTCCACAGTGGGCAATACCAAGATTAGGACACGACTATGGAGTTCTGACTGACAAGGGGTCCCTGAACCACCCCCATCCAAAAGGCTGCACCCCCTCCATCACCACCAGACAAGCTGATGCAGCAGTTCAATAAGGCATTCATAGCACTACAAGTGAAACGAAGGTTTCAACATTCAGTTCCAAATCTCAACTTTTGAGTCACATCACAAGTACAAACATGGGCTCTGTCTGTCCTAAGATTACATGGTGAACAGAATTCAGAACGCATGAAACATCTTGACATTGTTGGCAGTTATATATATATAGTGTGTTCATTTCCAAATCCGGCCATGGGGGCATTTACACACAATATTCCTTAAAGGTGCAAAAAATAAATATCTCCACGCCCAAAGGGTGTAACATAATATCCAAAAACTAAAATATGTTCTTGATCAAACTTTTTATTATTAACTTTAACTAAACACTAAATTTTCTTTGGCAAAATCGAAAGTAAACACGTTTTAGCAATTGGAATACATTAAGCATTTATCTTAACCTCCAAACTCTACAGTCAGCTTTCAGTAATAATAGGTTACGCCTCCTGAATGAATTGACCACTGCAATTTAACAAGTGTTTTGATTGGCTGGTTCATTTACTTGGCCGAATTGGCTTTCATTTTTCGGTCTTGTATCATTGTCACATGTGCCATAAACTTGTCAAGGTATCCGAGAAATGAAAGCAAATGTAGGAGCCATGCTTATTCAAATGTTTTGAATATTTGTGTGTCGCCTGGTCACATTAAATGTCCCCTGTTCTTCTGAAATGAACACTGATATATATTTTTATAGTTATCACAAGTATTTTCCCACAACACATGATTTATTATGTAAACTATGATAAACACATAAATGAATGGACACAATACCAATTAATACATCCTATCATATTCTTGGGAGTGTGGAGTGTGGAGTGTGACCATATTTCAACTGAATAACGAACTTATCTGTTATAATTCTGTTGCAAAAATAGAAACATGTACACAATGAGACAAAAATAAACATTGGTCTTATGATGACTGAACAACCAGTAATACTAATGCCAGTGCTTAATATAAATGGACACATATTCTGCCAAATAAATATGACGATCAATAAATTATTATTTACAATAACTGGTTTAACATGTGTTTTAGGTAATATCTCCAAATAACAAAATGGACTGGTGATGAAAATGGATTTAGGTAAGAAGAAACATGTCAGCTTCTGATTACCACAGCAAATGTTTCGTTGTCACTGGTCATGTACACAGTATGTAGCGATGAATATACACTACCATCTCACAGTTGCATATAAAGTACTTGCATTTTGATTACAGAGTCGCACAGCCCTCGTTGTTGTGTACATTTCTCATAGCAACAGATTCTAACACCAAGATACAAAGATGGACTCTGTGAAAGTACTTAACACTGCACTTGACATGTTCCCAAGATTGATATAACATTCTTTGTACTTTTGTATGTTTTTATACAAAACATGACCACTGAATGCTATTGCCTGATAACAATCACATAACATAGCAATGCATATCGTTTTGATGCAAATTTTTCATGATTATACACTTTAAGGAATCTTCTGTCAAGACTTGATATATCATCTGAATCAAACTGATAGCAACATGTTTTGTCAATGGCAATATTTTCATGTTATCAGGGATACAAGGTTTTTTTTCCTACCCTTGAACCTACAACACTGAACTGACTCTGGCAAGGGCAAACTGACTTTAAAAGTCCATTGCACCCTTGCTGAACTAGGATGGAATTACTGAGCTCGATCTAGTGCCACAAGAGTTACATCCCTTCTATGTCCCTCCTATTGACTAATCAGATTCCACCTCTAATATCACTTGCATTTGCTTCAAACAAAATGCTGACGCCCAGTCAAGATGATCTTATCAATAATAAAGATCTTTTTTACCTCGCAAAGTGCATCAAAACACTTGAGCACCTTGATTAAGAACATTTGCTTATGAACCGGATGTTGATTTTGTTTTTGATTTTGTTTTCGGGGTTTTGATTGGACTATGCATAGACTTGTTAGTCCAAATTATAACTCCATAATTCCAGCCTAGTTGGACAAGGGTGGAAACTAAACTATTAGTCAGTAAACTCCCTTGCCAGGGGAAGATGGCCTTATCATGTATTCATCTGGACCTGCTCAGAGCCGATTTTCTACAGAGTCTGAGCAAATGTCAGTAAAAATTCCCAGATTGGAAATACAAGTCACAAATTCATGATATTAAAATTATAACTAATGCCATGGCTTGGTGAGTTGACGTGTATTTCAGTGACATCAGGACTAATATCAGGGGAGAGGCATTAATGCTGAGATCAACAGCATTGCAATGTTGCATCTGAATGTAAGACAAAAACTCAAAGAAATTACCAACTTTGAACAAAATAGTTTTCCAAGTTGCCTGCCAAGGCCGCTTAGCTTTAAGGCCTATATAAAAGCCTAGCATGTCTAAAGGATCTTGGCTTTTAACAATTAAAGAAATAAGAGCGTAATAAGAAACAACAGTCAGTCAAAAGAAAAAAGACATGCAAGACCAAGTGTTGGTGATGTAAAGGTAAGGACATCATTATGCTTCCTCTTAATTATAAGTGACAGAATCTGAATTTCTTCAGAGCTATAATTTCATTTCAAAACCTTCAAAAATCAAAATTCAAAGTTCTTACATTGGTCTTATGTACAAAAGAATTATTGAAACCATTATTGAAGTATGATGTTTGATAACCTTGAAATGCAGGCTACAGTGTTGCAGCTATTAATGGTGAATATACCCCTCTCCCTGAGAAGATGAAAGTTGACAGATGACTGACGATGCTACTGACGACTATGAACAGCAACAGGATGAGCTCGGCATGAGTTCGTCACCTCTTGTCCTTCCAAGGGAATATTTCATTGACAATAAATTGCTGGCTCTTCGATGCAGGGTCGCATGGCTGTAAATGCAATCTCTCATCTTTGCCGATCTCCACACATTTGCTGAGCAGGATATTTTTGATAAGATACGAGTTCTGAAAGGAAAAAGAAGGAGATACAGATATCTAGGGTGACTCTACAGCATGTCATGGCAGCATCGTCAGCAAGATTCCAGCTATATCATGGACCTGGAGATAGGCAACCAAGAGTCCACGTCTTCAGTGTGAGTTGGATTTCATGCTGCTTTCAGCAATATTTCAGCAATATCAGGGCAGTGGACACCAGAAATGAGCTTCACACATTCTACCCATGTGGGGAATCGAACCCGGGCATTCAGTGTGACGAGCGACCAAGGGAGATAGTTGTGTGGATATACAGCCTTTTTTTATCACAATAAATGAGACGTTTCGGTGTAGATACTAACACCATTATCAAGCCAAGGATGTTATACACATGTAGATAACATATATATCTTAATCCTTCTCTTCTTAATACTGGCTTCCAATCCCTTGCCTATATTAATCATTGTATTGTTTTACTTAAACGTGCCTTGCTGATCCAAGTTTAACATGTACTTCTATCAGGCTTTGTACTCCAACCTTCTCTGTTGTGTAAACATTAATCTGTCATCCTTTAACTTTGTATAAACATCAATTATCCACATGTATATAACCTTTCTACTTCACCATTCTATGGTTAAGGCGTTGGGAAGTCGTAATATTGTGAGTGAACAGTATTTCAGTTATATCACAGCGTATCAGTCGGATGTAGGGCGAAAGCCGAAGTGATGCGGTTGTTAGATATTTATCACTTTGATGAAACCCATGAGTACAGTGAGTGAGTTGGGTTTAACTCCGCTTTTAACAGTGTTCCAGTTATATCACAGCATGTCAGCCTGGAGTGATGCAGGTCTCAGACGTTTACCACTGCGGTGAGCACAGGTATGGTGGTGACAAAGCTAGAAACATAATCGGGGCGAACCGGGATTCAAACCCACAATCATAGGTTTCTGGGGTGCCCAAGAGATGCAACTCTGCATAGGGAATCAGGGCGCCTTTGACGATGGGTTCCCCGAGCCCCCCCATGAATACAGTGCTGACAAACCAAAAACGATTATCAGGGCAAACACAATATTAGGAAGTTATTTTTTTAATTGATAACATAAAAGACCACATCATTACCAAGAAATACTTCAAATTAAATTTCAATAGCCACAACATCTAAACTACTGATAAATTTAGTCAAATTTATTATTGGCGTCTCTATACATGATAAGTGCTTGTGGTTTTACTGTTATGTGTTCAGATACAGACAAGCAGGTCTAAATCCTTAATCTCTCTAACAGTGTTCATGGCTTAATGTTAGCTTCAGGATGCTCTGATACAATTCATGGCTTGACATTCATGGAAATATGCCATGAGTCAACATGGTGTGACGTGCATCAACACCTAAATGGCCACTGTTGACTTGTCAACACCAAGATTATATCCCTTGTAAAGTCAGATTTCAGTTGGAAAATCCTACAGGTCCATGTCCTAAAGTAGCAATCAGGGCCAGTAGAAAAGAAATCTAACAGTGGTAGCCATACTAAATGTCACTGCATTTGTCCACAGTGCTTTGCCATGTCTTTATTCAGCCTTGCTTATTGAAAAGATCTGCCAGATCAGGGTTGGAAATAATGTTTGTTAATATATATCAGTTGAAGTAATTTGTTCCTATTGTCCAAACGATGACATTTGTTGATGGTCCTGACTGCTGCAAGGTCACAAAAAGAAACCTTGATGCCATAACAAACCATGCAACAACAAAGTGAGTTTGAGACTTCGGACATTTTCCTTTCCCTCATCCAATTACAGTGAGACATCATGTTGAGCAAACCTCACAGCATGTGTCAGGTGCACTCAGATGGACATACTTGTACATACTTGCACATACTGTACTTGCACACGCATATCAGTGGATGGTATGGTGCCCTGTGGTACTAAAGCTATTATTCTACTCAAAAGAAGTTAAGGATCACCCGATTCTTTCATAATGGTAAAGTAAATCTGTCATGACATGAGAGATTAACTATAGTAATATGAAAGAATCAGGTGATCCTTAACTACTTTTGAGTAGTATATTAATGACACACATTAATAGGTTGGAGTTTTTGCCAATCATATTAACATTTGTGCCCCTTAAAACCTAATGATAGGTTAGGGTAAAGCAAAGAGTCGTCATTCATGAGATTACACCCCTAACTCAATTTTATCATTTTTGTGGCTTGGTTTAGTATTGTTTTATCAAATGTGTCATGTGATCTGACAAGATGATTTGCTGAAGCAATTGTCGCCTCAATGGAGTGGCCTACCTCATCGTAGTCCCAGGGTCCGGTAGGCTGTACATCACAGTAATGTATGTGGAGGGTGTCACCATTCGGAGACTCAATACACCGCTCTCCATAACCGATCTGCCCCTTCGTGTTCAGGCGATACAGCTGTGAACAAACAGTAAAAACATTCAGGTGTACGCATGACATAACTACTGATATCATGAACATAGTTTCTAATAAGCTGACACTGCTGAAATCGAAACAAAATTTTGCCGATCTTGAGAAAATCTAGAGACACTAAAATATTTTTGGGTTTCAAACTTGAACAATACAATTTTGATTTGGGGTTGAAGGGGAAGACCACTTCAACTTTGAAAATATAGAAATATGAATGGGATTTTTCCTCACAGATTAAAAATTTGTTTCTCATGGACTATAATCTTGACCGGTTTGATATGTTCAGGCATCTGGTGATGGCGCAAGCTAATTATAGTGGTGCCAGTGGGACAAGTGAGTGTAGAAGTATTGTTTAAGCCAATAATGTTAAAATTCTCTGGAGTCAATATACATAATATGAGGAAGAGAATTTATGGATGTCAACTTCTTTATTATGAGCAACACAACATAGTATATATACTTACTCCTTCATTAGGTGAATGTTGTGTTCCTCATAATAACATACACACAGCACACTGACATACCAATATTTTAGGATGGATTGATTGTGTTGAGACATTTGCCCTATTCAGCAACAAGGTAAGCTAATTAGATCCATACTACACAATCATACTAAATATGTCAATGAAAGTGGATAATGGTTACAAGGAAATTAAATATATTCCTTTTGTGCTTCTGTTTTCCGTGTCCATATACGAAACTAGTAGCACCACAGGTTGTCATGGCATTTGGCCCTTCATACTTCACGCTAATGTATGTGTTCCAGCTGTGAGTGTTCCTACCTGGTTGCCCCCTCCGTGGTGGCAGTAGTAGACCCCAATGGGACCTCCATTCACACCCTGGCCCACCGTGTCCCAGCATCGGGTCCCCTGCTTCTCCTTGAACTGTACAGGAAGGATTCATGTTATAGGACATTACTGCACATTATCCTAACATGCATATTCGTTATCATGATTATATATCAGCATACAATTTCCATGATTTAAAAAATAATATTAGATGAGGTATGCCGATGCAAAAGAAGAGAGATGTAACAATGGTAACAAGAGTTATTTTGACGACATCCTACCTCTCCCCAGGCTTTGTTTGGTGGCGGTGGAGGGAATCTGTCATACACCTCATAGGCCACGTTCTCCATGAACCACTTGAAGCTCCTACATTTCTTCTCCTTCTTGAAGGCCACCTGCTTGGTGAGGTCGCCCACCGGATAGCCACGGATAGTGGGCTCCCGCGTGTAGAAGTACTCACGGAACTCTGGGTCAAGCCACACTTCCACCACACGCATGTAGTTCTGCACATGATAGGAACACTTTGTCAGCAGCAATACAAGGCTCAAGATAGCATGATGTGAAAACAGTGACGTAACATTAACAAGCTGTAAGTCACTCATTAAAGAGTGAATTTTGTTTTACATCAGTCAAACATATTTCATCATTATCTTGGTACACTGACAATATCTGGGCTAGACAAACCAGTGCCTGATATTATGGTCACCACTGCACACAATAGACAAATGTATGTTACCGGGGACCTGTTCTGACCCAGAATCCCCACAGGTTGTAAATAATTACATCTGACCAGGCAGACTAATGGTGAAATACACAATCAGCATTCTGCCTGCAATCCCAACACAGTCACGTATAATATAGGTACAATATAACTAATTGACTTCAGTCTTCCAAACCAAGGACTTAACACTGGATGTTAACTGACCATGACAAATATTGGAATGTTTTCAGTACACAACAGGCTTACCAAGTTGATGACAGGTATCTTGTGACTGATCTTGCCAAATGAGTAGGGCATATGGTTCCTGTAGACATGTCCCACTCTAGAGCATGGCACCCATTCTATGGAGCCTCCACACTGCCAAATCTGAGGAATGTAAAAGCCAATAAGAATCTTAAAAGTGTTCACATTGGAAAATGGTAACTGGCAAAAAGGGAGATAACTGTGATAGCCTTCTACTCAACACATCTGTCAATTTCAGCCATCAAAATAGAAGCAAATTGCTATTTTTTAATGTAATGAATATGTTCTGACAAAGTAAAACAGTTAAAGTCAACTAATCACAATGTTTACCTTGAAGGAAAGTTCAAAGTTCTCTCCACCCCAGATCTGCATGCCTGGATCGTACGCTCCTATCTCAAAGAAGTACTTCCGGTCCATGGCAAACAGGCCTCCAGCATGGGTCGGGGACCTGCAAGGTAAATTACGACAATTACAATTATGTAAAAGTGAGCTACAAAAGCCAATACCCTCATCAACCCATCCTTTCACATTTCACTGCACTCCATCTTTCCAGCCACTAAGACTTTTGTTCGTTTAAGATATGATGTTAGGGTTCTGAACAAAACTGCTTATCTTGGTTTTGTGATCTGCTCTTCAAACTACCAGCATGCACACAGATAGTAAAACACCAGTCCACAAACTCATTCTCTACTAATATTCACTGTTCTCCCTCTGTCCAGACACTGATGCTGCATGGGGTCTCTTCATCTTCTCCAAACACTTCTATACATGTTGATAACTCTGATTTGATTTGCCACAAAATCACATTCTCTGGTAACCCTCAGTACTGAGGGCTTTTTTCAGGGTCACTTTCCAAAGAGTAAGGCTATGACTGTAAAATTCCAGTTTCTACCCTTGATGAGCTTGACTGGAATTTCTGGCCACCAGAGTTATGTCCCTTTTATTATGTTCCTCCTATCAGATTCCTATTAGTCAAGCCAAAATGTAACTCCCTAATGCCAGCCTATTACAGCAAGGGTTGAAATTGAACTTTAATAGCCAGCTAATTCCCTTGACTCAGGAAGATATGTTTAAGTATTGGAACTAAGATAGTCTTTGTGCTATGATCCTTGTTGGTTGGTTTGTTGTTTAACGGCGCACTCAGCAATATTCCAGCTATATGATGATGGTCTGTAAATAATCGAGTCTGGACTAGACAATCCAGTGATTAATATCATGAGCATCAATCCACGCAATTGGGATCGATGACATGCATCAACCAAGTCAGCAAGCCTGACCACACGGTCCCGTTAGTCGCCTCTTACGACAAGCATAGTTGCCTTTTACTGCAAGCATGGGTTGCTGAAGACCTATTCTACCCCGGATCTTCACGGATCCTATGATTGCTGTATGCACACAGGGTTCTATCAAGGTATACAAGGCAAAGTGTTAGAATCCTGTACTCACTTGTAGGGTTCACTGTTGTATGCCCTCTTGCTGAGCTCCTTCTGGGGCACCTGGCTCTCCTTGTACAGGAATCCCCACTCGAAGATGCCGCGGTGGTGGTTGGTGGTGTAGACCGGGTGGTAGCGGAAGTTGTTCCAGTCAATACCATCCACTATTGGCACTGCCATCACGGTTCTAGCAACAGATGAAATGATTCAGAAATGAGTTGATACAGAGCTTTACACAATTCAGGTGTGTAACATCATATCAAACTCTCGATGTATTGCAATTGTTTGCCCTATAACTGTACTGTGTCAATAAGAATTTAAAAATGCTGATGGTATTGTGGACAGTATGCATAACAATTGATATCTACTTATCAACCAAACATGAATTATGCTTCATAAAACTCAGTTTTACAGTCGAAATTCAAACCTGCTTTGTCATGACTAGCTAGGATCACAACATCAGATCAGAATTACTTCCATTGTTTTCAGAGTACCAACAGGGAGGAAAACTTTGACAATGTCAGCAATAATTTATTCATTTCCATTAGCATTGATTAGGGACTGGTGAAATCAACTTTGCACCAATGGACAACCAATGGACCTCCAATGGACCACCAATGGACCTCCAATGGACTTCCAATGGACCTCCAATGGACCACCAATGGACCACCAATGCCCTGCTATATGCAGCAATCAACACATCTGATACCCATGATCGTGTATACCGAAGAACACTGACCTGTCATGCCTGATACGTGTCAGTAGGGGAACCAGCCAGTTTCTGTTACACTCGCAGTGGGCGTCCAGGAAGAGAATGACGTCCCCAGTGGACAGCTCCGCCCCGCGGGTCCGAGTTCGGATCAGCCCCTCTCTGTCCTCATTCCTGTACAGCTTCACCTTACCATTGAACTGCTTCACATAGTCCTCCAGTTTGCCTTTCAGATGCTCTGGAGAACACAAGGATGAGGTCAGCTTGCAGCTAAAGTAGTGAGTGAGTGTGGTTTTACGCCGCTTTTAGCAATATTCCAGCAATATCATCGGGGGGGGGGGGGGCACCAGAAATGGGCTTCACACATTGTACCCATGTCAGGATTCGAACCCGGGTCATCGGCGTGACGAGCGAATACAGCAAAAGTAAGTTGTAACAATATAACAGCCTGAAGTTGTCACAAATACAGTGTACATATTTGTTCTTTGTATCATTTTGGTGACTATTCCAGCGAACAAAATAAAAACAGCAAAAGTTGCATTCAATTCAATCTCAATCAAATCAAATCTTTTACTCTGATGTTAAAGTTTTACGCAATGCACAAACATGCGTCCAGTATGCACAAATGTACAGAGTGGACGCAGAAAAATAATCATGGGTATCACAATTTTATTCATTTTACCTACAGAGCATCAAGAGCAGTTATGGGTGTCTGTTATTTCATTCATCAATTGTGACCACTGTCCACATGATCATTAATTCATTCCAGGCTCTAAAGTAACTATACAAACATACAGTACACTACACCACATTCATTATTTTACTGGACCGTCATATTCCCTGCAAGGATCATTCAAATTAATTATTGGGGTCAAGTGAAGGTAAAACCCTGTCACCTCTCTGCATGAAGATCCTGATAGGAAGTTGCATCACATGCATCAGGTGAATTTTGTTATTTGGACATTGCATCAGGTGAATTTATAGATTGGAAGGTCACATCAGGTGAATATATAGATTGGGAGGTCGTGAGGTCGCATCAGGTGAATTTATAGATTGGAAGGTCACATCAGGTGAATATATAGATTGGGAGGTCGCGAGGTCGCATCAGGTGAATTTATAGATTGGAAGGTCACATCAGGTGAATATATAGATTGGGAGGTCGCGAGGTGGCATCTGGCGAATTTATAGATTGGAAAGTGGCATTAGGTGAATTTATAGATTGGAAGGTCACATCAGGTGAATATATAGATTGGAAGGTCACATCAGGTGAATATATAGATTGGAAGGTCACATCAGGTGAATATATAGATTGGGAGGTCGCGAGGTGGCATCTGGCGAATTTATAGATTGGAAGGTCACATCAGGTGAATATATAGATTGGGAAGTTGCGAGGTGGCATCAAGTGAATTTAGATATTGGGAAGTGGCATCAGGTGAATTTATAGTTTGGGAGGTCACATCAGGTGAATATATAGATTGGGAGGTCACATCTGGTGAATATATAGATTGGGAGGTCACATCTGGTGAATATATAGATTGGGAGGTCACATCTGGAGAACTTATCAGTCAATCAGCAATGGTGGTATAGGTTATCAAGTGAATGAATGTTATTGCCACACACTGCAGTATTCCAGCTATATTAAGGACCAGACAAACAGCTTGATTTTATGATTAACATCTAATGGCATCTGGGCACCATAACATGCTGTCCCCAAACACGACTACTCGTTTCAATTTAAATGACATTTTACGGTAAATATTGTTTGTTCTGCATTCCCCACTGGGTAAGGGTAATGAAGGCAGCTACAAACCCTTGTCGCTGTAGTCGTCTACCATGACAACCTCCTTGAGCAGATGAGGCGGGGAGGTGTCGATGACGCTGTGCACAGTGCGGACCAGCGTGGACCAGCCTTCGTTGTGGAACACAAGGATCACACTGACCGTGGGCAGGTCTGTAGGGTAGTGCCAGTACTTGCATCTGTACATAGCAAGCACAGGAATGTAGGAATTAATATGTGTTAAACAGGATGTTGTTACTATTACACTCAACTCACACGAATGAAAATTGACATGACTGCATTTAGACACGTTAGATTTAGAAGTCAGAATTTCTTTCTTGAAATTGTCATTGTCTTTGTTTCCATCATGTATGTTTTTTTAGAAAAGAAACGATTTGATTATTATAATGTTATGTTTATTTTTTAAAAATAAAATAGTTGATTTTATAACATACAAATTTTAAGGATTCATATTTTAACATAAAAGTAGAACATGTAACTTTCAACAGCAGTCAGCAAAAGCAAGGCTAGGTATAGTCACATTTAAGTCACATGACTTCTGTTTATTGTTCAAGTTACGAGGGGTGGCTGAAAAGGTTCTGGGCCTAACTAGTCGGGACCCTGTTGACGGAGTTGGTTGATAATGATTTTTTGACATAATCCAATTTGAGGTCCACACTTCTGCCAAAGATGCTGGAGTACCCACTTGCGCAGGAGGCTTAAATTACTCCTGGTGATGTAAAAAGTCGTGCATGGCAGAAATGAGGTCATCCTCATTTGCATTATGCTTGTCAGATAGTTCTTTCTTCAAAGTTCATGAAGACATGGGCATCTGAGAGTGAATATGGCAGATGTTCAGTGAGTTCAAAGCCACAGTCGTGCATTGCAGCCATGGTGACAACAGACTGGTGGAACAACACACCTTCAATGAGTTTTCCATGAAAAATGAAAGATATTCTCATGTAGTAAACAGTTGGCCAATAACCTTTCAGGATTTGTCTGCCAGTAGGAATCCTTTGTCAGAGGAAGTGACGTTTCCACTGCTTCAACTGTTTTTAGTATCTGGCTGATAGTGGTGAACCCAAGACTCATCCATGGTTACAAATCACTCAACAAACTCAGCTGGGTCTGCTTCAAAAACAGCCTAGACTCTCAGGAGAGAAGATGATCCTGGGGCATTTCTGATTCCTTTAACAAGCCCAATTCTTTCCTCAGAATGTGGTGAGTCGTTGATCATTCGGAATCATATCATGTATTTTAATCACTATTTTCCTTATTCGGGCCATTTGAAGGTCATCCTGGTAACCTTTGAGGGTCTGACTTCACTTCCTGAACTCTGCTGCCCACCTCTCAATAGCAGCAAAGGAAGATAATCATCCCCTAAAGTTGACACCATATTGTTCCTTTTCATCAAATGTCAAGTTTCTCTGTCGTGTGTTTGGAATGAGGATAGTCATATTAAAGTAACAAAATGCGACAATTTCTTTGCTTTGCCTTTGCTTCTGCATGACGTATATTTAACAAAAGGAATCTTTCACTAAGATTACTCAGCCTGATTCCACAATCTTAGAACATCCAAATGTATTCCAGACTTTGACAGAAGTCACACACAGAGGCCGAAATCCAGAGGTGAACAAATGGTCAACAGCAATCTTTCTTGTTCCATTTACTAACATGATTAATACATGGATGTGCATTTTTCTTGAAGTAAGGGACTTACTGTTTAACAACACTTGAAAAGAACTTAAAAGATAAAAAGAATGATTTTGATAGTAATCAATCCCATTATATAAGTGATTACAGTTTTGTGCCGCTTTTAGAAATATTCCAGAAATATCATGGCAGGGAACACCAGAAATGGGCTTCACACATTGTACCCATGTGGGGAATCGAACCCAGGTTTTCAAACGCTTTAACCACAAGGCAACAGACCCTGATCAAAAGGAGACTTACTCATCCATCCTGGTGTCCGGGATGCTTCTGTCCATCGGAATCTTGTCACTGGCTACCATGTTGAAGCCGAACTCTCGAACTGTCTGGTCAGCTTTGGACTGCTCTTCCATTGTAGTGTATACAGGCTCGCCCATCTCACCTGGCAGCAGAGTGCAGAGTGAGGTGAGGTGAGGTGAGGTGAGGTGAGGTGAGGTGAGGTGAGGTGAGGTGAGGTGAGGTGAGGTGAGGTGAGGTGAGGTGAGGTGAGGTGAGGTGAGGTGAGGTGAGGTGAGGTGAGGTTAAATGGAATTGCATCCAAGATCATTGCACTTATATAGTGACAAGCATGCATGTGTGTGTGTGTGGCTGCCTGTACTAGTCAGGACTAATGTGTTTTTATAGTGCTAGCCCACTGAGATACCATGCCACAGCTTAACATAAATACCCCACTCAGACACAGCATATTGACTCCAAGCCGACCAGTCAGCCTTTTAATGCTGAGTGCCAGACAGGGTAACAGGTACCATCTCTATGAACCCAAGACCTTCCACTCTCTGGCGGACAGTCTACCACTAGACCCTGGGGGTGGTCGTGTGCCGAGTGAGGGTTGTGGATGAGCTGGTTTGTTAAGGTGTGTGTTAGTGTGTGTGTTAATGGGGTTTCATGATGTGCATGTGTGTGTCTGTTGGTATGTGTGTGTGTCCGTGAGTGCATGTGTGCTTGTTCATGCAGCAAGCAATATTCCATCCATACCAGTCAATTACAATATAGTCCCAAATGATTTCCCAAAAAACATATTGTGTGCAAAGTGTGCATGTCCACAACTACTCCCCAATGTAGCAATAACACTTGTATATTTTGCCAGAGCTGTTTCACAGAAGAGAAAGTCTTTTTTCAATATGTGGTGTAGTGGTAGAGCATCCCCCGGAGGCGGAAGGTCAGGGGTTCATCAGAGGTTCAATACCCAGCCGAATGATAACAAAAGATGCTGAAAGACGGTAGTTGTTGTTACCCTGTCTGGTGGGGCTAAATCAAGGACTGGTCAGCTCTCTCTCTGTCTGTCTGTCTGTCTGTCTGTCTCTCTCTCTCACACACACACACACACACACACACAACACACACACACACACAACACACACACACACACACACACTGTAATATAAGTGCATTAATCTTGAACGTGACGATATACCCCATTTCACCTCACCTCTTTAAAAGCAGACCATCTATTAAGGAGGCCACGCTCACAATTCAGCATAGACTCTCTTCCTATCCTTAGGCAATCACCATGGAAACAAATCATCCTCAAGCACATATAGCATTCCTATGATCATGCCTGAAGATTATCATAATGATCTGCCCTTTTAACAATGTCTGCATGAGTAACTTTTCCACATCCTTTACTAACCTGGGGTATTTTTGGCTTCAGGCTCCTTGGGTTCAAAGTTGCCTGTAATTCCCTTCTTCATGACAGCTACAGGTCCAAGATTCTTGTGTTCAAAAGGGTTGTCGTCCTCTCCTACCTGGGGTTGGGGGATGACATTGTCTTGATTCAGGTCGGGTACAGCATGGTCACTTTTATGTTGACGTTTACTGTCCTTCTGGTTCTGGAAATAGGAGTGAGTGAGTGAGTGAGTTACGCCGCTTTTAGCAATATTCCAGTAATCACAGTGGGGGAAACCAGACATCGAACCCAGGCCTTCGGTGTGACAAGCGAGTGCTTTAACAGCTAGACTACCACCAACATTGAGTTGTGACAGAGCAGCATAAGGTGTGGACTGACAGTGGGTATTAATTGTGAAAATGTTACCATCCTCCACAATGCTCAAGGGCAAAACCACACAGATTACAATACTGTTAGACAGGCTTTACTTCAGGAAGACCAACAGCAACACAGGGCAACCAGGATGGAGGCTTGACAATTAAGATATTGTCTTTAAGTGGAAAAAAGGGCTGAAAAAAGTTCTAGATAGTTATAATCATATTGTTATAATCATATTGATATTTCACTTTCATAAAGACCCATTTTGGGTTTGTTTGTTGTTTGACGCAGCATGCAGCTATATTTTATTGCTGAAGACCTATTCTTACCCGGATCTTCACAGGTCCCATTTTGGTTAATAAGAAGTTTTGTCCCAACTTCATGACAAGGAGCCACTTGCTCCATCACAAGATACAACCCGCAAAATTGAACATCTGAAAATGTTCTTTTGTACAATCATCAGTACATGATGACTTGTTAGCATCAGATTTGAACTGTCAATGTATGCACTTTGCATCTTTAATCTTAAAGGTATGTCACAGTTCATCATGCATTTATCAGGTTTATGAAGGATAACATCTTTTTTGTCAATATGCAAGGTACAAATACTATTTCTTTCAATAATGTGTTATTTTAAGCTTATGCTTAGGCAGGTGTGGAGCATCGATCCCCATCTTGGTGTGTGAACATACAGCAGATGTATTTGAACAGGCAACAGCTGGGACAAACTGCAGCACAGTCACACTCAGCATGAGAGATAGAGCCAGATAGAGTTTCACAGTACTTATGTCAAATGTAACATGACACCCAAGATGATGCAGTTGTCAGACAATTACAGATTAAGCATTGGAGAGACACATTGCAAATTGTATACCAATCCCAAAAGTAAGCTCATCCAACAGTACAACATCCCCAATCTTCCAGGGTATTATTTCTAAGTTTCTTCAGGGATTTATCTAGGAGTTTAACTAAGTGGCAGGCAAATTTGTTAGAATTTGTTAGAATTTCATATTTTCTTACATTTTGAAGTATTTTAAGATTTCATTTAATGCAATAACATAATATAAAGCCTTAAAACCTGTTCCTATTTATTGGTCTTGCTTAAAGTTAATTCAGGTTACGTCTGCAAAGTCAAATAATAAGTTATATATATTAATAAATAAGTTATGTATTAATATATTGTAACATGAATTGTTTTTTACTTCCAAATTAGGTATTTTGAATGACATTTGCTGCATTTGCTTAGCATTTAGGGCCGAATATAGCACATGCAGATAAACCCCTGCCAAGCCAGGCTGATATCTGGCAGAAATTCTTCATTGCTAGAAGTTACTTGTTCTTTTTTGACAAGAAACCTGGACCCATTCAACTTGATAGCTTCGTTTCAGAGTAATGTCACCACTCACTAGTGAGAGTTAGTTTATTGGATGGCTATTTTTAGCGCTAGCCTATCCAATGAGATGAATGGTGACATAATCATAATAATACACTGGATAATCGAGATGGTAAAATATTGCCACGAACTGCCAAACTTGACCCGAGCCGGGCATGTGTACATGGCAGGTGTACAAACTCTTCCTCCATTGTTCTCCAACACATAATAACATATTCTAGCGTTTATTGTAGACCATGGCATTGAACACAATTGCATGAATAGAACACGTAGTTGAATAGATGAGGCATGAATAGAACCCACTTTGTCAATATGGGGTGTCGATGTGTAGAGAGATCGCTATGTACTATTTAACATATTCGTGTCAAAATCATGGCATGCATCAGCGTTAGAAATTGGCATTAGTCCTGCAGTCCTTGCCAAACTGCCCAAAAGATCAGGTATCATAAGGACTAGTAGAAATTTCTCCTTTTTAAGGGTTTTGCTATATGTTATCATTATAAGGACTAGTGGTTCAAACCTGTTAGTTTCTACCGCTGATGCATCACTCAGATTAGTGTTACTATTAACACTAGTATTCACCTGAGCTTACACTGGTACAGAAGTTAACAAATAACCAAACCTTTCGATAAGTTCTATTGATAATGAGGATGTCAACGAGATAAGCTAAAAAAAGAAACACCCTCAACCAGTAGCTTCAATATGGCAAACAGACTGCTTTGAGCAAGGGGAGTGATTTATAATGACACTGCATGGGGGGTAAGCATGATCAGCTCCAATACCATTACAGGACCACCTGGTTCGGTAGCTCACCTGAATTATTTCTGGAATATTTGCAGTAGACTACAAACCCAAATGAAAATGTCATCATGTTAAGCAGTTATCAAGTCATAGGTGTTTAAATAAAAACAGCTAGGGTGTATAATAATTCATGACATTTATAATGTTGAGTGCATGGATCTGATCAGATCAGCTCCTTATCACCATAATGACAGAAGTCAGCATGTCACTTTTCAACATGACTGATATCACGACCTTCCATAGTATCACTTTGATGAAGTTGCTACTTGTCACCACTTCACCTGTTGGCAACATCTGGAGCCGACACAAGCTGTTGTCCAGTCAATGCTGTGGCTACATACCTCCATTCACACCTACACAATGCATTCATTCCCACACCAAGGTTGATCAATAGCAGGTAGGAGAACTAGTCCTGTACAATAGAATACTGTAATCTGAAATCACTGCACATAATGCTGGACACAATTAAACTTCATAAACATGGTGGATGTATTGATATTTATCAGAAAAAAATCATATCAGTTCAGATCTAAAAACTAAAATCAGATCTTAGTTCTTGCTACACTAAACAAAGATCTGAGGACATCCCAGATCTCGGCCATCTATTAGACATACCAGAATGTTTTTATTCAGTTTTCAAGTTTTTAATCAAGAACTTTGTCAAAATGGTTTTCAAAGCTTAGTCTGGAATGCAAGTCACCAGTTGAACCTTGAGAATGTTGACTTCATTAGTCATTTCATTGGTTTGCGAAAGATTGTATTGACAATACTTGTAATGGGATGTCCTATATTGATCTTCGTATTTCGGTAGCGAGAACTAAGATCTGATTTTAATGAGATTGAATTTTTTTTCAAAAAGATGTTCTGTCATGTTCCTTCAATCCATACTAGGGTGGACTAAATCTGTTCATGGTGCCTGTTTGTGGTAGAAGACATGAAAGCAGTTCACTGGTGTGCACTAGAAACATAGCAGATACAGGGGAAACACATTGCAAGGTTCATTCAGATATTGAACACTAAAATTCAAGCCCTTTTCGTGGCTTCAAGGCTGCAAACTGTCATTTTCAAGAATTTTATATTTTGGTTATAGGCCTTAGTATGTCAATATTTTATTAAATCCAGCATACTATGTAGTTGTAAACCTAAAAAGCAGTATGACCATTGCACATTTTCCAAAAAGATTTATTTTTTACCCATCAAAAGATAAATTAAGTCTGTCATGAAATCTTCAGTGTCTCTGTCACACAAATCTATCACTGTGATAAATCTCACTTAAACATCTTTGCTACATATTTTTAAGTGCTCTAATACCTTGATTAACAAGTATATGTCATTTTGTAAATATTCAAGACTCTTCAAGCTATTTTGGTGATTTTCAAGGCTTTTCAAAGTTGGTGCTAAATCAAGGCTTTTCAAGAGGACCTTAAAATTCAAGGCTTTTCAAACCTTTACGAACCCTGCAGTAGTTTTCTCAACACTCATTATATAATGTTCTATCAAACGATAACAAAGCTAAGAAAAGAATTGTTCAATCATGTAAATTGAAGGATAACAGTATCTGATCCAATACCTTACCATCAGACCATAGGCATATAATGTATGGTCACAACACAGGGATTTATCGAGACCTGCTCAGGGGTCACAAATTCACAAATGAATAAAAAAATCCCAAATTATGATATGATCATGATTATAGATATAACTAATGTTATGGATTTGTTTTAGCACAAACATATTCCATTCTCTGTAAAAGGATTGGGCACAAGTTATCACAACTAGATCACCCACTTCTATAGATTTACATGAATCCCTACTAAAATTCAATGACAGAAAGGAAAGATGAGAAATGTATGTACCGTATTCGACGTAATAAGCGCCCTGCTCTAATAAGCGCCCACGGCGATATTTGCTAATATATTGGCTAGTGAACAATCTCAGTTAGCATCCCTTCCAATTGATTAATGTACACAAGACTTATTTACTTGTGTATAATACGCACTCGTATGTCATATGCACCCTTAATTATGGGCAATTAAATCCTGGAAAAATATATCTGTAGTATATAACATTTCAGGCTGTCAGCATAAACCACGAAATTTACGATCTTTCAACTCTAAATAATATCCTAATAAGAGCTCCCTATTTCTAATTTTGATAGCGCCCTGGGCGCTTATTACGTCGAATACGGTACATAAAACTTGCTCACTCAATCTTTTGTTTTTTTATATCAGGTACTTTATGTATGTAGATTCCAAAAAATGTTTTCATTGACATGATTACGTACAGCTGCATTGCAAACTGGCAACAAGACAATATTAAAATCCCAAGTATCTTTCACCATGTTCACAATTAACAACAGTGAATGCATCAATATTAAAAAATGGACATTTAATGAAAAACTATATCAGCTTTCACATGGGCTGCCACATGGGCAGGTTTGGGTCCCAATGGCTGTGTAGAGGTGACTTGAACTTCAATGGTCATTGGGCCAGGAAACATGCTGAACATGGTAAGGAGGCGAGAAGCTTCTACAATAATTAACAGATGCTTTACAAATGATAACTGTATTGTGTGCAGTGTTGAAATACAATGTAAAAATACAATGTTGAATTCTACTGAAGTTAGGAACATAGGATCTAAGAAAAATCCTGAAGTTTCACAATTGGCCTTCCAACATGGCCACAGGACTTTTGAATCCTAGATATAGTTCTAAGATGACTTTTGGTCCAGGAAAATAACCAAGTGAAAGTAAATTTTAATGATCCTTTACATCTAGAAAGCATAAGGTTTAAACATGATTTGATTGCCCCCTTGGTCATGGTACATCTTACCTAATGACAGTACAGCATGTACAAGGAAACATCTCAACTCACAATGGTTACTGGACTAAGACATCACAGGGCTGCCTAAATGATGAGAGAGTAATGTGAACCTGTAACCAGTGTGTCACCATGTTCTAGGGGCTAGCAATAGCATGTCTACTGGAGGTGACCCTGTAGCCAGTGTGTCACCATGTTCTAGGGGCTAGCATGTCGACTGGAGGTGAACCTGTAACCAGTGTGTCACCATGTTCTAGGGGCTAGCAATAGCATGTCTACTGGAGGTGACCCTGTTACCAGTGTGTCACCATGTTCTAGGGGCTAGCATGTCGACTGGAGGTGAACCTGTAACCAGTGTGTCACCATGTTCTAGGGGCTAGCATGTCAACTGGAGGTGACCCTGTGGCCAGTGTGTCACCATGTTCTAGGGGCTAGCATGTCTACTGGAGGTGACCCTGTGGCCAGTGTGTCACCATGTTCTAGGGGCTAGCATGTCTACTGGAGGTGACCCTGTGGCCAGTGTGTCACCATGTTCTAGGGGCTAGCATGTCGACTGGAGGTGACCCTGTGGCCAGTGTGTCACCATGTTCTAGGGGCTAGCATGTCTACTGGAGGTGAACCTGTTACCAGTGTGTCACCATGTTCTAGGAGCTAGCATGTCAACTGGAGGTGAACCTGTAACCAGTGTGTCACCATATTCTAGGGGCTGGCATGTCTACTGGAGGTGACCCTGTGGCCAGTGTGTCACCATGTTCAAGGGGCTTGCATGTCTACTGGAGGTGACCCTGTGGCCAGTGTGTCACCATGTTCAAGGAGCTAGCTTGTCTACTGGACTAGGACATCACAGGGCTGCCTTAAAGATGAGAGAGTAATGTGACCCTGTGGCCATTGTGTCACCATGTTCAAGGAGCTAGCTTGTCTACAGGAGGTGACCCTGTGGCCAGTGTGTCACCATGTTCAAGGAGCTAGCATGTCTACTGGAGGTGACCCTGTAGCCATTGTGTCACCATGTTCTAGGAGCTAGCATGTCGACTGGAGGTGACCCTGTGGCCAGTGTGTCACCATGTTCAAGGAGCTAGCTTGTCTACTGGACTAAGACATCACAGGGCTGCCTGAGTGACGAGAGGGTAATGTGAACCTGTAGCCAGTGTGTCACCATGTTCTAGGGGCTAGCATGTCGACTGGAGGTGAACCTGTAACCAGTGTGTCACCATGTTCTAGGGGCTAGCAATAGCATGTCTACTGGAGGTGAACCTGTAACCAGTGTGTCACCATGTTCTAGGGGCTAGCATGTCGACTGGAGGTGAACCTGTAACCAGTGTGTCACCATGTTCTAGGGGCTAGCAATAGCATGTCTACTGGAGGTGACCCTGTGGCCAGTGTGTCACCATGTTCTAGGGGCTAGCATGTTGACTGGAGGTGAACCTGTAACCAGTGTGTCACCATGTTCTAGGGGCTAGCAATAGCATGTCTACTGGAGGTGACCCTGTTACCAGTGTGTCACCATGTTCTAGGGGCTAGCATGTCGACTGGAGGTGAACCTGTAACCAGTGTGTCACCATGTTCTAGGGGCTAGCATGTCAACTGGAGGTGACCCTGTGGCCAGTGTGTCACCATGTTCTAGGGGCTAGCATGTCGACTGGAGGTGACCCTGTGGCCAGTGTGTCACCATGTTCTAGGGGCTAGCATGTCTACTGGAGGTGAACCTGTTACCAGTGTGTCACCATGTTCTAGGAGCTAGCATGTCAACTGGAGGTGAACCTGTAACCAGTGTGTCACCATATTCTAGGGGCTGGCATGTCTACTGGAGGTGACACTGTGGCCAGTGTGTCACCATGTTCAAGGGGCTTGCATGTCTACTGGAGGTGACCCTGTGGCCAGTGTGTCACCATGTTCAAGGAGCTAGCTTGTCTACTGGACTAGGACATCACAGGGCTGCCTTAAAGATGAGAGAGTAATGTGACCCTGTGGCCATTGTGTCACCATGTTCAAGGAGCTAGCTTGTCTACAGGAGGTGACCATGTGGCCATTGTATCACCATGTTCTAGGAGCTAGCATGTCGACTGGAGGTGACCCTGTGGCCAGTGTGTCACCATGTTCAAGGAGCTAGCATGTCTACTGGACTAAGACATCACAGGGCTGCCTGAGTGACGAGAGGGTAATGTGAACCTGTAGCCAGTGTGTCACCATGTTCTAGGGGCTAGCATGTCGACTGGAGGTGACCCTGTGGCCAGTGTGTCACCATGTTCTAGGGGCTTGCATGTCTACTGGACTAAGACATCACAGGGCTGCCTTAAAGATGAGAGAGTAATGTGACCCTGTGGCCAGTGTGTCACTATGTTCAAGGAGCTAGCATGTCAACTGGAGGTGACCCAGTGGCCAGTGTGTCACCATGATCAAGGAGCTAGCTTGTCTACTGGAGGTGGCCCTGTGGCCAGTGTGTCACCATGTTCAAGGAGCTAGCATGTCTACTGGAGGTGACCCTGTGGCCAGTGTGTCACCATGTTCAAGGAGCTAGCTTGTCTACTGGAGGTGACTCTGTGGCCAGTGTGTCACCATGTTCAAGGAGCTAGCTTGTCTACTGGACTAAGACATCACTGGGCTGCCTTAAAGATGAGAGAGTAATGTGAACCTGTGGCCAGTGTGTCACTATGTTCAAGGAGCTAGCTTGTCTACTGGACTAAGACATCACTGGGCTGCCTTAAAGATGAGAGAGTAATGTGAACCTGTGGCCAGTGTGTCACTATGTTCAAGGAGCTAGCTTGTCTACTGGAGGTGACCCTGTGGCCAGTGTGTCACCATGTTCAAGGAGCTAGCTTGTCTACTGGACTAAGACATCACTGGGCTGCCTTAAAGATGAAAGAGTAATGTGACCCTGTGGCCAGAATGTCACCATGTTCTAGGAGCTAGCTTGTCTACTGGAGGTGATCCTGTGGCCATTGTTTCACCATGTTCTAGGATCTAGCTTGTCTACTGGACTAGGACATCACAGGGCTGCCTTAAAGATGAAAGAGTAATGTGACCCTGTGGTCAGTGTGTCACCATGTTCAAGGAGTTAGAATGCCGAGTGGAATGCAGACATCTACAGGCTAGTTCAATAGTTCAATCACACAAAGTTTTACCTCCTACGTAAACAATTTTTGGAATGTTGTATTCCGAAATTAAATGTAGAACTTTTTTTACTGTGACTGCCTGCTACAACCAAGAAGAGAAAATGGTTGCAGTTTCAACTAGAAAATAAAGATTAAATGAGAGTGTTAGAAATTGGCACTGCCAAACTTCCCAAAAGCTAAGGACTAGGGTATCAAGGCTTAGTAGAAATTTGCCATTTTTAAGGGTGTTGCTATATGTTCTCATTATAAGGACAAGTGGACTAAACATTTTAGTTTCTGAAATGATCATGATGATAAATTTACATCCAGTAAGACGTACATATTTCTGAGTCCAAGCCAACATGGCTAATGTCTATCCTTCCTTATGGGATGACAGCTTCAGATGACACCCAGGGCTAGTACAAATTACTGCAGGCTACTACAAATTTCCAAACTGCCCCATTGTTTTAATGTTACAAGGGCACTCTATCCTTACCCAGGCTTGTAAAGATTCTGCGTTTGGTTCTAACCCTGTGACACACCAAATCTTTCTCAGATAACTGTGACAAGACAACAACAACGTTTTTACACGTTTACTAAACATGCTTACCAAATACTGGTCATCTCATGGTTTTCACCATGACCAAATCGAAGTCAAACACTCACCATTTCATGCACAAACTTGTCCTGTCTCCTGGCCACACCCTTGTTATCATCAAACAGGTGGAAGAGGTAAGGCCCCACCAGTAGCAGGGCGGTGACAGCCAGCCCCAGCTTCAGGAGCAGCTTCCTCCGACAGTACACCCTCATTGGGAAACTCTTGTCTTCACCCGCAGCAGCAGCAGCCGGATCTCCACTACCAAACTGGTGCGAAGAGACTCCTCTTCTATTTGCCCTGAAAATAATATTGTTTCCATGGTTATAAGAACCAATACTGACCACCAGATCACATTAGCATGATTAATGACCTCTTACAAGTAGTCACATCTTAAGGCAAGCATGGGTTGCTGAAGACCTATTCTAACCCAGATCTTCACACGTCACTTTAACATTGTCCAACACATGATTTTATGTGTTCACAAGGTGTATACATACCTATGCCACGTGTACAAACAACTGTCTGTGTCATGTATCATGGCTATATCAATGTATATGGTCGTGGCAGTTTTACTTCACTGAACTAACAAAGCCAACTAGGAAAATAATCCAGGAAGCGGACTTGTAAATTTGTGACAGTTACCATGGTTACAAAGGCCAAAGAAAACAGGAATGCAACTCTACCATACATTTACCATACAAACACATCAATATTTATTGCAATAATCGGGGCATAATTGACATGGTCGGCTAGCATGGCACATACAGAATTTGATGCTATATCAACAACAGCAAACAATCATCAGTAATCATAATAATCATAAACAAAATATCAATAACATTGACTAACCATGACACAATGAAAATAATTTCTTTAAAAATAGCATACTTAAGTGACATGTTTAGCATGATTGCTGTCATAATTACCATATGATCAAGAGGAGAGCTTTTGAAACTAAACTGTTGCTGTAACTAAAATTGTGAAGAACTCACCATATTCACAGCACCGTTGTACTGTACAGTACCCAAGCATAAACACTCAAACACTGTTGTGTCAAAGATGAAGGGACCTACCTAAATAACTCTAGTTGTCCGAGGTATTAGACACAACCGAAAATCATAATAAAGAAGGAATTCACAGGGACCAAGCTTCTTGTTCGAGATAACTGTAAGTTCAACACATCAAAGTTTGACACAATAGTGTTTGACTGTATATTATATGAAATACCTTATAGATGTATATGTTGCGTTCACTTACAGCTAGCAACAGCATATTTAAGAGCCCAGCTGAGTGATTCAATTTAAAAAGTGTTAGAAACTATATAACTATAAGGTTAGCACCCTTCTCTTTATGAAGATAAAAAACCATGAAGAAAGGACCCAAACGTTTGTGTTACCTTAGTCACCAAGGTCACTGCTGCTGATTAGTTAATGATAAACACGATAGTGAGTGAGTGAGTGAGTTGGGTTCAACGCCGCTTTTAACATTATTCCAGTTATATCACGGTATGTCAGCTTAATCATGTTAACATGGGAGGCAAGCCTGTAGTGATGCAGGTCTCAGACATTTACCACTTTAGTGAAACCGACGAGCACAGGTATGGTGCTGACAAACCTATAGAAACATAATCAGGTCGAACCAGGATTCAAACCCACAATCATGTTTCTGGCATGTCCAAGGGATGCAACAGCGAATCGCAGCACCTTAGACAACCGGGCCACCCTTGCGCCCGATAGACATGATAACATCCATAATACTGCTTACAGAATAATCATAACAATCACTAAACGTGTAGCATGAGAAGCCCTCAGTCCCATGTACTCCACAAATCATGATACATACTGATGTAAATTTCAAGTGTTCAAAACTAAACCAAGAGTCAAGAGTGGTCAGGGTTCCTTCTCAAGAATATGACACTGACAACCACAGCGTTAAAAAGTTTGGATTTCAAATACCACGGAAGCAAACTGGAGGATCCCCTCTAATTTCGAACACTGATGTCTATACATGAAGTGAAGGGCACTGTGCATACTCAGTACATTCACTGACATATTGATCATATTCATAGTAAGCCTGTTGACACGAAGGGTTTGACAGACACAGCTCAAGGGCAAGACTGGTAGTTATGTACACCGCCATCCTAAAACATGTGCACACATTGTGTGTATTCTGAATATCTAATGCACACAAGACACAACCCAACAGCTCAATAACACATCACAATGTAAGCATAGACCTCATTAGCAGTGTTCGAAATTAAGTATGGCTCCTTGTTAAAGAGTTAAAGATTTAGGGGGTCGTGAAATTCAAATACCATTTGAGAAGACCCCAAGCACTCCAGCACCCAACATAATTTTGAACACTACATCATAAGCACCAAGGTAACCATGGTAACAACACGGACAATCAACAGGTGCCTGAAAGTGTTCACATTTATAAATGCTTTATCAGATTATGTCTGGTAGAACATGGCAAACTTATAATATTACTGATACAAGAACAATATTGGTCAGATGTATTTGTTTTTCCACTTGAATTAGCATGCTTAGCCTCAGCACAAACCCAAGGCCGGGCTGGTGTTCTATATTGTATCATGCAATACCATGCTTACAAAGGTTTTAACACAATGCCAAAGCTTGCTTGTTTGCCGTTTAACGCTGCACTCAGCAATATTCATGATGGCCATCTGTAAATAATTGAGTCTGGACCAGACAATCCAGTGATTGACATCATGAGCATCAATCTATGCATTTGGGATACGGTGACATGCATCAACCAAGTCAGCGAGCCTTACCGCCCGATCTTGTTTGTTGCCTTTTATGACCAGCATAGTTGCCTTTCACAGCAAGCATTGGTTGCTGAAGACGTATTCTATAGCCGGATTTTCACGGGTTCAATGCCAATTGGAAGATTTGCAATATTCCAGCTATATGATTGCGGTCTGTAAATAATCTGGACATGACAATCCAGTGATTGATGTCATAAGTATATAATCAACGCAACTGGGATATGATGACATGCATCAACCAAGTCTGCGAGACTGATCACCCAATCCCGTTCGTCACCTCTTACTACAAGCATAGTCGCCTGTTAGTGTTAGTGTTAGGGTAAGCATGCGTTGCTGGAAACCTATTCTACCCCAGATCTTCACGGGTTCATAATGATATGATTAATACTGTCAACTACTCAACTTTTAATCAGACATCTACTGAAATCAGAGTCTTAAATAAGTTGTTTACCAGGATATTTACTGACTATCATCCAATACACCGGTACGTGATATCTCAGATTCCTTAACATGCTAAAGGTTGTGTTAAATTTGGTTATGACATGCCCAATCAAAACGTGGTAAAATCATGACAAAGTCCTAATGCCATTGAGAAAATGATTTATGTCTCCAGCAAAATCATTGTCCGTTCAACATGTTCTACTTAGGGGTGAAACGATACAGCAAGGTCACAATACAATATGTATCACGACACTTAGGTCACCATACGGAACCTATTGCGATATGAATATTTACGTCAAATCGCGTGTAAACCTCTCAACTATTAACATTGAAAAATATTTCAGAGCAGGTTCAGAAGAAAAAGCTAGTTGTAGTCTCCTGTTCATTGTGGCTACTTTGCGATATTTGACTGACAAAAACGCTTATTGTCATTAAACAAGTAAGTAATTATTTTAGCAAGTGTATCGTCTTGTATTGATACAGAAATATAACTTATAGTGTATGGTATCGTAGCATGTAAACTCACGATGCACCGGAACATCGATGTATCGTTTCACCCTTATGCTACACCAGACCATAATGCAGGTAGTGTTGTGACAATGGTAGTGTTACCCAGCCACACCCTGCGGCCACACGGAACGAGATAATGTAGAAAAGGTCTGGCTTTAGTTGAGTTTCAGTACATATTGCCTGAGGGAAGAATGTATGCCATTTATCTCTGATGATACTGTTTCCAGCCTTCAACTACTAGTATGATCATGTTTATTTACAACTGGTCCTTGGAACATGTGGAACACAGTGATGTGACTACACACTTTCAGCTCTGGTCACAGACGCAGGCAATAATGATTGATTGGGTGTTGTTTAACACCACATTCAGCAATATTTCTGATGTGTAAATAATGGAGTATGAACAAGCCATGATAGTGACTACTGACTAATGCCAGGAACATGATCGGTCCATGCAATTTTGGGTATGAGCATGCAGCAACATGATCAACCTTCTCAGCAAGCTTGACCACCCGATCATGTTAGTCACCTCTTACGATGAACATCACTTCAGACCAAGATCACGGGGTGCAGGCAATAACGAGTAGATGAGTTATGGCCATTTTCATTTACATGCCCGATTGCCATTTCACAAAATACGTAACATTAATCATGTTAATAAAATCAAAATCTTTGGTTAAAATGGTAAATGTTAAGAAATGAGACCTTTTGAATCTTTCCAGTGGACATTGTGAACACGAAACTCGAACCCAGAAAATGCTTTTTAAACTAATTAAATAAGTCATTATCATGATTACTGTCATCATTACCCAATTTTCTTAACAACACTTTGCCTAAATAAGTGTATCATTCAGCAAATTACAGTTTTCGTCATGAAGAGGGTGTCAAAGCTGTCGTGTTCACGAGTTCACTTTATCCAATGTCAGAAACCCTTTTAAACAGATGACCTTATTAAAAAAATGAAAAATTTGATAGCCACCTTTTGACAATAATTGCATGTTGAGGAATAATAGTGAAAAAGTTTACCGATACACACACACAGACAGTGTCACCACGGTTAAGACATAGAACAACAATAGACATGATAGAGAGCATGGAAGAAAAGAAATATGCTTAGTAATCATTAATAGTGTAGATGTGTGTCTCTATTGGTCTTAACAATCACTTATTTTGTGCAGATCATTCCAACATTCCAACGTCAGAAACAGGTTCTCAACCATGTTGATTGTCATGATACCAATCAGATCATGAAGATATTAACTATAATCATGATAATTACATACTTCAGTGTGAAAGACTGAATTTTCCTAAGTCGAGAAAAGTGATATTTTCATTGCTGTGAAAATAACACATGGCCGGAACTATTGTCGTACAAGAGTTACCTCCCCGCAAGTTGTCTCCCCTTATCATGTTTATCTATGAGTCTAGCCCGGACACATACTGGTGACTTCCTTTTTACATTCTACATTGACAAGGCAAAATAATTATAGATGGTCTTTTATGGAATTAATGTCACTTCTTGTCATTTGTTATTCTCTTGAAAATGTTTTGTTATAAACTGTAAATTTCTCATTTAACTTGTCAATTCAGACTGTTTGTTTCGCAAAACGCCATTTTTATTACTTGACCAGTGTGTACTCTTTCGCTTCGAACAGCAGTCTAAAAGATTTCACACAAAAAAAAATGAAAATAGTTTTTGTGTATAATCAAATCCCAATGTATGATAACGAATTTGAGACCCTAAATATATTTTGTTACTTTTGTTTATATTTATTAAGATTTTGCAAAGCCAGAACTACTTTTTAAGTTGCAATAAAAAGGGGTAGTGAAATGTCCCTGCGTGTCAGGTAGGGAGAACTTATGTTTCAAGGTTTTACATTTGTAATTAAATAATTTCATTTCCCGGAAGAGAACTACACAAAAAGTATACAATAAATATGATATTCCATGTGTCTTGTGAAATATCATCATGATCATGTTTCTTAATCATCATGTTTCCCTCGTCATTTAATGAGAGAAACATGATACTTCAGGGACACATGAAATATCCTCTATTTATTGTCTTTGACAGAGAAATACATGCTTACCACTGTTTATTTGGTCTTTGAAAAAATATTGAAAAAATATCAAATACAAATCATCACGTATGTTTATTTCCACTCTTAATAAAGAGAATAGAAATGAGAGGGTGCTTGACTGCAACATGTGGGAGAGCAACTGAATATCATCTTTTGATGATGAAGGAGGATGTGGAGATGACAACTACATCCTTACCCAGGGATAAAATTAACATTTCCTGTCTGCTAGTCAGAGACAAGTAAAATGCTGTGTTGACTACCACTTTTAACTCCTTTGCAAACAGGTGAAATAGCAATTATTGCCTAACTTTGTAATACCTCATCAATTTGCTAACAGGGTTAACCTCTTTGGTCAGGTAGAAAAGGCTTCCAACCTCAGATCAATACGCTTGAGGTTTGAATCCCATCTCAGGCATTTTATATATTATTGCTGAATACTGAATCAGCTGCTTGTCTACAAATTAGACCGCTTTATACTTTTTCATAGGTATATTCATTCAACATGTTTAAGGACAGTGCAAATTATCAAAAAGATTTAGGCTTATTAGATAGCATATAAAAGAGGTGTTATGATAAGCATGTTAAGAAAACAGAAAAGTGAATTTCAAAGTAAACACAGGTGCAGTTAATGGTACAATATGTTCATGATTATGACATATAAGGTTGGTGCCAAACATGTTTGAGTCTGCTGGCACAAACTTATTCTTCAGCATTATTTTAGTTGACTTTTATGGAAACAAACATGCTAGCTAGTGTTCTTAGTATAGTAATCTTACTATATCATAGTTTGAACCACTGCAAAATCTGGCACACATTTTAGTAGACTCAGACATTGTCAGACTTCAGAATAGTTGTGAAAATTGCAGATTGCAAATGTTTACAGATTTCTAAGAGGAAATACTATGGACATAAATGATGCAGTTATAATTTTAGCATTCAAATATACAAACTACGATGCACACTACACATACAAATGATTACTAACCATATTAATTTTTCAACATTCAGCTAAGAAAAGCAAAGAAAATACCTTTTCATAGTCTAAATATGACAACCATTAATTGTTCATCAGCTTGAATTCCTGCAGAGAAATGTACACGCCTGTTGGCAAGGGTTTGTTGTAGCACGCAATGGACAATAATATACGACCCGCACCGGGACAGTGAAAGGGAATGTTCGTCTGTGTCAGCTAGCATATTACAGATAGCATCAGCTCAGTTAGCACAATAGGTGTTTCGTTACCAGGTGTAGCTATTGATTTTCCTCGCGATGACATGAACAGACGTGCTTTTCCAGAATTCCTACATATTAACAGTTCTTCCCGTTATCTATTGTCTTGTCGTCCCTCGATGATCGCTGTCTTATCTCCAAGTGACAAGTGTCATTTTACCATTTGCTTATGAGAGACTACGCATGGAATCGTCTGTTTTGGTATATTGAGCTACGTCAGTGTAAATTATCAACGCATAGCACATGCTTTATTTGCACAGAATCATATTTCGTTGCATTACAGTGTTATTGCTCGTAAAAGTTCTTACCGTACGATGTGGCGAATTTGGCCGGAAAAGCAGTGCGCCCTCTCTAATTTAGGTGACAGTTGCGAGTTATCTTCCCTTGATGAGGCCCACAAAGAACCTCTCACAGTCTCTAAATTGATTTTAATGTTTCTCCCAAATTTAACCAGGAAACAACGACTGTGTTAAGTCCTGGCTCATAACTACACAGTTGTGTCCCATATGTATAAGAAGATATCGATTTCAAATAATTATTGTAATAGCCATGGTACAGATTGTACAGTGGAACTACTGAGCGCTGTCGACTCAGGCTGAGATATGATCTTTTTCCCATGTTGGGCCCAAGTTCGGGGCTGTGATTTTATTATCTTTACGTGAAAAATAAATTATAGATTTTATTGCTACTATTATTTACGTATCGACATTGTCTCATGTGTATAGTGTTACTGATTAAGCGACTCCAATCAAAAAGATTGAGTTAGCAGACAAAGTGGTGTCTGAATGACTGCTGTCAAATTTACTAGGATTTTCCCGAGCCCATTTGTTACAGAGAGAAATGGGGGTGCGGCTCTTGAGATCGGTCTTAGGTGTGTAGCATATTTTGCCCCACCCCCATTTTATGTAACATTTTTTTTGGTGAAAACTCAACTTCGAATTGTAACACCAAACATTTTCGTGTCTTCTGCAGCTAGATAGAGCTATTTTTTTCATAAGGGAATTTTTTAAAGGGCTGCCGGTAAAGGGACCACATGGTTGATCGCCGCTCAGGAGGAATCGGCTATGATATATTTCTGTGTGCTATATTTATGAGTGAAAGATGCATGATGCATAATAAATTTTTGGGTGCTATATGACTGAAAGAAGACTAACTTGTTTCGTATGGACGGTAATATAATATATGTCCATTAAAGCCTTTAAAATTTAAATTATTTAGATGTATCATAAGTAACACATACATGTAGTCGGACGCACTTTTATGCAGCATGAAGTGAGCACAGAGACGCTGCAGAACACGCAGGAAAGTATGGTTTTACGTTCGCTTCATCGGGCACCTTTCATCATTCCCCACAGCGTAACATATTGTGTTTGTATGTTAAGAACGGGAATGTATGACAACTCAATTATTGTCCAAAATAATGACAAATTTTTTAATAAACGTTCAGCTAAATATCACGAGCGTATTACGACCAACTGGTCCCTTTAAATTATAAGATGTATTTATGTATCTTATGCTTTTATCGATTCAGCAAGGTTATACCTTTGAGCACACAGTAACTTCCTTATAATTATTGTTTTATGGTAAAAAGAAAACACTCAACAATGTCAGCACACGTTTTCTCACTTAAACAGATTTCTCAAATTCTTATCATTCCATTCTTTGACAAGGCACTAAACCGTCAGTTTTAAAGCTATTCAGTTAATCTTTTTCATTTTAGAGGGATGTTGTAGATTATGAATCCTCTCTTAATTCAATACCGACCACGTGGTCCCTTTACCACTAGCCTTCCCCATATGCAGATGTCATTGTGGTGCTCGATTCTCATTGTGAATGTAACGTGAATTGGTTACCTCCGGTGCAACAAAGAAGTGCACTTAACAGATACTTTATGTTCATTCACCAACCATGCTATATAGAACTGCACCACCTCAACCTCATGTCATCTTTGCCCTTGCTATGTAGAATTGCACTTAACCATCACCTAATGTCCTCTTTGCCCTTGCTGTATAGAATTGCACTTAACCATCACCTTATGTCCTCTTTGCCCTTGCTGTATAGAATTGCACTTAACCATCACCTAATGTCCTCTTTGCCCTTGCTATGTAGAATTGCACTTAACCATCACCTAATGTCCTCTTTGCCCTTGCTGTATAGAATTGCACTTAACCATCACCTTATGTCCTATTTGCCCTTGCTGTATAGAATTGCACTTAACCATCACCTTATGTCCTATTTGCCCTTGCTGTATAGAATTGCACTTAACCATCACCTTATGTCCTATTTGCCCTTGCTGTATAGAATTGCACTTAACCATCACCTTATGTCCTATTTGCCCTTGCTGTATAGAATTGCACTTAACCATCACCTTATGTCCTATTTGCCCTTGCTGTATAGAATTGCACTTAACCATCACCTTATGTCCTATTTGCCCTTGCTGTATAGAATTGCACTTAATCATCACCTTATGTCCTATTTGCCCTTGCTGTATAGAATTGCACTTAACCACCACCTTATGTCCTCTTTGCCCTTGCTGTATAGATTGCTGGCTTCACCTGATTTGTGACCTGTGCGCCGTTCACAGGACCACGTGCCACAACTCTTAGTTATTCATCGTTTCATCAGTTTGTATTCATAATTGTGTCCTATTTGTTTAATTTTATTTTTTATGTATTTTCTTCATGTACACCAAATGTTGTTCCCCAGCCATGGAAGGTGGAAATGGTGCCGTGCTCAAGGGTGGGGCACATCAACCGTCTTACCCTGCCGTCCTCGCCCAGTAGGAAAACACACAAGCCTCTTCGTATGTCCGTCGTGAATCATGTGAGTATCCTTGATGTATCCACATAAAACGTTTCATTGTTCGGCTACACTTACTATAAAATATCAGCATAGCGTGAAGACAAAAATAACTGAGGCATGCATTAACAAAAGCATGCGTTAATGAATCAAGAAATCATGAACTAAAGAAAAAGAAATTAAAAGACACATTAATCATTCAGTTATTTAATACACGAATCTGCAGCCGAGTAAAGGAACCTATGGATTAGATAATGTGCGTCAAGGAATGAGTGTGAATTCGCGAACAGATGACTTAGTTTGATAATACAAAGTCATAGATATAACTCTGAATTGGTTTTGATAGAATTATGTCCGTATGGCGGAGGGATGGAGGGATGGATGAGTACAAGGAATATTTCTCGACTCGGGAACCAACACTTAGACAACAGACACATGACGTGAACGTCACTGACAAGTAAGACCCGAGGGAGAGGCTGGGTTGTAAGATTTTCAAATGGTTCTTGGAACATGACCGTCTGAAACACTTTCCTCTCCCCACTACAAACAAAGCGTGGGGTCATGTACGTGGTCATGCAAGTTTTAATTCCAAAATTTAAATGTGATGTTAAAGCTTAGTTTACACACATTTTGAATAATAGTATTATTATGTAATCTGTATGACGTATATATATGACTGGTCAGTGAGCGGGCAGTTATTTTCCACGTAACCCGCTAAGAAGTCAATAGGAGCACATCGCAGGTAACCTGCATATCTCGAATAAGTATCGTTGAGTTGAAATGAACTGATGTTTATCCGATTGCATTTGGGAAAAGGGAAGTAACTCGGTTCGTTTTCGTCGACTGCTAGCCGTCAAAGCGTTTTACTTAGTGAAACTGCGGACATATATTCCGGGTCTGTATGAATGATGTCGGTGAATAAATTCGTTGTCAACCGATCCTTCGGGGCATATGAGGTGTGATGTACCCTGTATGTGAGCCGATGTTTACTATATGATGGAAAGGATGTCTACATGCCAATCGTTGTGTTGCACATCAAGAAACGATAAGAGCCATTACTTCGGGAAGGGGACATGCTTATAACTTGTGTCTGTGGAGGCGAGAGAAGGAATATTTTCATGTCAGTGTATCCCCAGCAAATCCAACTCACAATCCACCAATCTAATTACTATCCTGCCAAGCTAATCTAATATATCATATTGTAGGTGTTCAGGTACAATACGGGAGAATTCTGTCTTGTTTTCGATTGATTTCTCAGCAGGCTACATGAAATTTGTACCCGCCTGTCAGCGGGCAACATGGAACATATTTGCCCGCTCCTAAACCAATCAGGAGCTAGTAGACCAGTGAAGATCCGGGCTAGAATAGGTCTTCAGCAGCCCATGCTTGCCGTTAGAGGTGACGAACGGGATCGGGTGTTCAGGCTCTCTGACTACGTTGATGCATGTCATCGTTTCCCAATTGCGTAGATCAATGCTCATGATATCTATCACTTGATTGTCTGGTCCAGACTTGATATTAATTTTTACAGACCGCCGTCAAAAAGCTGGAATATTGCTGAGTGCTGTGTTAAACAACAAACAAACATACAATGCAAGCTAGTATCTTATTGTAAGGTAAGATAAAAGGGTTTCAACAAAGAGTGTTCAGTACGTTTATGTGTCATATTGTATGATGAAAGAGGTGTCTTTTGAAGACGAAATGTTTTTTTATTGTCTTTTCCTTGCTACAGAAATAGCCGTTTGATAGTTTCTTAATTGGAATATCAATGTAATGTAAACTATATGCATTATTTAAGTGAGAATATCACTGCTGTGATATATGTAATTGTTTGACAGAATGTCATTGTAGACAAAGCTGATTTCTGTTTTCAATGATTAGTTCCCTGTTTGTAGTCTTGCTGTGTAACGAACCATATAATATTTCTAGTCCTGAATATCGTCCCTGGGGCGAGCAAGAAACCGGATATATTTTCCCGGATCATGTTTCTAGGTTTGACAGCACCGCACCCGTGCTCGTGAGTTTCACCAATTGAGTTTTGTAACCCTGCGCGCGTGTATGTTTATAAATATACTGTGCCTATCCAACAAGCTAGTTTTGTAACAGAGATCCACGAGGAACAGACGGACACTATTCAGGGTCATCATTCTGCACACAAGAAGTTTTCTTGTTCCTTTTGGTTTTCTGACACAACGTCAAAGAAGACATTTTCACGTTTCACGTAGACCACACTTCAGCCCCTGTGGACAGATACTCACATACGAGTTTAAGCTCAATCGATCAAGCAGGTCTGGAATATGCATCGACAATGTTGATCGTTTACCAAAATTACAGAGGAAAATGATGATTTTGTAGGAGAGCTTAATGAAGCTCTAAATAACTTAACATTATTTTATATAGTCGATCTGTCTACTGTCTGAGTGACTGCTTCATTTCATAGACAAACATGAGATACTTTGACAGAATTATATATTATTCAAAATACATATCATACACTTTATAAAGCATCATGGTATTCATTCCCTGACGTCTGATTACAGTTGAGATGTTCTGTGTGTAAAGAAAGCTCTGTTGGGGGAGTCCAAAGTTTATAACACGACTTGTATACATCTCTAAATGTCAGGAATGGTTGACTTGAGATGAAATATGTCCACGTGATGTTGCTGTCGTCTCTTGTGCCTGCTTTCCCTCGGATGTCGACCAGACCAGAAAGCGCCAGCCCCGGAAACACAAAACGGAAAAGTTGATACCAGGAGCAAATGTTTGAAAGATACGGTTCACCTGATACGGTTCACCTGATACGTTTCACCTGATACGGTTCATCTGATACGTTTCACCTAAACTACCTATAGAACGCATCACAACAAAACATTCTGGACGCATTAGATTTAATTCCGGAAAAAATGCCGATGAGTTTCCTTTAAATCATATTTCATTTGTGCCAGAGTAAATGTCGATCATATGTTGATTGTACTGTTTTGCAGTTGCTTGACTTGTTCACAAGTTGACGTAAGCATCTATGTTTAAAGATTATAATGTACTTACCAATTGGAAGATACTAGGATGCCAGGTTGTGTTGTTTAATTAAAAGCATATGTACAATTTGCAAATCAAGCACAGGTTAGTGAGATAGAAAATGAAGCATTTCAAAGAAGAATAGGAATATCCATGTTCATTCATACACCACAACAACCACTCACACCTTTCTCACTGTCCACCTTGGTTTTCAATAGGAAGGCATACGAACGTATGAACAATAGGCGAAACGTATGAAGCAGATAATACATTGTAAAAATGAAATGAAACATTGACGAGAGCTGTACTGTTACTGTATCACCATCGTAGGACATTATGTACATGCTTAGCTGTCTTACATTCTCCACTGGGACATTTAAGTCCTTATTTTATACTGATGAAGTTTAGTGTTGCTTTATGTCTTGGAGTATAGTGAGTTTTCTATATTTATAAATATTTATACCTGACGAGGGTTCCGGTGTACAAGCGACTTGACCCGTTTCAAATGATAAACCTTGGCAAAGTGCTCCTCCATACTGTGGTACTGGGTTGGTGCAGGTCCTTGACCGTGTCCTGACTGTTGTGGCATTAATTCCGCATGTTGCAGAGCAGGGAACCAGGGACCACGCACTCCAGGCAGCATAGCCTCCATAAACTAAATAAGCAACAAGCAGAAAAACGTTAGAATCATAATGATATTTTAGGGCTCTCTTGTGGTTTCTCTCACAATGAAACTAGTTATGTTAAGTCTTTAAAATGAATTTAGAAGTGATGCACATAAGGAAGAGAATTCATGGATGTCAACTTCTTTATTGTGAGGAACAATACGTATCGGAGTATATACGTACTCCTTCTTTGTTATTGGAGTAGAAGGTGTACTTGTTAGATACCTGGGCATTCACACAAGAAACAGTTCTGCCTGAGCGTTTCAGTCAAATTTCCGGAACAGTCCCGTCCGCCATTCGTGGGAGGTGTACATGTTCTCGTCCTACTTCTGGTCTTTGTTGCTGATGCTCCACACGTCACTGAACATGGAGGATTGCTCCAAGAACTCCAAGTAGAGACAACTCCATCAACTGAAAAAAGAATATCCTCATTATTTCTCGTCTGAGACAAACGTTTTGCATTTATTTTAATCATGCGATCGAATGAGTCACTTAAAACAAAGTAGTTTTTCCCCCAACATGGATATAGCTGCAAGTGTTTTTTTATCTAATCGTACCTGGACATGAGTTAAGACCACAAGTGAAAGAGCTTCTTTCAAAAGAGGGACCTGAACAGGGTGCTCCTCCATGATTTTTTGCACTGGGTTGGTGCAGGACCTTGACCGTGTCCGGACTGTTGTGGCATTAATTCCGCATGTTGCAGAGCAGGGAAACGGGGACCACTCACTCCAGGCAGCATAGCCTCCATCAACTGAAATAAGTAACACACAGGACATGTTTAAAATATTCCTCATTTTAGGGTTTCTTCTGGAGGTTCACTTTTGAAATTATGTGCACCTAGTTTATACAGTCTTTTAGTGGACTTTTTTGTGTTTTCTCCAACTGTTTGTTACGACATTCCAGCGCTACTTTCTTCCCCTTTATCTGATGCTTGCTGCATATTAGATATGCTGAGTTATACACACGGGATGATGTGGAAATTACTGGACAACCAATCACTCCACACTTTCTTGGTTCATTGTCAAATGTTTCATTTGACTGTTCAGGCGATGCTCTTGACTTTTAAATGTTGAACGAACGAAGCTACATTTTGCCATTTACACAAATATCCATGATATTCGTCTTTTTAAATTTGAATCTGAAGTCTTGTTTTGTATTTTTAATACTATAGACCCGTGAAGATCCAGGCAAGAATAGGTCTTTAACAACCCATGTTTGTCGGAAGAGGTGACTAACGGATCGGGTGGTCACGCTCGCTGACTTGGTTGATGCATGTCATCGATCCCAATTGCGTGGATCGATGCTCATGTTGTCAATAACTGGATTGTCTGGTCTAGACTCGATTACTTACAGACCGCCGTCATATAGCTTGAATATTGCTGAGTGCGGCGGTAAAAAACAAACAAATAAAACCAAAATAATACTATATTAGTACCGTCTTATATTCTTTTAATCTTGAATACGACGTTTTACGACGTTTCACCTCAACTCCGGACTAGTACAAGCTGCCACACAGAACACAGACAGATAGACAGACAAACACACAGACACAGACACGTGCGTGCAAGTTGCTATATTTCTGCTCATAACAATGTAATGTACCTGGACAGTCATTTAGGCCACAGTAAACTTGAAAAGCTTCATTTAAATTCCCTGTACATTCCTTCCCACCATACTGGGGAGGCGTGCATGTCCTCGTCTTGACTCTCATCTTTGTTGCCGATGCTCCACATGACACAGAGCATGGAGGATTGGTCCAAGCGGTCCATATTGACAAAACTCCATCAACTGTGAAAGAGATGGTGACACTTATTAATATGAAACCTAACGGTAATAAATTTGCTTTCAATATATAATATATACTTAGCTACATTATAACTGTTTAGAAGTCAAATGAATGAAAATGTGAAAATAAAGTGAAGTGACAGGTTTTCCATTACAATTGTTGACTTCATCTGTTTTTATTATATACCGAACCAAAAAAGCAACGTCCGATTTTTAAAATGACTTAACTGAACTATATTTCTTTTTTTTTGTCTGCAATAACATAGTTGATAGATAAGACAAGCGTGTTCGGGTATTAAACCTGCACAGTTCATTGAGCATTATCAAACGCTACAACCAAAATCCTAAAAACATGCAAAAATCACGTGCGTCGCACAAGTAACAGTTCGTGTAGGTGACTAGTTATCATTGACGGCAGTTGTTAGAACACACGAGAAAATACCGTAAACACATTCTTTCCCCACGATAACCTTTAAAACAAATGCCAAGAATCCCCAATGATGTTCGTGACAGAGCCATCGGAATGTTGCACGCAGGAATGCGTACTGCAGAGGTTGAATTACTACAAGTTGGTGCGTATGTGAGGTCAGTACAACATCCGAGGAAGCGTTACAATGCAACTGGAGTAACCACCGATCGTCCGAGAAGTGGACAACACCAGCTCAAGCTGCTATATTTGACGTCACATTTACGCAATCGTTTCCTCCCAGCAACTGCACAGACAACCCAAGGAACTCATAGCAACAGAATCTGTGCTCAAATTGTTCGCAATCGGCTGCGACAGCATGGTCTTAGAGCCAGGAAGCCATACGTTGGGGCTGTTCTCACCCAACGACGTCAACGTTGAGAGTTGGCTCGTGCACATCTGCGTTGGACTCCACGTGAATGGCAGGGCGTGCACCTTCCGTTTTTCACTCTCCAAAGGTGACGGTCAACTTCGGGTGTACAGACGGAGGTATGAACTTTATGCTGACGCATGTGTTGCTGAGAGAGTTTTGGACGAGCTGGATCTGTAATTATTTGGGCTGTAATTGCATACGGTCATCGCACAGCTCTTGTTCCTGCACGTGGAAATCGAAATGCGATGCTCTACAGGGACGAGATTCTTGCTCAGCATGTTGTCCCTCAACGCCAACGCCAACATGACGTTTCAGCATGACAATGCCACAAGTCACACTGCACGCATCACACAGGACTACCTGCAGGCTAACCAGGTGGATGTTATGCCTTGGCCAACCAAAAGTCCGGGCATCCAAGTGAACTTTTGTGGGACTCTTTGTCAGACGTGTAAGACGACGTGTAAGAATTGAATAACATTCCACAACAAGACGCCAATGAGATGCAGGCGGTGGCCACACACGGTTATGAAAATGTGACTTTCAGTTGTGATACCACTTCAACACTAACGTCAGCCATATCGTTCTACTGATGTTTCAGTGACTGATTTTTGTTGATATCAACTCTTAATGCAGTGCACGTTATGGGCCATTATATTATAGTTTACATCATCATGACAACGAAATATAACTTTGATTAAGAAAGGTTCGACGTTTCCTTTTTTGTTCAGTGTATATTCGTCCGCATGGTCATGATTAGAAAATTTGTATGATGCCTTCAAATTATAATTATTTGTAAATCCATACTGTGGGCATGCGTTAACATCATGAGTGAAAAGGCTTGTTTAAAAAGATGGTCCTGTATATGATCTTCCTCCATGATTGGGTACTGGGTTCGTGCAGGATCTAAACCTGGTCCTGACTGATGTGACATTAGCTCCGCATGTTGCTACATAATCATGTATTTTAATTCTCATTGTAAAAAGGGGTCATCTAAACACACCGCTTGTAAATACGACATAGACAATACCCCGAGTCTTCTTTTTGTTTAAACATCTGCACATAAGTTATACTTACTCTTCATTTCCTAACGACCTAATCCCCACTGTGTTGCCGTCCTTGAAAATTTATCAATGCATCAGTCCAGAAACAGAGAACGTTTCTATTACTTCTACGTTTTATGTTTGAGTGCACTAGTAGCTTGAGTGCATAAAACTTTTGTACCTGGACAGCCATTTAAGCCACAGCTTTGCGCTTCAGTTAAGGGTGAAGGACAGCTGTTGCCACCATATCGGGGAGGTGTACATGTTCTCGTCCTACTTCTAATCTTCGTTGCTGATGCGCCACAGGTCACAGAACAAATGGGGTCATTCCAAACACTCCAAGTGGAAACAACACCATCAACTGAAGAGACAATGATTTCCTATTTCTTTTGCAATAATTAAGTCAACATATGCATTTCAAATCTTTCTAGGCGTATTACAATTAGACATATTTGCAATTGTGACCGTTACATACACATGTAAAATGTGACATACACATCTATCAAACCATTTACATTTAATCTTACATCCTGAACACTTGTTATCGGTTTTGACTGACACGATTTGGGTGCAATTCATTTACGAGTGACATGTGATCCTTGTTACGTTTAATCTATTATTTACTATAGTTGAACTGCATTAGTTAAGGATAAACAGGACAACGCCGCTCAAAGGCTTAGTTAGTACAGTAAAATGTGGCATTTGCAAGGTATTAAACTGATGATTAAATTGCTGTTGTAGAGATTGGAAATATTCGGCAATGAAAGTCATCACTTCGAATGTAGTGAAAGTTTTAAAGCAGAGTTAGTCCGATTCTTGTAAGGAAAGAAAGAAGTCATCAATGTGTGGACATTCATGTGTAGCATTAACGAAGAGAGAACTAACAACATTCTATTCAAACACTCTAAACTCTGCGATTAATAATAGTTCAGAAAGTTTATCACTTTCATGATTCACTGATAATCCTCACACTTCGATAATGTGGACACCTCGACTATTGCATGGGGACCCACTCACTTTGTACTATGTGTGGATTGAGAATTGAGTGAATTGAGAAACAAAATAAGATGCAACAGGTGACATAACAGAATCTAGACATAAGAAATCACAGATACTGATGCACTTCAACAAAGGAAGACAGCAGAGGTGAGTCCAAAACAACACATGAGAAATGGAAGACACTTGAAATAAGGGCAGATTGATGTCGGTCATTTTGTTCAGGTCAGCAATCGCTGACCCAAACTACGGTAGATACCCGGGTCAAGGTCATACATAAAACATAATAGACATAATTTGTTTTCACTTGAGACAATGTATTTTGTTACAGTTCAATGAAGCCTTTGCCAGAAATACTTGGTTCTAAACATTACAAAGACAAACGCAGATATTTGTAAATATAAGTTCAAGATTGTGAAGACAAGGAATACATTTCACTGTTTTAGTAACAGTTAAGCTATTAACCCCTTTATATGCACTTAATCGTTTTAATGGCAAGCAAAAAATCCACTTTTATAAACGGAGGCTTTTGAGTTTAACTGGAAAAGATACCTACACATAAGATAAAAATTACTTCACTGGTCCAACGAAAGAGTGAGTGAGTTGGATGTTACTGTATACATCTACAGAACGAAGTTAGGAATGATCCCGAAGGACAGAGGCACGTGAAATACAAGAATTAATTTTATAGAATGTGTGCGTGGAATATGAGAATAGTGATAAATTTAAAGCATCAAATAAGGTTCAAGTTATTGATATACTCACCTGGGCATAAAACAGGCAGACAATGTTCTTCTTTTCTTTCAGATTTGAGACTACATACAAAGCCAAGTGTGCAGACACTACGCACCCTGGAGTATGAAATGGTTCTTCCGGATCCACATGTAGGTGAGCATGAACCTGACCACTGACTCCATTGTTCATCTGAAATAAAGTTCTTGACGTCACGTTGGTGCCTTTGGAGGGTCATAACATGAATATGTAGTTGGCACCGACAATGGAGTTGAATATGATATTTCCGAATTATATATTCGTATTGGTTCCTGCATCCTGTTAATGTTTCAAATTTGAAACTTGATGCTACTAAAGCCAACAGTATGGAAGTATATATCTCCAAATGAACACGCAACCAAATGTAAGAATGTCCCTGCATTGTTACGTCTTTGTTAAGTTCACAAAATAATTCAATATACACACCTATGTTATCACTGATGTTATGAGATCGACCATTCAGGTAGGTTTTACACAATGTAAAATAATGAATTTCTGTGTTTGAGTTTGTCTTTATGCCACTCGATCTATGCTCTTTTCCAACGACATCAATGAACCTATTCATATTAATAATGGCAGTCCGACACGTTGGCGTTCAAGGCCTCAGAAATATTCCTGCTCAAAACGCAGTGAGCAAGCCTGCAACTTGCAGCGGCCACCAGAGACCCAATCAGCCGATTACCGTAGACAGGGAACCGATACTAACCCATCGTCCTAAGCACTAGCAACTAGGCGAATCAGGAACCAAACATCCTAAGATTGTTTTACAATCTACGAATATGAAATTATTCTTAAATTCAATAGGAAAATCTTAAGATTCTTTGTATCTCAAGAATGTATGTGTCATCCACACTGCCTTCAACGTCAAACAATAAGTCTACAAGTGAATTATCTAATTAGCATTAAGAGCCATCATGCAGTCGTTTAGTGAGTGAGTGAGTATGGTTTTACGCCGCTTTTAGCAATATTCCAGCAATATCACGGCTTCACACATTGTACCCATGTCGGGAATCGAACCCAGGTCTTCGGCGTGACGAGCGAACGCTTTAACCACTAGGCTACCCGACCGCCCCTAGTCGTTTAGTGACACTGTTAATAATTAACCTTCCGGCTCTATCACGACGGCAGGTAAATCATCAAGTCTAGCTTACCCGTGATTCCCAGAATACAAATCGATCTCGGCAATGTTGGTTCTAAAAGTTCATTTTATGAACAGATGAGTTAAGTTTTGTGTGTTGGCAGTTTTCACAATTTTCACGGCGATAATCTAAATATTTTCTCCCAATATCGATTTTCAGATCTTCCACTTTCAGATGTGATCGTTCGGCCCTTCCTTTTATCTGCTTTGATGCTTCTCTCTCAAACATAACGTCGTCTAATTTACCACGTTATTAAGTTGATGGCGTACCAGAATACAATTCTACGTTGTGATGTAACGTTGTCACAACGTAAATCTGTAGACTCCCAGATTGGTTGTGCTAACCCAAAATACAACCAAATCAAGACGTTACCACAACGTCCCTTTCTAACGTCGTGGGGCGGTCGGGTAGTCTAGTGGTTACCCTCATGGTGCCACGGGACCATATATGGTCCCTCACTTTTCACACCCGCATATGGTCCCGAGAAAATGCCCTTTATAAACTGTGAATTTTGATGTCAAACACTGGGTGCGCAAAGTCAAAACTATAACCATCATCACCCCAATCATCTTAGCTTTGACATCGTGTAACTCATACTTTAAACAATGCTACGGATTGCGAAATATGGCGAGATTAGTAATATAAAGTGGCTACCGCTCTTCTCGGCCTTTTTCTGACATGTTTGAACACCAAGCGAATGACGGCGAATTTTGATTATGCACCCATGTCACATACACGTAAATATTTTCAGACAAAATCCTTGTTCATAAGAAATAATATGACCCGAGTGGTCAGAAAGCCATTTTTCCCAACTGTCTACTTATTCACGTAAATACAATTATGTTCACTCCTTTACGAACAAGGTTATTTACACGTTTTGTATATTTTTATCGACTATCGGTAATGGCGGAATGGTCGGTACACATGAGAAAACGACAGTGTATATTTCCATTACACTTATGACGTTCATTGAATGAAATTATAACCATCATCACCCTAATCATCTCAGCATTAATATCGTGTGACTCATATTTTATGCAGTGCTACGGATTGCGAAATATGGCGAGATTAGTAAAGTGGTTACCGCGCCTCTCGACCTTTTTCTGCCATGTTGCACTTCATGCGAATGACGGTGATTTCTTAAATATGCAGCACCCATGTCACATACATGCAACTATTATTCTTCCCCGCCCTTAAGGCGGGGAAGTATACGGGAGAGGTTAATTTTATAGCATGTAAGTCGACATGTTGGTTTCTTTGAAATTTCAAGCCACACAGTTACCGAAACGAAACATACAAATCATGTGAAATGTGCGTGAAATGATGATGTTTATCTTTTCCAGCAATAAGAGATACTTCAAAATCGTCTTGCTATTCTGAGACCTAGTCACTTTTCGTAATGCTGATAACCCATGAAATTAGTGCATTTTGTTTTCAAAAGAGCTAAAAATGATCCCATTTCGCTAAAGTTAACCGGTCTATATTTTGTAAGAATAAACTATTGCGCATTGAGCGATTATCTCCTTTAGCTATAGGCGTAGTATAGAAGTGATAAATCACGCACTGACCTTGCATTGCTGTACATCGTATCTTATTAAAGCTGTATCACTAAGAGTGAGTGATTATCTCCCTTACCTGAACAGCTCAATTGCGCACTACCTTTGCAATGTATCGTATGTTATTCAGGCAGCCATCGAGAAACGTTCAAGGAAGGAATTTAGGCCAAGCATGTCACGCGCACTCAATTTTCACACTGCTTTTGCAACATATTGTTCAACACGATGAAATACCAGGCTTCTATAAAGTATGACTTTGTTCAATAAACAACACATGTAAAACAACGGGTTTGATATGAGAAATTTTTTATTAGTTGTCTTCATAATCACATGTATGGCGCTTGCTGTGCATAGTTGAGCACAGCATTGTTTTAAATACTTCACTGTATGTAATGTATGGTACATACCGTTTCATGCGGCGGTTTACGTTTCTGCATGGTTTATTGCTTTGACAAAACATTTTTTAACTTCCAGCAGAGATCATACACCCGTATATGTTCTTTGCTCCTGGATACATAGGAACTCAACAGGTTGGTCTGTTGTTTGCAATTATTTTCCAAAAAGATAATACAGTTGCATGATATCTTCACGATGTTTGGGTTGAACATAGTAACATTCTTCTAAACAAATTTCAAATCTAAGCCGGAAGCAATCACAACACAAACCCAGTTAACCAAACGGAACCATACACAAGAGTGAGGGAGGGAGTTGGGTTTAACGCCGTTGAATAGTATTCCATGTCAGCTTGATGTTGGAGGAAAGTCTGAAGTGATGCAGGTCACCACTTTGTAGAAACCAACGAGCAAGGGTTTTGTGCTGACAACAAAATCGGGGCGAACCGAGATTCAAACACACTGTCATAGGTTTCTGGCTTGCCCAAGGGACACAACTCTGCATAGCGAATTGCAACGCCTTCGGCGACTGGGCCAACCATGCCTCCGTAAAAAACTGTAAGAAACTATTATACAACAAAGATGTTTTAGATGAGATATGTATTGCGGAACATTCCATGAAGAAACAGTGGCAATATTACACAATCACAAACTACAAAATACATGCACAATAAACGACAATTAAAAAACACAGGAACATTCAACATTCAAAGGAGGTACATTATAACAATTTTATTTAAAAAACAAGTGTATTATAATGATATGGAAACAATATGCGAATTGAGCAAAACTATGGTAATGTTGTACATACATGTACAAGGAATTTGTTTGTAATTGTTGATATGTTAACAGATCTTGGATGTTGTTTCTGGATAACTGTTGGTAAACTTATTAAGAACCTGCTCCTTTTAACAGAGTGTACCAAATTCTTTATCATGATTGGGGATTATTTGTGATTCTCTTTCTTGGTTGTATTATGTAAGACAGTGCTAATGTTGTTCATCTTCTGAGACATCACATGTTTCACAGAGACGTTGTTCAAATGGGGTTGGTGTTTTTGTATATCTACAATTTTTTCAATTTGTAGTTTGTGATTACTTAAACGACGTTTTGAGAAAAGTGACCTATGGCCTTTGTTTTTACAATATGTAAGATAATTCTCAATATTTATAAATAACGTGACCAAACTGTATGTTCCTAACTTGCTGCTAGATAAATGGGAATCCATTAATGATTGCGTGAATTTTTACATTTGAACTGAAGTATATTTAGAGTTCTATCATTACATTTTTTGTGTTTACTATTATAAAAGTTTACTTTATTTAACCCAACCAACATTTTGACCAGAAATATTGATATTTGCTGCAAAAGCATGCTTTAGAATGATATTTGTTGTGTTATCTATATAGGATTTTTTTATTGGTACTAATAGTGGGTATATATCAAGTTTTGCCTGACAGGCCCAGTTTTCTTGCCTTGGTTTTCTTTGTGCTGACCAATTAAAGACACTATATTTCTTTTATTGTGCTTTCCAAAGATACTACATTAATAACAACGAATTTGTACTTTACACCAATTCTCTCCTCCCATAGCTTACACTTCCTTCCTCTGCACATAACATTATATTGCGGGGAGCTATTGATGCTCCGCAGCTATCTCTACTTGTAATATCAGACAGCACGTAAACCGAGGGCTAGGCAGTGCAAAGATCTTTTGGATTTGGTCACTTTAGATACTGTTGGAAAGACAATCAACTCGAGTTGCATTTTATACAATTTGGATACACTGTGTGAAGAAATAAGAACGTTGTTAACAAAACTTTAAGGATCAGTTATATTTCTGTTTTAGTTACACAACGTACACTATCAAGCATTGATAAAAGAAGACAATTTTTCAAAAAAGGTTCAGCAGGCTTTTTAACCTTAAGCCTGCTGAATTATTTTCACACTTCTTACCCCTGCCTGCTGGAATAATTTTAGCATAAGGCGCTCTAAAGAGGGTGGGTGATTTCAAACAGTCGGTGCCTCATTAAACAAGGGCCAATTGAAGAAATATTTTGCACATGT